TTCCAGGCCGGGTGGCATCTTGTTGCCGCTCCCTCCCGCAAACCAACGTTTCTGTTTCTGTCCTTTTTCCACACTCACGGACCATCTTCGTTCCTCCTGCCCCCTTCCCCATACTCCTGCGCAATCTTCGTTTTTTTTTTTTTTTTCTCTTCTTTTCTCTCCTTTGCATTCCATCTCCCGCCCCAACTGAGTCGACAACAACTTCGGATTGCCTTAGACAAGTGACTCCCCTCGACTTTGTCGGCGCCACCGCCAAGTGCTCTTTTCGGTCGCTCCTTTTCCCTTCCGGTCCGTTCTACCTTCATTGGTCGTGCGATCGGCTAAAGGTTGATTGATCTCCGGACGTTGGTGCCAGCGACCCTACCTTTTCCCGGGATCGCCATCGGTTCGAGATACCGACAACGTTCGTCTTGGAACGATATCCCTACTGCAAGTCCTCTTCACGTCTCGCTATTGCTTAGATCGCAAAGATGCTTCTTCCCAAGGGTGGTGTAACGTGGAAGTCGGCGAAGGCGAGGCTGCCTCCATGGAGGGCCATTCTGGTCCTGGTGACGCGGACTCGTTTCCTGGTGTCATTGGCCCTCACCGGCTTGTTGATCTTGCTGTGGCGTGGTATCAGCAAGTCCGCTTCGGAGATGCAAAAGTAAGTGCTCGACTCACTTGCAACCGGGCTTGGGCGCGACACGCGGCGTGAACCAACCCCTGCACATGATGCACATCCTAACTCGACGGTCCAGTTTCTACTGTTACGGGCCTTCCAAGTCGCCAATGGACATGAGCCTCAACGAAATATCCGAGTGGAATGCCCATATGCAAACCCCAGTCGTCTATAACCATCACGAAGCTTACGAAGTCAACTCCTCTACCATTCACAACATCAACCTCAACCCCATTGGCTCGAGTGCTCAAGCTGTCGCAAACGCCGAACGAGTGCTCATCCTGACGCCGCTCAGAGATGCTGCCCCATATTTGCAAAAGTACTTCGAGCTGCTCTATAAGCTGACCTACCCTCATCACCTCATTGACCTGGCTTTCCTCGTCGGCGATTCCATGGATGACACCGAAAGCGTCCTCGTCTCTGAGTTGAACCGGATCCAGGAACAAGGTGATAAGATTGCGTTCCGCAGTGCGAGCATTGTTAAGAAGGACTTCGGGGCCGATATAAACATGAACGTTGAGGATCGGCACTCGTTCGCCGCCCAGGGTCCGCGCCGTAAGGCTATTGGCCGGGCACGCAACTATCTGCTGTACTCCGCCCTGAAGCCTGACCACTCCTGGGTTTACTGGAGAGATGTGGATATTGTCGACAGCCCCGAGACTATCCTTCAGGACTTCATGGCCCATGACCGAGATATCCTCGTTCCAAGTAAGCGGGCTGCCACAGTGATTCTATAGCAAAGGCTGACCTCTCTACAGATATCTGGTTCCACAGATATAAGGACGGTGTTGATGTCGAGGGTCGCTGTAAGTGGAGATAACGCCTGCCGACGATGGTCAATGCTAACCCACCTTTCCAGTTGACTACAACTCGTGGATTGAGTCTGACAAGGGGCGCCGGCTCCGACAAACCCTCGATCCGGACACCGTGCTGGCTGAGGGCTACAAGGAATATGATACAGGCCGCCAATATCTTGTTTCCATGGGCGACTGGAGAAATAACAAGGACGAAGAGGTCGAGCTGGACGGCATTGGCGGTGTAAACATTCTCGTCAAGGCCGACGTCCATCGTACAGGTATGTTGTGCACGGCCTTTGGAATGATTGCCCCGGAGAGCTGCTCCTAACTGAAACCCTAGGAATCAATTTCCCCGCATATGCCTTCGAGAACCAGGCCGAAACCGAGGGATTTGCGCGCATGGCGAAGCGAGCGGGATACCAGGTGTACGGCTTGCCGAATTACGTTGTGTGGCATATCGACACCGATGAAAAACCCGGCAATCTTGGAGACCGTAAAGCGTACTAAGCGCGTGGCCGGACTTGGTCCTTTTCTCACCGAGCCGGCGGCGTTCGGTTCTTTATTTTCTCCAAGATTTTAATACCCTTTTCCCCGTTGATGTCTGTGGTTCACAACATGGGATTCTTTTCCTTCTCGATACTTGTGCTTTTTGCCTTTACCATTCCCCCCCACTTGGACGTTTGAAACGGACATCTCATGGTTCCGGTAATTAGTCTTCTTCATGTCGCGTTCTAGGGATCGTGCTGTTTCTTTTCTATTTTTTTTTTTTTTTTTGGCGCTATGGGGAACGTGTTCAGCGGTGTCGACGCTCATAGAGTGAACGGGTGATTTTACGCTTGTATTCCTGGTGTTGCCTTGTTCTCCTTGACGACTGTGCAAGCAAGCCTACTGCCGCGGCAGGGTTTCCTACGATTGTGACGGGGGTTTCCAGTCTGCCATGGCCTGGTGCTCGCACTGGGTGGCTGTTATCCGCATGATCGACATCCATGAGGGACACAGCTCAGTTCGGACTGAGCCATGTCTTGCAAAAAGGGAGCGAGGCGGTTGCCGTCGGCGAGCCAAGAACCAGGGCATAACGGTGCCTGGCGTCCATGTACATACATATATAGGCTACAATTTGTCGGGCTGTTATGATTGAGAGAGGTTAACTGATCCGTAATTCGAAAATGCAACCACGCGTGATGCAAAAAGAAGTCAAGACAGTATGAATATTCTGAGATGATAAAAAAAAACATAACCAACCAACATGGATCCCACCATTTCTATTTTCCCCGCAAGACAATCCGGATAATCCCCACTTCGACCTCCATAAATACTACTCTCCCTCCCACCAAGTAAGACATCAGCTCTAAATCCACCGATCCGAGACATCCCGCCACACAAACAGAAACAAAAATACAAAAATGTCCACCAAAAAGGAATTCATCTGCCTCGTCCCGGACAAGCCAGACGCGCTGCAGAAGCGTCTCGACGTCCGCGGGTATGTACCACACAGTACTCCGCGCAACCCCACCATGGAACCCCCAAACAATCCACTAACAGTGCCCATTCACAGCCAACACCTCGAAGGCGTAAAGCCTCTGGTCGCGAACGGCACAGTCGTCTGCGGTGGTATGTCTCGTGCCTTTTTTAAATCATCCCCCCTTGGTAGACATGGACGTGAGAACTGACGAAAGTGTTGACAGGTGGAACGGTCGATTCGCACCCCGTGCCCGGCGAGACCCCTTCCTTTAACGGAAGCGCTTTGATCGTTCTCGCTGAGAGTGAGGCCGAGGTGAGGGAGTTGATCGCTAAGGATATCTATACCCGGAGTGGTGTCTGGGACGTTGAGAAAGCGCAGGTTATTCCGGTATGTTGCTGATTTCCTTTCTTTCTTTCTTTCTTTTTTTTTTTTTGCTCGTTGAGTTGTGGTGGTTGTGGTTCTAAGTTTGGGATACTGGGGCTGGAGTACTGTTGTCTTTGGGTTTGGGTTTGGGCTGATCTTGGTTGGTGTAGTTTATGTGTGCCGTTCGGGTTGGGGATAAGGCTCTTCCTTAGGTCTTGGATTTAGTTGGGTTTATGAGGGGGGGGGGGGGGGTGCTACGATTGTATATGTGGAGGTGGGTACTTGTCCAATACGAATGTGTGTATTTGTCTGTTGTACATATATATATATATATATGAATATATGAATATATGAGTGGATGGAAGATCCGATTTACAGCTTCGCCTTGGGCGTCAGCATCGCCTCTGCGACCTTGCGGCGCTGGATTTTGCCCGTCGCGGTCTTGGGGATCTGGGGAACGATCCAGACCTGGTGCTACCGTGTTAGTCAATGTGAGGTCTGTGGGGATGTGTTGGACAGGTAGTACGTACCCTCTTGGGAGTCTTGAATTTCGCCAGCTTCTCTGCCATGAACGACTTGAGCTCGTCCTCCGTGGCTGTGTTGTTGCCCTTTAGGACCACCGCGGCACCGATGTCCTCGCCATAGTGTCCCTCGTCTGGGATGGCGAAGCACACGGCCTCGGCCACCTTGGGGTGGTGCAGGAGCATGTTGTCTAGCTCGATGGGACTGATCTTCTCTCCGCCCTTGTTGATGAGTTCTTTGATACGGCCGGTGATGATCACGTAGCCGTCCGGATCCTTCTTACCCTGGTCTCCCGTGCGGAAGAACCCGTCCTTGGTGAACGAGGATTTGTTGGCGGACGGGTTGTTCAAATACCCCTTGGTGACGTTCTCACCGCGCACGCAAATCTCGGCCTCCTTGCCCTGCGGAACCTCGTTGCCGTCCTGATCAAGGATCTTGACTTCTACGCCCTGTCCAATGCCGACGCTGCCGGGCTGGCGCTTTCCGGGCGGCAGAGGGTTGCTGGTCATCTGGTGAGCGGCTTCTGTCATGGCGTATGCCTCCAGGACGGGCGCGTTGAACGTCTTCTCCAGATCCTGGAAGGTTTTGGGGGACAATGGTGAGGAACAGGAGCGGATGAAGCGGATATTGGGGATGGGGTTGGGTAACGGGGTTTTAAGCAGAATCTGGTGGATAGTAGGCACAGCTGTGTACCAGTTTGCGTTATAGGTTACGAAATCCGACCAGAATTCATGGGCCGAGAACTTCGGAGGTACAATGACGGATCCTCCAGAGTATAGAGGCGCCAGGAATGCTGCCAGGAGACCGTGGACATGGAAAAGAGGCATCACCAGATACGTACGGTCCTGTGGCGTTAGGGCGTACGTGTCCCGGATGTTCCCTACGGCATGGTTAATATACTGCTCGTTGTAAGCTATCTGGGCACATTACTCATGGTTGTGGTGAGATTCTTGTGAGTGAGTGGAACCTTTTTCCATGTCAGTATCTATAGTTTTGCCAGAACGGGAAGACCTACAGCCTTGGGCCTGCCGGTCGTGCCACTTGTATGAAGCACAAGAGCAACATCGTCCGGCTGGGCCTGTCCGACAGTCACACCCGCGCTACCCGCCAATTTTCCGTGTTCTTTCACATCCAAAACCACCTCTGTGCCATTCCAGTAGCACTCTGCAATCGCAGCATTGTATTTCCTTCCAGCTCGCACAGCGGGGCCATTCTGGGCATACGATCCCTTAGGGATCAGCACTAACGTCGAACTAAGGTCATCGATGTAGAACTCGAACTCCTCCTGCTTATAAGCGGGATTCAGTGGAGCGGCGATCGCCCGCTGCCAGGACGCGCCTAGAAACCCGACGATGAATTCGTACGAATTCACCAGCGCCAAGGACACCGCACCTCCGTGGCCAACGCCCAGCTTGGCCAACTTAGCTTGAAACTCGGCCACATGAGCGTGCAGCTGTTGATAGGTGATATTGAGAGTAGGGGACAGGGGGGTCTGTCTCTTGGGGACCACAACAGCAATGTCGGTGCTCCGAGAGGAGAAGGACTGCGCTAAGGTGGTCATGGTGGATCGGACAAGACACTGATGATGTCTTGGCTTCAGGGATTGATATTAAGGACGTAGATCTCCGATTCGTGGATTAAAGGAAGTTGTACGATATTGTCAGTTGGTTGTCACTTTTGTCACCATCCCAGGGAGTACAAGAGGAGTAGACATAGCTCAGCTTCTCTCGGCCGGTAATGGGTAGGCAGCGGGTGTGACCGATCGCCTCCACGATTCCTGGCACGATCCGCCCTCGGGGATTATCGTCATTGTCAGGGAGTTCTCCACTCCCCACATGACTAATTAGAAGGTGCCGTTTTCTTCCGGGTTGAGTAATTTATGTACATCCAGCAATACTAGGTAGCTGCTGGCAGCTTTCCATTCTGTTGTCTTCTCAAGGTTGCTCAATCGATTCAATCGCCATCTCTGATGCTAGTTTCTGTCTGTGAGTGCGGTCTGTTGCGTTTTAGCTATTAACAGCCCCTTACTTTGACCGATACCCGTTCAACCGTTTGATGAGAGCTATGTCGGATACGGCCGCCTGGAGTGCTAACGAGCAAATCTGACTCCAATATTTAACCCCGCATACAAGTTGCAGCTTCTCGGATGTAGCCTCCAGTGTGTAAGCAGAAGTAGCCTGGGGAGAACTGCCGGACTCGAAACTCCGCAAATGGTCTTCGAGAGCAGTATACGCGCAACTGCGAGGTGCAATGAGGCGACTGCAAGAGATTTCATTGCGCCTTGAATGTTTATAAACCCTGGATATAGTAGCAAAGTATATGCGCTAATGCTAGTGGTTTAGCGGCCTTCAGCTCAGAGTGACCTCCTGAAGTCAGGTCAACACATGAGGCATACATTCAATGCCAAATAAGACATGCAAAATCTTAACTCGACGCTATTATAATTCAATCCGTAGCAATCTTTAAGTTGAGTGATCTGATCAAGTACCTGCCGGCCCTGGCTATAGTTCCTTCACCATGATAGGAGGAAGAAGAGCATCCAATAAGGATACGAATCTCTAGATGACTAAGCCATATGCTCCACATGTCAAGTGATATGAGATGCAAACAAGTGCTCAAGCTGTACTCCGCACGATAGTACTTGTCTCCAACTTCTCCGACACAATAATTGTCACTCTCTTTATTCGGTTGACTTGTCTATAAAAATCAACCGGACGTATGGCTTCCGAGAACACCCCCTCTAAGCCCGGGGGCATGCTCTCGCTCTATGCAAATCTGCTCGATCCATCCGCCGATAACTCTCCCGGGACGATTTCTCGCGCCCCGGTCGTCTTCAAGCAAGCCTCCGAAGGCGAGTCGCAGCCAGATGAATCAGCTGCCAAGAAACAACAGCTCAATGCCGGTAGACCATAACCCTCCTCATGACCGACAGTTTCATGTATTCTTGTTTGTGATCTGATTGCTCACTTGTCCTTTGTTCTTCTGGTTTTGGCGATCAGCTTCTCTCCGATTTCAGCCTACGAAGAGACCCCAACTATCTGCGCAGAAACCAAAACCGAAGCCAGCTTTACCGAAGGCAGCCCCTGCTCCCGTACCGGCAGCGGCTCCTAAGACTACCCTTGCAGATTGGGCTAATACCGAAGAGGATGATGTCAATGACTTCTATGCTGGACCAAAAAGGCAGCGGGGTGGGCGCAAGAAGCGCAAGAAGAACAAGGATACGCGGGAATTTGCCCAGGACTGGGACGACATCTACGACCCGTCGCGGCCTAATAGTTACGAAGAATATAAGCACAGCGATGAGCAGATAGCCGAAGTTCGCGAGTGGAAGGATCGCCTCTACGCACATCGCATAGTGCGATCTCCGAGCCGAGATTCGTATAGTGATGAGGAATATGGAAGGCCAATGAACCGTATGTGTTGTCTTATAGTGATAGTGATTCTACGGCTGAACTGTTACAGGACAATTCGCCCCTCCGAGCAGCTTCGCACCACCTCCAAACCTCAACGATATGCCCCCGGCTCCCGCTCCCCCTGCTGATATACCGGATGCTGCTTCCGGAGAGGAGGCATTTGCCAAGCGTGCACAACTGCATACAAACCTAGCCGATACGGCTATGACCGACTATACACCACCACCTCCCCCAGAGGCATCTGTTACAGATGACCCTACGGGTGAAGATGCTTATCTACGTCGCATTCAGATGTCGGCTGGAACCCAGCCTATAGCAGAATCTGCGCCGCCACCACAATCACGGCCGCTAGAAGCGCTGCAACCTGCCTCTGCGACTATTTCTCGTGCACCTGTCCGCTATACTTTACCTCCCCCACCGGCAGATATACCTGCATCAGAAGCAGAGCTTGAGGAAGTTTTCGCTAAGGAGCAACCGGTGGAAGGTGAGGGTGAAGGTGAAGAGGAGGGTCAGCGCTCACTCCGGCCCGGACAGAAGGGATTTGCTCAGCGTCTGCTTGAAAAGTATGGTTGGACAAAAGGCTCTGGTTTGGGCGCAACGGGGTCGGGTATTGTCAACCCACTGCAGGTCAAGGTCGAGAAACAGAAGAAGCGGCCAGACTCAGAGGGTGGTGGCTTCGCCACTCCCGCTGGCAGGGGTAAAATCATTGGTGGTGCGAGGAAGAAAGAAGACGAGGGGAAGTTTGGTCAAATGAGCGAAGTCGTTGTCTTGAAGGGCATGTTAGACGGCATGGACGTGGAAGCAGAACTAGAAGGCGACCAGGATGGGGGCTTGATGCAAGAGATCGGGGATGAGTGTTCTGAGAAGGTGGGATCCTACTCCTCTGGTGCTACTATGCAATTCTAACCTGAACAGTATGGAAATGTCGAACGTGTCTTCATTGCCCGCAGCGCGGCCCCTCCAGTCCCGGTATTTGTCAAATTCACCAATCAGCTATCTGCTCTAAGAGTAAGGGTCTTTAACCGAGTGATTTGGTTGTTTGTTTACTAATGCATTTCTTCCATTCAGGCTGTCAACGCCTTGGAGGGCCGAATATTCAACGGGAATCCAATCACAGCTCGGTTCTTTGACACCCAGAAATTTGAGGAAGGAATATATGAATAAGAACTACAAAGGAATAGAGTTAATGAATGATACCGATAAGCTTCTGTCAGTTTTACACCAGGCACCAAATTTCTTTAGTTCAATTTGTCAGTAACACCTGGCACATCAGAACCATGTGTCAAGAGCCGACCAAACAAGTCTAATGTGCCTCTTGAGGTTTTGCAGCTTTTATCCATGAAAGTGAAGGCTCTCTTCAGCCGTGTTGTTACTGGTCTTAGTGATAGGAACTAGCCTTCTCATCACATAGGCGTTTCTCCTACCTTTGCGTCCCTCGTCTTGCGACGCGTTTGATAAGAGCACCAGTCCAAATCATCGGCCACCATGATATAAGGCCTTTCTCGAGGCATAACAATGGTAGCAGGTATTTATATGGAGACATAGGGTTGGTATCAAGCAATTTATGATGCACCATGGCCGCCTTGTTCTGAGTCAAATTATTGGAGAGAATGGTTGGCAATAAGGAAAAGCGAGGTTGTTGTGTAACCTCGAGCTCTTTATAAATCAATACTAGTAGATATGGCAGTGGGCATCTCCTATTGCTAGTTCTTACTACTGCTAGTATATCGATATGGGGTACGCCTGTTATGCATGTAATACGTGGTAGTCAGGTGACCCAGATCAATCTCCGTAGGGCCGGCCAGCGATTGGCTGAGGGGCATCAAGCCGATGGGTTTCTAAGAGGTACTTTGGAACATTCACGGACTTCCACAGATTCAGTGACAGCGCCTCTCATTCCCACCTTTGTGTTCCCTCCCTGTTCATCTATTTTCTTTTTTTCCACTTTCTTATTTCTTTATTGACCCCTCACCCCCCGCTGATATCATTCTACAGCTCATCCAGCTTGCCCACTCTTCACTTGGCTCTTATTTATTCTCTGGTAGATTCAACTATTCACTACCTTTTGCGCCACTCCAAAGATCAAGATGTCTCTTTGTCTGAATCGCCTGACGGAAGAAAGGTATGTGATAGAATCGTTTGGCGCTCGGCTACGGCCTTGCCTCAGGTTGGCTCTTCCCGGATACTGATTGCGATTTTGTATCTGTACAGAAAGCAGTGGCGACGTGACCATCCTTTCGGATTCTACGCGAAGCCTTATCGAACCCCTCAGGGTGTGTTGGATTTGAAGCGCTGGGAGTGTGGCATCCCGGGAAAGGCGCAGACTCTCTGGGACGGCGGCCTTTTCAAGCTCGATGTTACTTTTCCAGACGGTACGTTGTTATCTACTTCTCGGATGTCGCGAAGGTAGAAATGAGATTGACTAACCTATTTCTGTACAGAATACCCGACTAAGCCTCCAAAGTGTACGTATTATCACCCTCCGTTGAAGACAAACCGGGGCGGAAAGCAACGGTGACCTTGCTGGATTTCATGGCGGATAGCTAATGTTCACTACAACAGGCAAATTCGTCCCTCCTCTATTTCACCCGAATGTTTACCCCTCAGGCACCGTCTGCCTTTCAATTTTGAACGAGGAAGAAGCCTGGAAACCTGCCATCACCATTAAACAAATTCTGCTGGGCATCCAGGACCTGCTCGATGACCCCAATCCGGAGTCGCCTGCACAGGCGGAGGCATACAATCTGTTCAAGAAGGATCGGCCGGCATATGAGAAACGGGTGAGACAAGTTGTGAAGGATAACCCAACGCTTTAAGCCCTCCTTCTACGGCGGACTGGATTACGCATTCGGGGGTTTAGTTCTTTCTTTCCCCATGTCGTCTTTCCTCACCAAATTTCTTACACGGGCATGGCGCATTATGAACGGAGGCGAACGTTGATGGCTGGTAGATAGCCACGTGGGAGTGATTTTACGTTAGCAGATATCTCACTCCATGCAGCGTGTTTCTCATTTCTTGTGCAGGGATGGGGGAGAATGGAAAGCTAGAAGGACGGGCTGTGCATTTTTCTGGCTGTGACGACTGATGGCGTATGCGCGCATCACTTTCTTTACATTTATGATCACGATCTTTTGTTTTTCTTACTCCCTCTAGCGAGCATGGCGTCTTAGCATTCACAAAATGGGTGGTTATGGACGGCGTTTTAGAATCGCTTTGTTGTTCCTTTCTTCTCTGACCCGGCCCGTTTCTTCGGGTCTTCTCTGGCAACCGTACAATCACTGTGCTCTCGCAGCTCATATGGTCATTTCTACCTACAACGGGTGATCTGACACTTCCGTACTTAGTATGTGGGGTAGAATGATCCGCTTGGCCGATAGGGGTCGAGTTGGTCTGCTCCAGACGTGCTCCAGCGAATCCCTAATACCTCCCATGGTACGAGTAGGTAGTATCTGGTCAGTTCTGTAACGTACGAGGAACCTTAAGAGAAAAGGAGTAGTCATGGAATAATCAGGCTGTCATTGGAGGGCACCCAATCCAGACCCAGAGCGGTTATCTTATCAGTGAGTCACGTCCGTCAAAAAAGATTGAATAAATTGTGGCCGAAATCGCCCCTCGATTCCGCCCCGCCGGAAATCGCATTTTAAAAAGTCACTCTTCCCCATACCCTATACTTTTCCCGGAAAGCACGCGTGGCAATTCCTTTTCTTTCTCTTCTTCTTGTCACCTTGCTGCTTGTCGTTTTCTCTAGTGAGCCAATTGCTCGTCGTCATCATGTGTGGCATTTTCGCGTGTTATAAGTATGTCCCTATCGCTTCTGTTTGATCCCTGCACTCCCTCCCCGCGAAACCCTAGCAGCGGGTACGGGGCCCTTTCCGGATCAAGTCGCTAACAGTTGTTACCCTCGGCAGCCACCCTGATGTGCAAAAATTTAAGCCTACGGCTTTGCGCATGGCCAAGGCGTAAGTATTCCTCCTCTTTTGTCGGACAGCAGAACTGAGACTGATTTCGTTGCCAGCGTGCGCCACCGTGGACCCGATTGGAGTGAGTCACATTTATGTGGAAGGGTTTAGTGAAGACTATACTGAGAAAATAACAGGCGGAAACTTCATTGCTGATAAGACCAGTCAGTCAATCCCATTTCTACAAGGAACGTCCACCCAGAAACTAGGAGCTAACGCATCGCAGTCCTTGCACACGAGCGTCTGTGTATCGTCGGTGTCGGTATGTGCCCTGCCAAGCTTCGCAAGCGAGGTGTCCTGCTAAGACCTTTCAGACTCTGGTGCTCAGCCCCTTGTGAACGATGACGGTTCCCTCGCTCTGGCCGTCAACGGAGAAATCTATAACCACCGCATCATCAGAAAGAACCTTAAGAACCAATATGACTTCAAGACACATTCAGATTGCGAAGTTGTTATCCCATTGGTACGTGTGAAAGGACCATTGTAGCCGCAAACACAGTGATATTATGGAGGCTGACGAGTTCAGTACATGGAACATGGCCTTGATGCCCCTAAGCACCTTGACGGCATGTTCTCTTGGGTGCTTTACGACAGAAAGCAAGACCGGGTTGTTGCGGCACGCGATCCCATTGGTGTCACTAGCTTCTACATCGGCTGGTCTTCGGAGACCCCAGGAGCTATCTACTTCGCTTCGGAGCTGAAGTCCCTGCACCCAGTTTGCGACAAGATCGAGGCTTTCCCTCCTGGCCACATTTTCGACTCGAAGACCGGCTCTATGACTCGTTATTTCCAGCCTAAGTGGTGGGATCCCACTAACGTCCCCACGACTCCTGTTGACCTTAAGGTCCTCCGTCACACCTTGGAGAAGTCTGTTCGGAAGCGTCTGATGGCTGAGGTTCCTTACGGTGTTCTGCTGTCCGGTGGTCTGGATTCCAGCTTGGTCGCCTCCATTGCCCAGCGTGAGACTCTGCGCATGCAGGAGGCTGCCAAGGTAGCCGTCCAGAACCAGACTGGCTCATCCGATCTGGTTGGCATTGACGACAGCAACGAGCTCTCTACCGTCACCACATTCCAACAGTTGCACTCCTTCTCCATCGGTCTGCCCGGTGCTCCCGATACTGAGGCTGCCCTTGAGGTGGCCAGGTATCTTGGAACCAAGCACCACGCTTTCACCTTCACCGTTGAGGATGGTATCAACGCTCTTTCCGATGTCATCTACCACTTGGAGACTTATGATGTGACTACCATCCGTGCATCTACTCCCATGTATCTCCTCAGCCGCAAGATCAAGGCCATGGGTGTGAAGATGGTTCTGAGTGGTGAGGGAAGTGACGAGATCTTCGGTGGTTACCTCTACTTCCACGCTGCCCCCAACAAGGAGGAATTCCACAAGGAGACTGTGAGACGAGTCAAGGCCCTGCACCTGGCAGACTGCCTCAGAGCGAACAAGTCGACTTCTGCTTGGGGTCTGGAAGCCCGTGTGCCTTTCTTGGACAAGAACTTCCTCGAGACTGCTATGGGTGTTGATCCTCAGGATAAGATGATCACCAAAGAGCGCATTGAGAAGTACATCCTGCGTAAAGCATTCGACACCACCGATGAGCCCGATGTCGAGCCATACCTTCCCGAGAAGATCCTCTGGCGCCAGAAGGAGCAGTTCAGCGACGGCGTTGGCTACAGCTGGATCGACGGCCTGAAGGACCATGCTGAGACTCATGTCACTGATGAAATGATGAAGAACCCTAAGCCCGAGTGGGGCAACGATATCCCTGATACCAAGGAAGCGTATGTCCTACACCTTACAAAGTCATGAGTGAGCATTAGGAACTGACCATAACAGTTACTGGTACCGTATGATGTTCGATGAGCACTTCCCACCTTCCTGTGCATCTACTGTTGAGCGCTGGGTGCCCACATGGTCGAAACAGACCGACCCTAGTGGAAGGTATGTTTGCAATGAGTCATTTCTCTCTTGGATTGTTCGTTACCTCAGAAGGCAAATGCTAATGTTTGACACCAGAGCTATCGCGACTCACAACGCCAAGTACGACCATGTTGAGTAAATGTTTAGATAATGATGCTTGCGATTTGTGTCGGGTGTTTGGGATAGACTCATGCAATAGAGACGTGTCTCAAAAAGTGTTTTTTCCGCCCTTAACAGGGCGGAGGGTTATGAAATCCCTTTCAAAACTGCTCTTGTATAATGGTGCCTTCTTTTAGGTTAGAGCCCTCGAAATAGACCAGGTTGTAGCTCTGTTATAATTTATAGATAAAACAGTTGGGAGGCTTCCCGGCAGTTGACAAGCGGTGGTTCAGGGGGAAGGTTAAGAAGTAAACCTTGATACTATGACTAGTAGTATGAGCTTATGCAAGTTAACCCATTGGATGAAACTTTACGCGTCCACTTGCAGATGACGGCATAGCCGCCCCAGGCATCAATGTCACGAGACTTAGCGGATTTTACCGGCAACCGAGTAGCAGCCAATCAGAGTGAGCGGCTTTTCCCGTGGTTTCCTTGTTGTTTGGGACTCAACCTTCAACGTCGCTTTTCCCCATCGCTTTCCTCCCTTCTTCTCCCCTCACCGTTTCCGTCCCCCTTCAACCGTTATACTACCTTTACGATACCCACGTTATCGTTAACCACTCCTCTCACATTCACAATGTCTGCTCCTGCTTCTTTCTCTGACATCGCCAAGGCGGCCAACGATGTATGCTCTTGTGGTTTCCTTTGATTTGCAAAAATCAACGACAAAATAAGCTTGACGGGAAGGATTTTCGTGCTAATATTCTGCGCAATAGCTCCTTAACAAGGATTTCTACCACACCAGCGCTGGTATGTGTGTCTTGCTGTTATATCTACAATTGGTGGTTACAATACTTTTCGCGCGCAACCTGGCTAACTTGATTTTTTAGCCAGCCTTGAGGTCAAGTCTAAGGCTCCCAATGGCGTCACCTTCAACGTGAAGGGCAAGAACGCCCACGAGGGTCCCATCGCTGGCTCCGTAAGTCTCACAGCTTGCATACTGCGAATGATGTCAAGTTATTGGACATAACGCTAACCGATCAATCTTATAGCTCGAGGCCAAGTATGTCGACAAGCCTACTGGTAAAGGCCCCAAAAGACGCAGACGTCCCATACGCAAACCACCCAATTCCAATTGCCCAATATTGCGAGACGCTCGGTCCATGTTTTCATTTTCATGCGGCCAAGCCTTGTCTCAGCATCTCAAAATCTTTCTTTCATCCAGGATTAGCCATCATGCAGTCTTGCTAATATTCTGTCCCCGCCCAGGCCTCACCCTCACCCAGGCATGGACCACTGCCAACGCCCTCGACACCAAGCTCGAGCTCGACAACAACATTGCCAACGGTCTCAAGGCCGAGATCCTCACCCAGTACCAGCCTTCCAAGCAGTCCAAGGGTGCTAAGGTCAACCTTCACTTCAAGCAGCCCAACCTGCACGCCCGTGCCTTCTTCGACCTCCTGAACGGCCCCTCCGCCAACTTCGACGCTGTTCTTGGCCACGAGGGCTTCCTCGTTGGTGCTGAGGGTGGCTACGACGTCCAGAAGGCTGCCATCACCAAGTACTCCGCTGCCATTGGCTACAGCGTTCCCCAGTACACCGCTGCCATCACCGCTAGCAACAACCTGTCCGTCTTCGCTGCCAGCTACTACCACCGCGTCAACGCTCAGGTTGAGGCTGGTGCTAAGGCTACCTGGGACTCCAAGACCGGCAACTCCGTCGGCCTTGAGGTTGCCAGCAAGTACAGACTCGACCCCTCTTCCTTCGCTAAGGTATGCGAACCTTTTGTGTCTATGTGAGGTAAAACAACACTAATTGATGACAAAATAGGCCAAGATCAACGACCGTGGTGTCGCCGCTCTGGCTTACAACGTTCTGCTCCGCCCTGGTGTCACCCTTGGCCTTGGTGCTTCCTTCGATACCCAGAACCTGAACCAGGCTGCCCACAAGGTCGGTGCCAGCTTCACCTTCGAGGCTTAAACGAGTCTCTCTGTGTACTATCTCTCCACGCCTATAATACCGTGTTCCGCTAGCCTGAGGATAGCAATTTGTGAATAATATTAGACTTTTCTATCTATGGTTGCTTTCTAGATGCCATATAGCTGTACTCGGAATGGGTGCATATATATCAGGCTCTGCTGGAAACGGGCGAGTGCTATCAAATGCCAACCTTACTAATCGTGTACCGTATCTATCCATGATCAATGTATATCAGTTAGGACCCAGCCTCCCTCGATTGTAGAGCCAACGTCAGGTTGTTTGAAGAGCTCGTTCTCACATGTCCGCTATGATGGATATGGTGACCATTAGTCGAACCAAAGTTGATAGGCATAGGCAGCATTATCCCCGATCCACGTAGACGAGCGTACTAATAAATCCATACAAGGGAATTGTAGCTGTGGGGGGAGCCACGACCGTGCACGATTCAATCTGGGTTATATGGTCTATTAAAGGAATCACATCCCTAGCTTTTAACAGCACTGTACATAGGGAATTAGGAAGACAACACCTTCTATATACCAAACCATAGGATACCCGCGACTCACTCTTCTTTCCGCCGAGCCGGTTTACTACCGCTAGCCTTGGTGCCCCGTTCCCCAGGCCAACCGATAAAACCCGTCATAGACCCAGCGCCCACCAGAATGCCGCAAACGATAATAAACCGCACAGCAAAATCTCCGCGACTTCCAATATACCGATCATTCATCTCCGCACCCATCTCCTTCGACCGCCTCTCCTTCCGCCTCGCATCCTCAGCTGACTGCGTCTTATAATGCCCCGGCGCATCAAAATGATTCACAGGGTTTCGATAAATAAATGCCGTAGGATCATGCTCGCTCCAGCCGCCCGCAGCCGAAGACGACGACGCTCCCCGGGGAGCCTTCCTATTCCCGTACCCCCCATGCGCATAGAAACTGGGGGGCGGCCCACGGAACTGTCCCCGGCGTTTACTCAGTCCGCTAGCTGGCCGTGATCCAGCGTATGATGCCCCCTTTGTGTGCAGGTTTGCGCTGTAGCTACTGTGGCTGCCCATGGGGTGTTGACCAGGGTTTGCGGTGCTGTGTGTTGAATGGTGGGCTATGATCCCGTGTTCACGGTCGTAGGCGGCGCGTTTGGTGTGGTTGCTGAGTATTTCGTAGGCGGAGGAGATTCGGGCGAAGCGTGAGGAGGCCTTTGGGTCGTTGCGGTTGCGGTCTGGATGGTGGCGGAGGGAGAGGGCATAGAAATTTCTGGGTTGGAAGTTTTCATTGTTAGCCCCTTTCTTGCATATTAGCGAGATTGTGATTGAGGATGGCCTTGTAGTGAATGCAATATTCTCGTGGTATGTATATGTGTGAATGTAATGTATGTCTGAGGCCAGGAGACCGGGTGGTGTGGAGGGGTATACGCACTTTTTGATCTCCGCTGCTGACGCCGTTATGGGTACTTCGAGGACTTCATAGTGGTTCGGTTCACGGCTTGTTGCGCGTCTAGTTTGCGACGTCGAGAACGAAGCTGTACCGGCGTACGATGTGGGGTGAATATGGTTCCAATGTTGTGTGTGTGGATGCGTAGTCCGGAGTCGAATACCGGGGGTCCTCACGCGAGGAAATAGCATGTCTTTGGACGTGCCTGTGTTGTCATTCGATCCTGATACCGGAGGATAGGGATGGTTTGGCAGTTGGAGGAGAGACCACGGGCTATTGGGAGGTGAAATAGTAGGTAGTTGGGTGAATTGGATATAGATTGGGAGCGGAAGTACTAATGGGGGGGAGGAAATTCCGCCGCTCGTCGGAGGTGCTGCGTCATCGGTTGATCGGTGTTATCTGATAATCTACCCTTGGCCGATCAAATAGGAAAGGAGTAAAATATGTACGTCCGTTTAATGGATAAACGCTATTTTAGCGTATGATGGCTATTGATATGATTATTATCTTTTATTTTAACTGTTTGAAGTGTTAGACTTGTCTACATACTGTTGTTGGTTGTATAATACCGTGTGTCTCATCCATGTATTTTGGACTATGGCTGGAAACCGCAGGGTTTTCTCAGCACTACCGTAACTGGCACCTTCAAAAAGTCTTAGACCGAAAAATAATACATACAAATGTACACCATACACATATTCAAATATGTATATCATAGCGTTGGTATAAAAACTAGCTGTGCACGCGACAATTTGCTATTGAGTCTCGAACCAACCCAATACAAAGTTACACCACAAGGGGAGCTTCTTGTCCAATGTACCCTCTGCTATACTCAAATTACAGGAGAACCAAGTAGTACCTAAGGCAAGAGCGATTCTCCTATATACGGTGGCGAAGGCGTATCCAACTATACCTGGTGAAATAATAGTAGAAGGCAGTATGTCTTGGCGTTGGAACCCTGCGATACTAAATACCGAATGCAGCCGCTCCCCTCTTTTTTTTCCGCCGTCAGATTTCTCTGCCCACCCAACGCAAGTTTTTGCATCCCGCCAACGGATTTTCATCCTTTAAATCCTTTTCATAATGGCTGCTCAGGCTAGCGAGGATCTGCAGAAGCTTGACCGTAGGTGCTTACCCAGTTCGTGCATTGTTGATCGCACTTAAACTGATAAGATATGTCCTGTCCCAGTGAACGGCCAGGGCGGCGCCGCTAAAGCGGACGCCCCGACCGCGGGTCAAGCAGAAGCCGGAGAGGCGGAGGACGATTCGGATGACGACGCTGATGAAGGAAATGCTGCCGCCGAAGGCGGAGCCAACGGAGGTGCGCCAAACCAACCAAGATACCCCCGGCCAAGGAATACGGAACCCCGCTGACCACAACCGGTGATGTATAGCCGCCAAGAAAAAGAAGAAGCGCAAGTCTAAGAAGAAGAAGAAGGGCGGTGCCAAGGTTCAGAGCGAGCCCCCGCGGGTCCCTCTGTCTCAGCTCTTCGCCGGCAAGCAGTACCCCGAGGGCGAGATCGTCGAGTACAAGGATGATAATTCGTTCCGCACGACCAACGAAGAAAAGCGTTATCTCGACCGCATGAACAGTGATTTCCTGCAGGAGTACCGTCAGGCTGCCGAGGTGCACCGTCAGGTCCGTCAGTATGCACAGAAAACCATCAAGCCGGGCCAGACCTTGACGGAGATCGCTGAGGGCATCGAGGATTCGGTGCGTGCTTTGACTGGCCACCAGGGTCTTGAGGAGGGTGACAACCTCAAGGGTGGTATGGGTTTCCCCTGCGGTCTGAGCATCAACCATTGCGCCGCTCACTACACACCGAATGCCGGCAACAAGATGGTGTTGCAGCAGGGAGATGTGATGAAGGTCGACTTCGGCGCGCATATTAACGGCCGCATTGTCGACAGTGCTTTTACTGTGGCATTCGATCCAGTTTATGACCCCCTACTTGAGGCCGTTAAGGATGCTACCAATACTGGAATTCGCGTATGTCTTCTATGCCTCCAACTTCCTAGTTTTATACGACTTTTGCTGACTGCTGAATATAGGAAGCGGGTATTGACGTCCGCATGAGCGATATTGGTGCCGCCATCCAGGAGGCCATGGAAAGTTATGAAGTTGAACTCAACGGGACCATGTATCCCGTGAAGTGTATTAGGAACCTCAACGGTCACAACATTGACCAGCACGTCATTCATGGAGGCAAGAGTGTTCCAATCGTGAAGGGTGGTGATCAGACCAAGATGGAGGAAGGTGAAGTTTTCGCCATTGAGACCTTCGGTAGTACCGGAAAGGGCTACGTGAGAGAAGACGTACGTGTGCTACTGGTTCAAGATTGTGAGTCTAGACGGAACTAACTTACTGATAGATGGAAACCTCCCACTATGCCTTGGATCCTAATGCCTCTCCGGTGCCTTTGCGTCTCTCCTCGGCCAAGAATCTGTTGAATGTGATCAACAAGAACTTCGGCACTTTGCCTTTCTGCCGTCGTTATCTTGACCGACTTGGACAGGACAAATATCTACTTGGAGTAAGTCGATAAGCTCACTAGGCCTTCGGCAACCCCCGCTAACATATTCGTAGTTGAACAACCTGGTTTCGTCCGGCATTGTCCAGGACTACCCACCACTTTGCGATATCAAGGGCTCTTACACTGCCCAATATGAACATGTAAGACCGCCCCACGCTACTGTACCTGAACTTAGAATTCAGACTAACTGAGCATGCAGACTATTGTCCTTCGGCCTAACGTTAAGGAAGTGATCAGTCGTGGAGACGATTACTAAACCAGGGTGGTTGATTGGATGTTGCATATGTTCCTTTGCTTATCGTATTATTATGAGATCAAGAAAACCCCAATGATAGCAATAGAAATGGTCATGAACATACTCTTCCAGTATACTTGGATCAACCCATGGATCCTGGATATCAAACCATAATTCTCGAATAGGCAAGGCGGCAGATCGGGCCAGTCACAACCATCCATGGCGCCGGCTGGGCCCCACGTGGAAACAATCCACTCCGACTCACGTTGTCGTTGCAATTAATCAGAAGACTCGGATCGTCGCTTTGCCATTGCCTCCTCTTCTTTCTCTCCTTCTCTACCCGCTCTCGACCCATGGCGTAAACCCATCACCTTTCCCTAACCCATCCCGCCCTCCCAACCATGGCCTCCGCCATCGCGACCACCGATACTCCGCATCTCCGCGTGTCCGCCGCGAAGAACAAGGGTCTCGATATAAAGAATGACCAGCAGTCGGTCAGAATTCCACCGCCAGAGTCTATAGTCGAGGACCAATTTTTTTGGACATATACGGAAGAGCCTCACCGTTCAAGACGGCAAGCGATCATCAAGGCCCATCCAGAGGTGCGTTCAACGCCTTTCACCGCTTCATCGGAGGCACCGCTAATCTCATGAGTCCGCTATATCAGGTAACCAAGCTCTGCGGTCCCGAGCCTCTCACCAAATATGTGGTGTTCGGCGTTGTATCTCTTCAGATATGCTGTGCATATCTACTCCGGGACACCTCGATGCTGTCCTGGCGGTTCCTCGCAACCGCATACTTGATCGGAGCAACTGCCAACCAGAACCTCTTCCTCGCCATCCATGAAATTTCTCATAACCTTGCCTTCCGGTCCCCGATGGGCAATCGCCTATTGGCGATTTTTGCCAATCTCCCTATTGGGTTACCCTACAGCGCCGCGTTCCGGGTATGTCCTGCAGGATATAACCGCCTAGACGCTATCAGTCACTGACAATGTAATGACTAGCCCTACCACCTAACACATCATAAATCCCTCGGCGTCACAGGCCTCGATACCGATCTTCCAACTGCGGTTGAGGCCTTCCTCCTCGACTCCCTCCTCGGCAAGGCCTTCTTCTGTACTTTCCAGATCCTCTTCTACGCCGTCCGGCCTATGTTCATCTACAGCCCGCCCTTCACCTACATCCACGCTCTGAACCTCGCCGTCCAACTCTCCTTCGACTATGCCCTCACCAAATTCTGCGGCGGCTCGCTACAGCCCTTCTTCTACCTCATTCTCAGCTCGTTCCTCGCCGGCTCGCTCCATCCATGCGCAGGCCACTTCATCGCAGAGCATTACTTCTTCTCCCAAGTCGACCACGGAACAGAGTCCATCACAGAGCAGAAGACGAAACCCACCGAAAAGAAACAGCCCCATCCCTTGGATAGCCTCCCTCCCCCCGAAACATACTCCTACTATGGACCCCTTAACATCCTGACCTACAACGTAGGTCTGCATAATGAACATCACGATTTCCCTGCCATTCCCTGGACAAGATTACATGCGCTCCATCGCATCGCGAGCGAGTTCTACGAGCCGCTGCCTTGTCATCGTTCCTGGGTCTGGGTTATCTGGACGTTTATTCTGGATAAGAATGTCGGGATGTGGTGCCGGGTCAAGAGAGCCCAGGGGGGCCGGGTTGTCGGTGGTGGCGGGAAGTCCGGACGTAGCGGAGAGACTATCTCGGCTGAATCGGCTGGGCCGGAAGAGAATGAAGATGGGTGGAAAGAGAGTGAACTTCAAAGCTGATCTGTATATGTACTATTGCTGTTCTTACTGGATATGGATACTGTTGATGATTATAGAATAGAGATGATATCGTATAAACCATGTGCAATTATTTGGGAATAGGTGTTACTAGGCTTCTGGTGGTGTTGACTTGATTCATCTAATACCAGATACAGCGGCCGTAGATATACATACGAAGAAATGAAAGGGAGGACACAAGTGCATTCACTGGGGGCGAGTGTATGATGTCTGAATGGACTGGATCAAGATACACAACACTTCATAAGGCTCGAGCTTGAACAAGGCGAGAAGAGGTGGTTAGAAACATATGATACAGGATCGGAGTACTCGTATAACTGGAAGTTGTTTTTTTAAAATAATTGATTCTATTGCTGTTCTGTGCTTCCATTTTGGCCGTCATGATCGAATATAGGTAATCGAAGAAATGAGTAGAGGAACAGAAGAGAAAAAAGGGGTGGGAAAAAAAGAAGATGAAAGAGAAAAGGAAAGGGTAAAATGTAGAGAAAAAGAAAATAGAAACGAAAAGGGCGACAAGAGGTATGAATAAGGCAACAGCGGTGTAGAGTGCAACTGGGGAAATAACGATATAAAGGGGTGCTGAGGCTAAGAACGATGCCGCGGAAGCAACTCAAAGGGAATACAGTTCATCTGTAACAAGATAGTTCAAACATGGGGGGGTAAAACTGAGATTAGTAAGAAAAGAAATGATAAAGAGGGAAAGATCGGCAATCAGAAGAAAAAGTACGCAATCAAGAAACTAAGAAGGCACAAACCAGCCACCATTTGCACCGGCACTCCGGGCTCGATGGATTGAGCGTGCTGTTGTTGCAACGCCGGCGCACCTGATTTTTCGGTCTCGCCGCCGATCTTCCTTTGCCTCAAGCCCTGGTCTGCCAGCCTGTCTTTCAGGTTCTGGATCTGCGCCTTAGCCTCGGCAAGCTGTGCACTTAGGTCTTCACCCGAGGTTGGAATAGCGCTTGCAATGGCTGCCTTTGCAGAGGAGGCCTTGGACTCATTCGTCTGTGGGGTAGTGATGTTCCGCTTATCACTGAAATCTGGCGGTGGGATTGGTGACGTGTCGTTGGCGACTTTGCTGGCAGCTCCTACGGCAGGGGTCTGGAAGTTGGCAGCGGGAGAAGTATAGGCAGGGGGCTCGTCATCCGGCACATTCTAAATCAGCGATTAGTCCTGCGGTGGCCTATGCGAAAGGCTGGGCGACAATGTGAAACGTACAACACCGTTCGTATCTCCCTGCTCGGCGGCTGGGGAGTCCTCAGCGGATAGCCAGTTCACGCGGATCTTGCGCTCCTGGATTGCAGCCTTGGAAGCCTTTTCAAACTATGAGACCGTTAGGAGATCGGTCTGTAAATATCGATCGGGAAAGACGTACGATAGAAGTGACGTTCGCAAACTCCATGTCACGAGTTACCGCAACAGTTTGGACGAGGAACTTGTCCTTGCATTTGGCATCCGCGGCGGGCTCCTCTTTCATGGCCTGTAACAACACTTTATAATAATTAGACTTTTGGCGGTTTCCGACATCGTAGGGTCGATTTCTGAACCCACCTTGGACATCGACGCTCTTTCCGGGTTCTATCCGTCCCGAGTTGGGGCGAACACAGTAGCTGAGGCATGTTAGTAAACACCACGATCACTGTCGGCAGAGATGAAGTGGGGGGAAAGCGACTGCGTACTGTTTCGGGGCGGTCGTTTTAACCTAGTACCGAGCAACTCTTTAGTGGGCGGTCGAGATCTCAGGGGAATGTCCTTCCGCATACCTTGAAAACAACAGGCTCCTGATTTTCATTATTGAGATGTAGGATCTGGCAGACTTCACGATTGAAGGGGCCTGCAACCAAACCGTTTAGTCTCGAGTCAATGACGAATGATTTCAACCCCGAAAGGTATACTCACGCTTGAAGGCTAACTCGGGGGGCTCGAGAATGATAGACATTTTGGAAGTCACAAGACACGAGTGCGCAGGCAGACACAAGGAGAGTTAGGACTAATATATGGGTCCCAGCGATGGAGAATGAATGTATGCGTGGTAGGGCAGCCGATGAGGCCAAGAAGGCTGGACAACAGATGACTTAGGAGGCTGAGAGATGACCAATGTAGTTAGTCTGGTCAGGTAGAAAGTTGTACTGATGGTGATGCTGCTGGTGTATTATTCAGGCGCAATACTCGACTTGTCGCAACGATGCCAATTGGCCCCCGGCCGCGCTGACTCAGCCAACCCGCGGGTGCAAGTCAGGTGATGTCATCACGGATTATTTATCCTCTTTTCCCCTTTCATCTCATCTCAGAGATCGCCTGGTCTAGTACTTTTAACTACTATCAATGAGTGTCTTGCATTACGGAGTACGTGATTCCTCTCTCTCCGTCATGGTTCTGAACACCATTCATTACAGGCAATGAACGCAATTACAAGAGAGGAACCATCCAGTTCCCCTTTTTTCTAGTATTTCGAAAGTCTGGCCCTATTCCTCGGGATCCACTCATTGACATCCTCGGACCCTAAAAATGTGCCCCAAATCTCCCTAGTTGGTATTCGATACATGTGACGGATGTTTTGCATAAATGGTGATCGCCTCTCTAACATTGTGGTCAATGCGTACGGAGCGCAATTTACCATACTTAATTTCTAGGGAAACCTTTGCGAGTTCCATTGGGCATTAATTAGCGTTTTTGTTACCTGTCTGCGTCTACTGACTGACCGCTCATCGGCATTGCGTCTCCAAAGGATAGGATCTCAGGATGTTCTCCACGAAGCCAGACACTGGCCTCAAGATATGATACTGGAAACTCACCGCTACAAGAATGCGTAGTGCTGCTGTTCGATATCAAGTTCGATATTCTACAGATGCTGAGAATAAACTCTTGGGAAGGTGTTGGTTTCCCCACTAGATGTGGACTCCCAGATCTAGGACACTATAGCTTAATCATTTGAGTTAATCCTCAATACGAGAAGGACATGCCCCTACCAGCCGTAGCAATGCCTAATTTGCCAGATTTGTGCGGAGTAGATTGGGTTCTGTTAAACTCATAAGAGTTCCTAGATTGTCCACGGTCTCGACCATTACGCTACCGCTGGATTCTGCTCTGACAATATCCTCACCCGGTGATGAGCCCCAGATGTATGAAAAACATTAGTTATATCGAACATTATAAAGCATAAAGGAATATCGGTCGATTTAGTCGGTCAAGAAGATATCCATAGAGCTGAACAATGGTATTGTGGTACTATGTCTGTACATACAGTACCGTATCGACGGTGATTAATACCAGTCAAAGTGTTCCGCTAAGTACGTCACTTGAACACCTTTCTTTACTACAGCTTCCACCCAAACATCAATTTGGATAACTCTCGGAAATCGTCATTATTCCCCTATTTCTCTTGGAATACTGAGCATATTGAGTTGTCTGTTTCCGCTCATACGTCGGCACACTACATAACGACGACCTTGTAGTACCTTGTTCTGCCCCACTTCTCCAACCGATCCCATCCATACTCAATCCCACTTCGAATCTCTCTACACCTCTCTACACCTCTCTACAACTCTTGCCACGACACTACCATGGCTCCCTCCGATTTGGACCAGCTCATTGAAATGGGCTTCGATAAGGAACGAGCCGAGTTGGCCGTTACCAAGAGCGGTGGTCGTAGGTGTTCCGCCATACTACCACTGGTTGCTCTCCAAGTATCCACTAACAACGTGCTTTTCTTTCTCAGTCCAGGGTGCTTTAGAATGGCTCGAAGCGAACCAAGACAAATCTTTAGAGGAGATAAAGGCCGATGCCAATAATGATGATGAGGAAGAGGGCCCTCAGCTTCAACCAGGCGAGGAAGCTAGGAGCCTGGTCTGCAACGACTGTGGAAAGAAATTTCGAAGCCATGCACAAGCGGAATTCCACGCTTCCAAGTCTCAACATGTTGATTTCTCTGAATCTACGGAGGAACTCAAGCCTCTCACGGAGGAGGAAAAGAAAGCTAAGCTGGAGGAGCTCAGACAAAGGCTGGCAGCGAAGCGATCGGTGCAGTCTGAGCAGGATAAGATTGACCAGAAGAGAAATGAAGTAAATGCGCCACCCTGGATTACATTTGGAGGTGTATCTACTAACCACTTCGCGTATAGGAAATCCGACGAAAGAGCACTAAAGAATCCCAAGATGTGAAGGAGGAGCTCCAGAGGAAGCAAATGATGAAGGAAGCAGAGAAGAAGAAACAGGAGAAGCTGGCAGACATCGAAGCGAAACGACGTGTCAAGGCGAAGATTGAGGCTGATAAAGAAGAGCGGCGACGGAAGGCTGAGCGGGAGCGCGCAGAACGAGCGGGTGTCGTACCTCCAGCTGAACCAGCTTCTACTCCATTGGCCACAAGCTCGGGCCCTTCCACTTCGAAGCCCGCATCTGCCTACACTGAAACTCGTCTGAGATTCCAAACCTCTAAAGGAAACATTATGAAAACGCTTCCTGTCACGACCACGCTGTTCGAGGTTGCTGCTGCTCTTAAGCAGGAGGATGGCATTGACGTTCAGAGTTTCTTGCAGACCTTCCCAAGAAAGGTCTTCGATTCTGAATTCTACGGCGAGTCGCTAAAGGACCTTGGCCTTACGCCCAGTGCAAGCCTCGTAGTCCAGTGAGTGGCTCTTGTTGGAGGTATCAGCCACAGGCGGGAGTAAATATTTATCAAGAATAGTAATGGCAAGAAGAACATTGATACCACGAGAAAACCAATCTAACCAATTAAAGTCAAGATGGTGTCGGTTTGGATGGATGGGCCTAACTCCCAACAAATAGTACTATATATGGAATCACGTGGTATCGCGACAGCCGGATTCCGTCACGCGTCGGGCTGCTGACCTTCGGCCTATCGTCATGATCTCCCACTGTACACCACACGCATCGGTGTATTCCAATGATACCCTTTCTTAACTAGTGTAACATTTATATAACTCTTAATGATGCCCGCGTGAGCCACTCCAGTGTGCTAGGCTACCGCCGCTGTTAATCCCGATCTAAGCTAACGCGTCTTAGTGTTGGCGACCAACATCGAGGCAACCCGACATGCATCATGATGCCCAACACGGCCGATACTACATCAGCAAACCCCTTTGAGGAACGCCCTCGCCGCATGAACGAGTATACAGCACGGGAGATCGCCACACTGCAAGCACGGCTGGATAAGAAATTAGGCCCCGAATACATCTCCTCTAGGCCAGGCGCTGCGGGACAGAGAGTCCATTATTTGGCTGCAGACAAATGCATTAACCTTGCCAACGAGGTCTTTGGCTTCAATGGGTGGTCGAGTTCGATACAACAAATTCAGATCGATTTCGTATGTTCTATTGATAAGAGCATATCTTTGTCGCGTCTACCCGAGATCGGACAGCTGATAAAACCCCTCGTAACAGGTTGACGAAAGCCCAAATACAGGGAAGATTAGTTTGGGTTTGTCAGTGGTAGTGAGGGTGACTCTGAAAGATGGGACTTACCATGAGGTATGTCCTTTCGTGGATGATATGTCTCTGAGGTGCCCAACACTAACCATCTTAAATGATATTAGGACATCGGGTACGGTCACATTGAGAATTGTAAAGGGAAAGCTGCGGCTTTCGAAAAAGCAAAGAAAGAAGGAACCACAGATGCCCTGAAACGTACATTGAGGAATTTCGGCAACGTACTGGGCAATTGCATTTATGATAAAGATTACGTATCGAAAGTGACGAAAGTGAAGACAGCACCTGTATGTGTCCTTATGGCATGTGAACGGACTAGGCTCAGACTAACATTCCCCCAGGCAAGATGGGATGTGGATGACCTTCACAGACACCCTGATTTTGCACCCATCAAGAAAGAACCAGTTCCGCGGAAGCCGATACAGGAGGATGATGATCTCCCTCCTCGCCCGACTAATGCTGGAAAGAGCAACAATAGCTCAGCCGACACCGCCTTCGATGCTGATGGAGAGTTTGGAAGTATGCAACGATAACTCAAGCTACCTCGGTACACGATTTGCTAACGATCGCAGGTGACCTATTTGACGAAGCGGACTTTGGAGTCGCCGCTACTGGAAACCCAGATGAAATAGTAATAGGCCCAGATACGCAGGGATTCCAGCAGCCACCAACGCCTATGAACCGTCAAACTGGCCCAGCCCCGTACAGGGGCCCTCAACAACATATTCCCTTAGCCGGAGCAAGACCCAACTCCGCCATTGTCACACCATCCAAGCCAGAACGACCGCTCAACCAGGCAGCTGCCCCTAGACAGATACTGCCCCTTGCTCTGAATGGCAGACCAAACCCTACTTTACCCGCTCAAAACCCGCAACACAACCTTCCAAGCGAAAGGATACAACCGGGCCAACCAAGACCTAACCAGGACACAGCCTTGCCCAGTGCAGGTGGTCAGGTGCCCATTAAACGGGAACAAGTTCCTAATCCCAACGATCCCAGATCCCAGGACATGCTCCCACCCGGAAGCTCACCGATGCCATCCGCTTCATTTTTCTCAGCCCGAGCAGTCGATCTCCTACGGGACAATCCACAAGCTAATGCAGCCCCGGCATTCGACCCCCACGCAGAAAGCCCATCAATCCGCAAGACAGCAGGTGTCGACCACACCAAGAGTGTCCCGATTTCCAAACCCATGCTTGCCGGCGTATCCCCAGTCCCCAATAACACCCGTGACTTCATCAACCCTTCTCAAGATATGCATCGGAAAATCGGCGCCCCTGACGGAATCGGCAGTCCCATGAATCGAGGCCAGACAACCTCATCCTACCGCCCGTTAACGAGACCAAACATCGACCCCAGGAATGCTGCGAATGCTGCAGCTGCAAACCGGAGCGTCGGGCCACAGAATCTAAACGGTAAACGACCACCTCTGAGTGACGTGACTAATGCATCCACCTTGGGCGACAGCGGGCCTGCTCCCGTCGGTGGTGCGATAGACCCTAAGAGGCCGAAAATCAACGAGGGGCCTGTACCACAGCAACAGCAGCAGCAACAGCAATAGGACCCTTATCGGATTCAGTATAGTTATACGGCAACATGAATAGAGTATCCATGGTTACGCGGAGATCGTCCAGGCATTGCATCGTTATAGGCCATCTCATCGGTAGTTCAAAGGCATAGGCGTTCAGGATTGGGAAACGGATAATGGAACTCTGGGTTCAAATGTAATGAGTGTTCTTGATGGATGTTATTTTCGTTATATTCTGCGCACACTAGCTCGAGGCGTGTCTCCTTAGACAAGTATGTGGCTGGGTTGCCTGCGAAAACCACACAGCTTATACTATACGTAGTCTGTCAAAATAAAAATGAAAATAAATGAACTATGAGCATGGACGCTGCCTGGAGTTTCCATGGAGTCTTCAAAACGATAACAAAACAAGGACAAGGGCTATTGGAGTCACTCCATCGGTCGTAATCAAGTATTGAATATCTATTACTTTTCCTCCAACTAGCATTTTTCAAATGACAACTGAAAATATGGAGCTTGCTCAGAAGATTAAATCAGCGAATGTACAGTCAGGGAGACTTTCGTGTATTACTATGCCCATATAAGCATGTACCTCAATGAATGCATCGAACGATCAGTAGCCCGCATGATGAATATGCAAAGGACGACTTTCAGACCCGCAGTACTATACATGAAATTGCTCCCAGGGGAATAACAACACTGTAGGTAAAGAAAGAAGAGAAAAAAACTTTTAGATAGCGGAGAGAAAGGATCCACGGGATGAAGGAAAGACTCAAGATCACGTAAACACTAACTAGAATAAAGAGAGAATCGAGCACATGAAGTCAACGAGTTAGAAAGGAGACAAAGGCTTTTACAGAGTGGCAAACCGACCGTGGGCTGAAGTACACTTACTTCAAGCAACTCAGATTGCTCATCATTCCCCGAGAGACCTTCATATCAACGGATGGGCTTGCTTTTCTCATGAACTGCATAGATAGAAGCTTGAAGGCCACCCAAAGCTTGTGCACCCGATAGATTCATTGGGGTTTTATTCTCCTTCGGCGCATGTATCGACTGCTGCAATTGATCTTCAGGTGCACCAGATTTTCGGATAACCTTGTTTGTTGGGCCTGTATGTAGAAGTATCTGTTGAGTATCGCCAAGAGGGTGGAGTGAATCTAGAGCAGGCTCCTCACGCCCTTCAAATCCCGGAATTTTCAAGTTTGGTAGCACGGGTGTTTTTCTCGGGATACTGAACTTAATTTGAGTGCTGCTTGACTCTAAACAGCCGCAATCTCAGTATCTGATGCTATACATCAGGGATGGGGAAAGGGTGGCATACCGCTCACTTGACGTCTACCAGGGAGTACGTGATCACCAAATATGTGAGTCTCCTTGGGGTGTACTGCAGCCCGATGCTCACGCCGACCTGGTAGCAGGTGGTCCCCGAATATATGGCCTGGGTATACCGCGAATGACACGGATCTAGCTCGCGCTCGAGTGGGGGTGGGTGACATATCGGGTCTGCTTGGAACGAACGGGGCCGCCGTCACATTAAGACGGCTTAGTAGACTAGGACTGTTTCGATTTTGTGAGCCACTCAAGTCACTCTCTCCCCTGGTAGCGCTTTCAGCTGAAGGCTCTGGGGATGTTGTAGTTAGCGTAGATGTGCGCTGAAAACTCTGGAGTTTTGCCTCGAGCTCCGCTTTGCATTCCACCAAGCTTTCACGGTGCTTGTTCGAGAGCGAGGTTGACGCCATTAACTTACAAAGCATTTCTATATCACGCTGAAACTTGTCATAGGGTCCATCTTCATCTGCCTGAGTAATAGCCGGGCTTCTTTCGACGGAAATTGTACTCTTTGAGGGATCCTCACATTCGGGCATCTGGGACACATGGGACGATATGCTTTCCGGGGTGCTTGGTAAGCTCTGCATAAATTCTAGGCCCTTCAGCTCTTGGAGTGAAGGGCTCATTACCAGATTATCATCGCTCGCAAGTGAGACCTTTGTGGGTGGTGTACTGCTCAAGTCAAGAAGAACTTCCGAGGAAGTTCTATTGGGATCGGTTTCTGAAGCTGACTGATCCTTGCTTGTAGCTTCGGAGCTAACGAGGGTAGATTCTGCATTTTGATTAATCGCATCACTGATGACTGGCTTAGCAGTGACTTGGGTCGTGCTCAGCTGTGGCATTTGATCCTCTTGGGGTGTTTTTGTAGGGGTAGTCACTGATGCCGGCTCACCATGACTGGCCACAGCTTTAGTGTTTGGCAGTGCGGCCTTTCGTGTGGTACTGGATTGTGCCATTCGACTTTCACGAGATGACACCGCTGAAGGAGCACTATGGAGGTTAGAGTCATTCTGGGCAGCAGCAGCAGGTGTGGCCTCTGAGGCACCCTGGAGTAATCTTCTAGCTTCTGCTAGAAAACACTCGGGAGGGCTAAGAAGCTGTGGTAAGCCGTCCCTACTGACGGGTGTCAGAAAGAGGAAAATGGAATTAGCCTATGACATACATTGGCCGTCTAGTTTTGACAACAGTAGACATTTGACTCCTTTCGTCATCTAACATGTGGACCATGATTAGTTGTGTTGTATATAACTCGTGCGAGTAACTGCTTACACCCTCTCTTCTTCCCAGACTGATACAATGGCTTATTCTGGGCCTGTTTCTCACGACCTTTCCCGGAAGAACCACTGCTATTTATTTCTAGAGCCGGGTCTAGTGAAGTCTTGCGGACGCCGGAAGTTTGAGGTACGTGGTGCCCTGGCTTAGAGGCAGGAGCACGATCGGAAGTACCGGACGGGGTTCTTCGTAGTATTAGCTTTATCCATCAAATATGTAACATAATGGAAGCATACCTGCCAGATACTACTCTTACATCGCCACGGCCTCTCGTGCCAGCTATGCCGCCACCTCGGCCTCGTGTTCTAAAACCCCTAGTAGACGCCGAGTGTAAAGCTTCTGATATTTTAGGGTAGTCATCCGTCGTCTTTGAAGATCTACCACTGTCATAATTGCCAGATCCGTGCAAAGCAGCTCTCAGTTGAAGACGGTGACTTTGGCCATTTAGGAGATCATCGAGATTTTCTAGGTCAAGGGTGTCACCTAGCTTTTTGAACACGTCTTTTATATTCATTAGCAAGAGCGGTTGTAGGCGCCTGAGGGGGTGTGTGTGTGGCAATACGGCCACTTACTTTTCCATTCGGTGAGCTGTTGTCGATTCTGCTCAGCTAAACGCTGAGCCTCTGTCCCGGGCTGATTCGATAGTCGAGTGGCTTCGATATCTTCTAAACGGGCCTTCTTAACTTTCCTGTTATCTGTGGTAGAGATGTGTTCCCTCCTGGCAGTTCCCAAATCTTCCTATTATTTATAAGTGAGATGAAGATGGATGATATGTAAACAATCGCCGCACAAACACAAGGATTCACAGAGAAACTTACCATCTGGAGCCGGCTAAGCCGCTCAGCTTTCTCAGGATCCATCTTTCACTGATCTGGTCCCGACAATGTAAGCAAGAAAGTGATGCAATATGTAAACAGATGCGGCTACAAATATGCAAAATGTAGCAGATGAGGGGTAGTGGACTTCTCAGTGAATGAAATTAGGCAGAGCAAAAGGCAGAAAATAAAGTGAATGTATGCGATAGTAGACAGTGTTATCCCGATTGAAAAGGAAAGAGACATACAACAAAGGACCTCACGAGTATGTAAAGAAATACAAACAAGAGTGAGAGGATGAAGAGATAAAGAAGAAGGATGTGGGGGAAAAAGAGAGTAGCTGAAGTGTTTTGAGCTGCTGGCAACCCAAGGTTGGATGCAAATGCAGAGTGAAACGGGAAAGAGTGAAGTCCCGTGAAGCCAAACATATACATACTGTTTGTTTTGGATAGTATATTCCTTCACATTGTTTGCTTCTCCTAGTACAAGTCTTGAACATAAGAGTACACTGTATATGCTGAATGCTGAAAATATCTATTTACACCAGCCCAAGTAAGGCTATGGGCAGAAAAGTCTATTATCTTTTGGAGGAAAGACCTATGGGAGGTTAAGCTTAGTAGTAGCCTGGCTAAGCACTGCATGTACCTGCACCACCCTCATCTATGATGGTACATTTCCAGAATCAGTATCTCATTCCAAAAGGGTTTAGTTTAGACTTATCAACACTTACTCCTGATCATTTGTGCAATTGCCTGCAGTAGGCTAACCCCCATGACAGTTATCCCAAAGACAATGCACAAATATGCGGGAATCTTAGCCTTCCGAGAGGCATTGCTTAGCTTAATATAACACAGAGGAGGAAAGATGTATGCAAGAGCGGCGGCACTTGTTGCCCCGATGAGTTCGAATACCGCTCCAAGGTCGCAGGTAATCAAAGCCATGGTCATGGCTGACACAACCAGCGCCGACGTGAAAATTATGTGCCGATTCATATTGAATGGCTCATCCGAAAAGTAATAAGTTGTCATGACTTCACGGCAGACAAAAGCCTCCAATGGCAAAGTCGTGAGCATGTTCAAGCCAAGGCAGCTTCCACAGTCAGCTCGTTTGGAAACTTACTAGGTTTATGTAGTGTGATACTTACAATCGTGCTATATTGACCATGATATTATCAGATGGGAAGTTGTTGAGCACGTTTCCTTGAGTTTGGGAACCGAAGAAAAGAAAGCCCGAGATGCCCATAATCAGGCACATCGTGAGTGAAACTCCGGTGGAGTAATGGGTCACCCTCGCAAAGCGATCCAAAGTTGGCTTCTTCAGAGAGCCATATATGAGGAGGCTGTTGTGGTCTTTGGCACTGTCAGTCTTTAAGCGGGATTCAATAGACTTTGTAACTACATACGGCAGACAAATGCTATGCAAAATTAGTACACCAAGGCGGATGTTCCATTATACATAATTTTAGACCTACCGAAAGATATTACTCCAACAGCCTGGAAGAAGCCGGAGTTAACAAACAACAGACTTTTCACCTCCCCCCGAGATTCCGAGGGAACACGAAAACCCTGCGTTAGCACAGCGACTAGAATGATCACCATACTCAGTAGCGCTAAAGTAGACGCTTTGGCCAGCTGTATAATTGTTAGGTTTAGTTATTCCACCCCGGAGGATAACATACCTTGGCTATATCCCGATATAGAGACAATGGGTAAGAAATCCCCAGGGTAAGAAGGACTATTACTGCTCGTCTGTCGGTAAGAAGCCAGAGAAACGACATATCTCGGAGTGAAGGGAACAATGAGCTGAGTACATGCGGTATGGTGTCGCCAACAATAATACAGAATGCGATCATCCCGCCGAACGCAAAGGCCCATTGAGCAATGGATATAGCAATGAGGCCACTTTTCCCGAAACAGTGTTGCATGGTAGCCTGGTATGAATCCGCGCCGCTCAATTTGGAGTTGATCACTATCAATCGAATGGTCCAGTCCACTGCGACTGTAAGCACAACCAAGAGTGTTATGCCCATCAGCATTCCTGCCTGCCGTAGTGCATAAGGCTGTCCGATGATACCAGCTCCTATGATACTGTTCGCCATATTCATAAAGGCCATTCGCATTCCACTTCTCGGCCTAGCATTCTCAAGGTGCTCCTCGGGAAAGAAGTCTTCGGACGTTGCGAGAGTGACACTCGGGGCTTCTATATCTGTCAGAAGAGGGACCGTCTGCCCTGTGGCACTCCTTCCTGACCGAGTATTGTCCCCGCGGGCGTAGTCTTCCTCCTCTAGCCACGAGTCTTCCGAGTGTCGAGGATAGCCATTCGATCGATGCTCGTCTTCCGTGTCGTCTTCAAGGTCAAATCTAACGCGATTCAAGGTGCGAGGAGTCCGCCGTTGGCCGTCAGCCACTGGTTGAGCGAACGAGGATTGCCGCTGGTGCTGTGTTTCATCGGACAGGATGGGAAAAGAGGCCGGGGAATGGGGAGCTGTATCAAAAGGGGTTACCGCGTCGCGCTCCTCACTGGGAGACCCTGGAAGTAAGGACTGAGATTCCAGCCTATTAATTCCATTCTGGTCAACCAGGAGCAGATCTTGAGCTTCATCCCTGGGCATTGCTGCTTGCGAGGTTTCTTGTCATCCTAAATTCACATGGATGATGCTTTGGGACAGGTAATCATGCGAGCTTCACGTGAGATCCTTATCGATAAGCGGTGCAACTTAGTGCCACTTATTTATAGCCACCAACCACAAGGGTCAATAGACTGTCAATAGATAATAGATTTAAGTTACCTTAATATTACTCGGTTTCCCTGCATATGAATTATATTGTTTTTTCAGTAGGAGTGATTTTTCAAAACTAGTCTCTCCTTGGTTTCCCTTCTTCTGTTTCTTCTTATATTCTTGTTTTCTGGTCTTTTCACTTGGGAATACCATCAGTTACTGTCATAGAATTTATGAAGTGTCGTGTAAGTATAGTTCAAGCTAGTAGTAGATCCCGCCAACAGACTACGTAGACTTTATGTACGGTGTATACAATCTGCATTAGTACTACCATGTCAGGTGTTTCCACCTCAGGGATCTAGTAGTAAGTATCCCACACGCTACCCTTTAGAAATGCATGGCCGTCTTCCGACCATGGGGGTTATAAATCACACCATAAGGGGAGCCTAAAATGGCATACACGGTCGACATGGGGTCGGATATCTTTTATTCTACCAAATGTGACTTATATCTTGCCCTGCAAGCCTCAGTGGATATGCTCGTTCCTGCAGGGGTTACAGGACTTCAATCCGTTGAAACCCTCAAGAACGTACTATATTCAGGTACAATATGGGTAGACCAGCTGCCCGAGCTCAGACTGAATGTTCATGTCAGCGCCGAATTCAACTTGGGCCGTCCGTTATCAATCCTTACCTCTCAAATTGGGGACGCACTATGCAACTCTCAGGTATCCCCAGAAATTGATTCGATGCGACGAACGAGTTTTCATCTAACAACTTACATAGTGCTGGCTTGAATTAGGTCTTGGAGTTCTTTTCAAAAACTGTGACCATTGGACCGAAAAGACCACCTCTACGACTTTTCGTTTATCGTTCGGATTACGCAGAAGGCCTGGAGGATCTGTAACAGCCAAAACATCAAGATGTCCATCCTTGGCCAAGTCCCTTACCAATGCAGTTCCTCCTTTATATACTCCAGCTTTTCATATATCTACAATTAATATCTCGATGATCTATAGTCGCCACAGTCAACCCCTGCGACATATCTCATCATCTACAGCGCCCGAGAACTGTGGGGTCACGCCGCACATAGAAATACCTTATCGCATCGACAAAGTCGTTGAACATTCTCAAGATTCTGCCCCTGCAAGTATTCTACTGGCCAACGACACCTGCCAAGTCTCGGAGTTCATATCCTTGTTCAACGTCGGATTCAGCACCCTCGTGCATGACGATCCACCCAGTATTTACAAGTACCCAACGCTGAAGAAGAGCGATTTGCAGTCTCTTTCTCGAATTGCTCCTTCAGTATTCAGTCTTAGATACCGCGAAGTGAGAAACTGGTTATCTCTATGTATCCGTCTATACAGATCTGACTCAATTCATTGATAGGCTATGGATGAACGGTCCCAACTGATACCTTTAATTGCCAAATCTATCTGTTCTATCTTAAAGTCTACACGAAACAAATCGCTACAAGATAAATCCGCTGCCCTTGAGAAATTACAACGCTGTCGACTTGACGGCTTATCTTCTCTTCCTGAGGTTCTGGATCTGAAAACCACAATAATGACCTCCCTTTGGTGCATTGCCCAAAAGAAACTCTATAAACCTGAAGCTTCGCGAAAGCTAAGCCCATTATGGCCTACTCCTAGGCCATGCAGCGTTTCGCTGCTTCAGAGATACACCGCAACCAAAGAAAACATCGAAGAGAACATCCAATTCCACGACGACTGGGGCATCGACGAAACACAAACATCAGACTGTTATCTAGGCACAAATGGAGATATTGAAGTATACAAACCAGACGAAACAAGCACTTTATTGTGGCATGAGGAAAACACCTCGGTTTACTCCGATATAATGGAAAGTCAGAAAAGCGAATTTGATTGCCTGGAGTATAGCCATACAACGCCAAATTCCTCCTGGGAAACCGATCACGGCAGGCAATGTGGTTCGACAGGCAACTCATTTTACGTAGATCCACTAAGCGACGATGAAATGCTTGTGTCAGATCATTTCGATGATTACGTATTAACTTCATTGCCTATTTCATGTATATCCTCTGTCATCGATGCCGAAGGGCCTTATGGTAGAGAAAGCGATGATATGTTGGGTGACCAGTTGTGATGGCTTCCTAACCTTGGCCTGTCAGTATAAGGTTTATCCTATATATTATATGGCGAGTCTACGTGAACTATTAGAGGACAGTGAAAGATGGAACGAGACAAGAAGCAAGGTTGTGATTATTTACAATAATACCCTATTTATATACCAGAAAGGAAGAAGCAATCGGCAACCCGAAATCCGTTATCTCAGGATCCACATGTTATTAGCAGCAGGTGCATATTGTGGACATATCCACTCCATGTGAGTACAGTAGTACACATGGCATTTCCCGGCTCAGACATCGAATGATCATGGTGAACACATGTGGCATGAAAAAGCAATAGAAAACGCCACATGTGTGAGAAGCAAGTCCAGCATACTCGGAAAAATTGAACGCCAGAGGTTGACCGGCAAGTTTCAAGTGAAAGAAACATCAGATATAGCAAGAGTATAAAGCAGCTGCTCTATTAAGGCACAATAACCCTTAAAACTTGCGCTCTTTATTCCATGTAAATGCATTGATCTTTGTATAAAAATTCCGTAGATCTCTTTCTCGGGGTAACAGGTGTCATAAGTCATGCTGGTTAACAGGTTCGGGCAACTTAGCTACCTGTCAAAATGTGGAGGGCAACACATAGGGCTCTGGATTTCTCTGGTTACCGGTAGGTTTCCACAATTTGGCACCAGAATCCTTAGCCACCTGGTCGAGTTTGGTTGCGTCGAACGCTTCGATAAACCTTTCATCCAGAGCTCTTGACTTTGGCCAAGAGTAGCTTAAATACTCGTCAATGACTTCGCGCAAGTTCCAACCTTGAACCTTTCGGAAGCAAGCTACTACGCAGCCAGTGCGATGCTATACATGATCAATTAGAGCAGGTACTGTAACACAAAGGACCCGCCACATACCTTTCCCTTGTTGCAATGAATAAGAATCGGATGATTGGCCTTGTTGAGGAGAATTTCAAGGATACCATTGATTACATGATCAGGGGTCTTCTCTTCGGGATCCTTGTTTGCTTGAACGATAACGCGAAAGTGCGCGATCCCGTTCTCGCGAAGAAAACCCATATGACTCAAACCGTACGGTTCCTCGACGAGAGTGCTATGTAGCATGTTAACACATGATCTACGCGACGCATGGAAATGCCACTGACATTATAGTCTTGAGACCCAGGTTCTCAAGCGCGGGAAGATTCCAAGGGCTGGGAAATGCGCTGCGATAGATTCCTTCGACAACCTCCCCAAAATTCGGGGGTAACTCAGGGTACATTCGCTCGGATTCTGCCAATGAGCCTTTAAGGCGTGCTCTTTCTGTCACACAACCTGACGTACGTCAGCTCGAAAGCAATACAGAATGTGGGCTTCGCTAGAAAACCCTCGTTGTATCAATAGAAAGATTCTCACCATTTTGACCGACAAGAGAGCTGCTGGAGGTGTTCTGCGCCAGGGGAATAACCATGGCCATGTTAGCCATGGTTATTGAATAACGCAGCAGATCGCTGTATGCCTCAAAGACCTTCGAGTATAGAAGGGGCCGACGTTCCCGGGCGGAGGTGCTCGGCACGCAAGGACAGTAAACAAGACCCTCTAGTGTTCCAACCAGTTTGAAGCGGAGGAGAGGCCTATTCCCAGCCTGGAAAGTGCTGAGAAGTCGTCCAGCAAAAAATAACGGGGTGGTCTATAAAACTTGGGAGAGACTTGATGAAGTCTGTCTCAGGAGTTTCAGACAGGCGAAGATCTCTGAGTGACAAACATTTTGACGAGTTTAAAGTCGAAAGAGCTGTTAGGCTAGGACGAGAAAGAAACAAGGGAGTTTTTGAGACAGTAATCCAACAGTCTGGGGGAGTGGAGAAAGAAACAACTGTTGCACTTTTGCAGCTTCGGGGCGGTGAGCTGATGGAAAAAAGAAGGAGCAGAAAAGTTGCTCTTGTAGACCTTTGCCGTCAAAGTCCACTACCAGGAAGCAGCCGGCTTTAATGAAAAGAACAAATAAGCCCCAGTTTTGCAGGGAAATAATAATGGGCGACAGATTTATTGAAGGACAAAGCGTATGACTATCCACTTCTGTGACGGGAAGCTTGGACTCTTGGAGAACAAAGAGCGTCTGCAGGTCTCACGTTATACTCCTAATTCCGAAGCAACGCCGTGGAGTTGAGTGGTCATCAGTTCTAAGTTTTCGCTTGTTTCGTGCTCAATAGGCGGCTCCAGATCCAGGTGCAGCCCTGAAAGCCCTCTCGAACCATGGTTGGGGCCTTGGGCCTTTTCGGGGAGATCCGGGGATCCGTAAAGTAACGACAAATTCCAGACTCATCTATCTATCATGATCACAGCAAAGCAAGACTGGCAAGGGATGTCCGAAGTCCGTGTCTATTGGGCTATCAAGAAAAGTTCAAAGTCAAGCATGAATAGAGCGCTCTGTTTGGAAAAGATAGGGACCGAGCTACGATGTTCCTTCTCCAAGTCCAAACATTCTAATTGAATTGTTCCAGGCACTAGAACGCGCGGGATTAGCATCTATGGTTGGGAGGCCGTTTAATTTGGGAAATACTCACGCTTCGCAAACTTCCTCAACAGTGATTCCCTTAACCATGGCAATGACGTGGGCGACATGGGCGATAGCAATAGGCTCGTTGCGACCCTTAACCATACAACCCTTTTGCCACTTCTCCTTCTTGACAGCCTTTGGTAGTGTCGGTGCACCTTCTAGGTATTTGGAGGATGCGTGAGACGGGCGTATTTCGCACTATAAGGAAGCACCGTCAACAATGAAGTCCAAACGAATGGTAGGGAAACAGGCTGTTTGCATACCCACGGGCCATCCGTTTCTATTTGAAGTCGTTCCAGAGGCAGAGCCTTCACCACCTCCAGGTTCTCCTCCGTCTTTAAGCTGCAACCGTTGACACCGACGTCCAAACCGAGGGCAACCATGCGTTTCATCTCCTCCATAGTCCCGGTAAAACTGTGAACGAGACCCTTCTTGGGAAGCTTCTCAAGCCTGGGTGCCAGTAACCGCTCAAAGTCCTCGCTAGCAGCCCGGGAATGGAGGAAGAGGGGAAGTTGTATCTCTACTGCGAGATCCAGCTGGGCTTCGAAATATTTTAATTGAGGTTCTTTTGCGCTCAGGAACAGTCGGTCATAATCGAGACCTATTTCACCGAACGCAACTGCGTATCCAGAGTTTTTCGATTCTAGTGCAAGGGACCTCAGTTCGTCAAGCATCTTCGACGGACCACCCGGAAACTCATCGAACAGTTTGGCCTGGCAGGGATGAACACCAACTGTGGCATAGCAAAATCCCGCTGTTTAAGAACTTGTCAGTTAGGACCAGACATTGTTAAACTAGATGGGTTACATGAGTTGAGAAAAATTATAGCAAGCAGTACTACTTACGATAATTCTGGGCGATTTCAATAGCACGTCGGGACTCTTCCACATCCGAACCCGTAACCATGAACTTTTCGCAGCCTACTTCGCGAGCACGCTGGATGATGTCGTCCAAGTCACTTTCATGAACCTGCTTTCCATGGTACTCTCCCCTGAAAACAGGATCACTAAAATTGATCCCAATCTGGTTACACGAAGGTTTCCTCCTTATCAGCTACCGAGACGCTGATATATAAAATAGCAAGGAAACTCACGTCGACATATCTTAAGGGTTTACTGGTGTCACCCATATTGGCCGCAGCTAAATATTTGGTTGTGTCTGTAGAGAATGCTCTTTTGCTCAGGATAAAACAGCGAGAAGGTTGTGACAAAAAGGATTTACTGCAAAGTACTGTGCATCCAAGTGAGTTATAAGTACAGCAACCGACAATCTACTCAGCCTTGACCGGAGCAGAACACATGTAGGTATTGGGCAGTGTTGAACATACCTCCACTATGTTGCTGGCAAAAACGAGGCAAGGAAAAAGCGGTGCAGGTTCCTCTGGATCTTACACAACCCGAGAAGGCTGTATTACTATTCCCAAGTATCCTGGAGAAGGTTTCTACGCCAAAAGCCACACGCATCTGAAAACAACGATACCTTTTCCTGTTGCCCTCACAGCTTCTTTATTGAAAGGGTCCCCGTGCCTATCGATATCCGCGAGACAATTTCAGTGGTGGACCTCTTGGCAACAGCCCACCATCAGCCACATGTGTGCTGCGCCTCCGTGGCTAGTGATAATGCTGAGTCATTTGATAGGAGTAGATTGTTGCGGAGAAGTGTCCGAATCAGGGGATTGATCTCGGTGCTACTCCGATTCCTCTCGTTAATTCATTGTTCCTCATTGGATTCTCTCACCTTTCCTGTTCCTTGGGGACCATGGAGATATCAACTTGCTCATTGCGACGTGTTGTCTTCATAGGAGGTTGACAGCGCAAAATCTCATGCATTTTGCTCATGCCTGGGCTACAAAGGACATCCTCCCTGCCTGTATACAATGTATATACACGAAGCTGTACACTGTGCGAAGGTCGGCTCTTCTAACCCGGGCGTTCGGGACGATGGCCGCTGTGGGGCCTTGCAATTGTTACATTCTCCGCATTTCTGCGATGGATCTGCGGAGGTCTCTTATCACCGCTGATTCTCTACCATCAATAACAATTTAGTTTATTCTCTTCTTCGGCGTTTCCCCGTTTTATCGAGGCTTCAACTGTATATACTTATATGCACGCATTGCGCAAAGCTGAACCCCTACCATCTGAACATTAAATCGCCTCTTTTCTGCCATTTGAAGGATCGTCAGCATTCGTCGTTCAAAGTATACATTCTTTCTGAAATGGCAGGCAAGAAACTTCTGTCTGTTCAGCAAATATTGGAGCACAATGCCGTGCAGGATTGCTGGATTGTTGTCAACAATCAGGTGTGGGATGTGACAGAATTCTTGGAAGAACATCCTGGAGGATCTTCGAGTGAGGCATACATCCATACTTGAACGCTACGGATATTAACCCAGTCATCTTCATCATGCAGTTATCCTGAAATACGCAGGCCGCGATGCTACCAAGGCCTATTCGGAAGTTCATGCCCCAAGCGTTCTGGCAACGAACTTGCCCCAAGAAAAGCATATGGGTGTGCTGGATGAGTCCACGATTGATGACGAATGGGTCAAGCAGCCACCTACCGAGAACCCCAAAGTAGTCCTTGATCATGAGAAGCCACCATTGCATACCTTAATCAATTCGCACGATTTTGAGCTGGTGGCGTCAAAGACAGCCAGCAAAAAGACATGGGCGTTTTACTCCAGCGCCGCAACAGATCTTATTACCCGGGACGCCAATAAGTCTTGCTTCGACCGAATCTGGTTCCGGCCACGGGTGCTGAAGAATGTCCGATCTGTAGATACGAAGACTAAAATCCTCGGGGTCGACAGCAGCTTGCCATTATTCGTGAGTCCTGCAGCAATGGCGAAGCTTATTCACCCCGATGGCGAGTGCGCTATTGCTCGAGCTTGTGGAAATCAAGGAATTATGCAGGGAGTAAGCTGGGAAAACTTCCCCATTGGTTGTTCCTCGTCTAATGAGTATATCAGATCTCCAATAACTCCTCTTACACAATGGAAGAGCTTAGAGACGCCGCACCTTCGGCAAGCTTCTTTTTCCAATTATATGTCAACCGAGATCGTGAAAAGTCAGCCGCGCTTCTCCGTCAATGCTCAGCAAACCCTAACGTAAAGGCCATATTTGTGACGGTTGATGCAGCTTGGCCGGGTAAAAGAGAAGCAGACGAACGCGTCAAGGCCGACGAAAGCTTATCCGTACCGATGGCCCCATCCAAAGCGAAGAATGATAACAAAGGTGGTGGACTAGGACGTGTGATGGCCGGTTTCATTGACCCCGGACTGACCTGGGAGGACTTGGTGTGGGTGCGGCAGCATACGCATCTTCCTGTTTGTCTCAAAGGCGTGATGTCTGCAGACGACGCCATTTTAGCCATGGAAGCCGGCCTCGACGGTATTCTACTTAGCAATCATGGAGGGAGAAACCTTGATACTAGCCCTCCGTCGATCATTACACTTCTCGAACTGCAGAAGCGCTGTCCTGAAATCTTTGACAAGATGGAGATATACGTGGATAGTGGAATCAGACGCGGGACCGACATCTTGAAGGCTATCTGCTTGGGCGCAACTGCAGTGGGTATGGGGCGCAGTATGCTATTCGCCACCAACTATGGTCAGGAGGGTGTCGAACATTTGATAGAGAGTAAGTGACGAGTCTCTTTCCCTGTACGCTTTGTCTCTCGCCATCGCTTACCATACCTTAGTCATGAGGGACGAGTTAGAAACAGCCATGCGCAACAACGGGATTACCACACTAGACGAAGCCGGTCCACATCTAGTCCACACAGCCGACATTGACCACCTGGTTCCCGAATCCCGTCAGCACCCATATGCGCGAAAAACTGCCAAAGGGCGACGTTCGTTGCACGTCTCCAAGCTCTGAACAGCTCTGAGATACCCGCAGAAGTGTATAGACCCACTAAAAAAAATTAAATAAATATGAAATGCTTATCTTCGAGTGCTTTGATTCGCGTGGATACACGATGGTTCGATTAAGTTTCCCGTCGGCCTATAATACTAGTAGTCTTGCTTGATCACGGCATGTAGGTTTGATACTAAGCTACGATGCAGATATACCCAAAGCAGCCTAGTTGTATCGGGGTAGATCACTGGCTATCGGGATGCTTAAAGTGCGATCGTCGTTGTTTCACAATTCAGCAGTGACATAGATATCAAAAGTATACGTGGGATGCCAAATACGGCACGAGGTAATAATTAGGTTCGGCCATACATGTGCTTATCTTGTTTCCAGGTAAGCTTCCAAGTAGAGGCATTAAAGGCGCAAGGAATAATGTGAGAGTAGATGATATTATACGGAGTAGGGTATGAAGAATGAGATACTAGGTTTTATCATACTTATATTGACCACATCACCGAAAACCGAAAGCGGAAGGTTACATACAGCGAGGTTGACTGGGATGTGTATGATCATGATGAGTTGATGAGGTGAGGACTCGAGTCGACTTGGGACCAGAGTAAACAAAAATACCTCGGCAGTAGTAATTGAAGAAACAAAATGGGAACCAATAAAATGAAATGAAACAAAACAAAAACCAAATAACATAATATAAACTATAAGAAAAAAGAAATTGGGTTAGACTCAAAATCGATTACTTCATGCAATCAGCAAATTACGAGGCATTGAATGCTTTCTTGTTCTCGTGACCCTCCCCCAATGGGATGGCATGTCGCCCAGGGGTCGATCATTCCTTATGCTGCAGTGCATCTTTAATCCCAGCCCCTAAAATACTGCGTATGTTTAATCCTACTGCCTCCAAGACTGCGAATTACTGCGTACCTTCGATCCTGCCCCGAAGTTTCCACCCGTTTTCTCCTCAACGCGGTACCTTGAATCCCAGTCTATGCTTTACACAGCAGCTTTGGTCATGTCCCCATAATAGTCGTGTCGTTTAGACTAATTCTGGAATCAAAAAGCCTGCCGGAAAATGGGGCCAACTCCGATCGACAACAAGGTCGCTTGGATCCCCACTTCACCGCTTCTCGCCTGTCTCAACAGTTGAGAGGAACAATGCGGGATCAGAAATTAAGACGGACTTTCGATGAATCATGCGGACGGCGGGATTCATTTACTCTTCCTGTAAAGGGTAAGAATCTTCCCAACTCGGTAATATTATGGAAGCTGCAGGGCTTCGTCATTGATCCGCTTATCATACTAGTACTCGTAATTTATGTATGTATGTATGGGCGGTACTGACTTCCCCGCGGTATTTGTCCTCACAAATCAATTGCGTCACTGCACGACGGACGAAACGAGGCTGCAGAACATACCGCATACGACATGAGATAGGTTGAGATAGAGAGTATCCAATGTTGTGCCGTCCTATTGTAGGGCTGCGATTACTAGTATTACCACTTTCGTTCGCCCGCTGACGCTTTCTCTGTGTCATATTTTGGCCAAGGACTCTCCCACGTCGACTCATGAGTTCATCACTGCTCGTAGCACCATCTGGCGTGCCTCGCGAGGGCAGTAGTAGTCGTAGTCTGTCCAGTCCTACAGTTGGAAGATCGTAACAACTAGTACCTACCTGTGGCTTTAAGGTGGGTGACAGGGAGTTTTCTGTTTCGAAAAGAGACAAGAAGTGATTGGATTGGTCTCTATACACCACGCTAGACCCATCCAATGTGTTCCAAAGTCAGTTAGAAATACTTTTAATAATTTAAAATAAAAAAAAAAAAAAATGGTAGAAGCACGAGGGAAGAGAGGGGAACCTCAGGGCACACCGACGTAACAAGCTTCGATGCACCAGGGTTGACCAATGTTTAATGGCACAGGTTCGGAGACGGGCAAGCGTTTTCGTGATCATCAACTGACCTTTCGTAGCGAGTCGTAGTCATCGAAATTCATGGATTGCCTGATCGATTGGCTGTTTTGCCACCCGTAGCGCCGGGGAATATGCATGCTTGTACATCCGATCCTGGAGGTCCACGGATGTGTTGAGTGTCCATACCCCATACTTTGACTCTTATCCTGCTGAAGACCTGATATGTAATGTATGGAACTGACCATCATTACTTTTTTTTAATCTCGCACTTTACCCCACCTCTACCCTCCTTTTCCTTTTTGATTTTATTTTCTTTTTTCTTTTTTCTTTTCCTCTTTCTTTTATTGAGATACAGTTGTTCAAGCGAGAAGATCTGCTGGAACGGCGACGAGTAGATCTGAATACTATTGGAGAAACAAGAAAATAGTCTGTTGCGTTTCGGTAATTACACTAATACATACCCATTTTTTTGCCCGCCCAGGCGACACCATCGATCGATCCATTTAGTCGGGGAATTTAGTGGGTTACTACTATTAGCAACCCGCCGACTTGGCCCAGACCGCCCCGGTCTGCGTGAGAGTCCACCGGAAGGGTGAAAGTGGATAGCTCACTCTCCCCCCCAACGGTTCCTGCAAGCATTCAGAAGTACAAGTACTGAGCTCGCCTCGACTGCATTCCTTCCCTCCCTTCCATACAGTTCCTGTACATCTACTCAATACTCTCGCATTCCTCTGTGTTTTCCCTACTTTTTAATCATCTTACACCTATTTTCTACGTTATATCTTCTCATCCTCGATCTACTTTAATAGGATCTATATACCCACATCCCTTCCGGGCACCACAACTTTAAAGCACCCTTTCTTTATTCTTTTCTTGAATATAACACCCATCAACCGCGCTACTCTTTTCCCAATGGCAGCCCCTCGCTCTACTTCTTTGCGCGCCCTTCGCGTGCTCTCCCAGCAACATACTGCCACACCCTGCCTTCGTCGGGGCCTGCACATCACCGGTGTCAACTCTGCACAGCCTGTCAACGTTCAAGACCGTACGTCTTTGTACGCTACTCGCAGCTTGGCAGACCTCCAGAGGGAGTGCCACAAGAGGAAACTGGGAGCCAGCGGCAGCCAGAGTGAGGTACGTATCCCTGATGCTTCGAGCATGGCTTCCCATTGAACCCGTACTAACCGCTTTGCTGCCATACAGCTCGTCGAGCGCCTTGCCAACCATGACTTCCTTCAATCCCGTGCTTTCAGCATTGCCATGAGAAGAATCAATGGCAGCTCTGCAGCGGAGTAAGTGCTTAATCTCGAACTGCTCTCTTGCCTCGGTACAAAGGGCTCGAAGCTGACATCACTCCCCACCCTTGTAGATCTGTTTCAACCCGCCAATTCAACACTTCTCGTGCCATGAAGGCCGTTAATGACTCATCCACTGTGGATTTTGCATACCTGCCATCCATGGACGAGATTGATGCCCCTGTTCGCCCCGCCGATACTCGGATTCCGATCCTTTCCGATGTCTTCACCAACTACAACTCGAGCCAGCCCTCGAACCCACCCATGAAGCCCCAGGTACACACTATCTCCGGGGGCGGGGCCGATGTCGCAGTCAGCCCCATGGCCGAAGTTGTTGACAACAACTCGGTGGATATCGACCCGTTCTCGCTAACCGAGGCGGTTGGCAAATCCCGTATCGGCGAGGAGCTCTGGAAGTCCCAGAACGGCTCCAAGGAACCCGGTGTTGTAAAAGAGCTGTGGAATGGATTCTTGGAAGACGTTTTAGGTCCCAAGCAGCAGAGTCACCAGAAGCAGCACTGATTTGACTAGCGTTATTTGTTTTGTTCTACTTTAGCGATGATTGGTTTCCACTGACGTGGTCTTTCTACTTTCTTATACTTATTATTTCATCATGATGCTCAGTGATGCTATCTATGCACAATTTGATGACATTTATTGAATCAAAATATATCCAAGTACCCATTATGAAGCTATCGTAGTAAATACTAGTACTATCTCATGATCGCAACCAAAGATTGGAGATTCGAGAATAAGAAAAGAATCACACCACCTGAAAAAGCGTTGACGTCGATCATCCACTAGGCAACTAGCCAATCAGTCACTCCGTCCCCCCGAGTCTAAAGGGACAGAATAACCCTAATAACCTAGGTAAGCACAAGGCATCATGGATGCTTCTTCGGCATTCGGGAAAGATTCAAATCGTGATTATGATTAGAATGATCGGAAATATGGGGTATTACTCAATGGGGGTATTACTCGATGGGGGATAAACAATTAAGGTTCTCCGATCTGTTCCGATGTCTGAAGAGTGCTTATCCAAGATTGAATCTTCCAGAAATCACATGCCGCATGTGAACCGGGGATTTATTGTAGAGTCTGAAACTTGGGTCCCACGATCCATCTTGTAATCTTTGCCCACGAATCCCTGCTGAATTAATTGTTTTTGGCTTTCAATCGGGTAAATATCAATCGTGGTATTGAAGAGTCAAAAGTACCCGTAGATCCGTTTCTACCGTTTGATCAGATTAGATCCCGAAATGAGTCAGAGTTAAAACTGTGTAATGAACTACTGATGGTAATACTTTGCGTGTAACATTTCTTTGTCTTGGGCTATACCTATCTTACAGATTCGGTGGTCAATGGGGCTTGCTAGGTTGAACGAGTATGCAATGGAATTGAGTGAAACGAAGAGCGATCCGGGTATGTGAGCAGCGTGTCTTCTCCTAACTTAGCATACGGTAAATAGCCGGTTCTGTATTGGAGTGTGGGATTCATAATCTATTCCTATCATTATCTACCTGTAGCATCTATTAGGGCTCGTGCTCATTCATTGGGTCTCTGTCGACGAGTCGAACGACATCAAAAGCTCATAATGCAACAATAGTATGTTCCCAGGTGATGGGTTCTACCATTCCTCTCTCATGGAACCTATCAATAGGTAGATCTAACGAGACTGAACATAAGTCTGCCCTATTTGACTGATTCAACCTCTTCAATCCTGGACAGAGCCAGGTGATTGGTCCACATATAGGGTGGATTTCGGATGTTGACTGCATAGTAGATATAAATATAATTTGTTTCAGTGTTCGTCACATTAGAACTTGTCTATATTTTTCAATGCTTATTATAGGTGAATTCGATCACTTTAGATGTAATCCATCTATCAGGGTTACTTCAACATCCACGAATGTAGAATGGTGTAGATTCCGCTATATATTTGCTTGACCCCTGCACATGCAGGTGCCGTCCGTATAGTCTTTCGGCCTTCTACAAATGGTGGACAGATAATCCAAACGCAAGAGTGACTGTCTCCAAGACAGCCCAAATATTAAGATAAAAATTATGACAGACTTCAAGAAGCGGACCTGAAGCTCCTATTCGTTGGTATGCTTGGTGGATACGCGAAAGGAAGGATGAGTAGATGATGATATTCCCGTTATCGCTATAAGTACCTTGTCGTCTTAAGCACATGACATTGTTGCTTACTACCCACTATCTACAGTCGTACATTTCTAAGGCCAGCCACGGCTACAACGATGATGGAGAAGAACGCGTCCTCTTTCTTGGGACGAGTGCTAAGGAACCTCCCCCTATTTGCCTTGAGAAGCAAGTGGATTTTCGCGATGCGCTGCTAGTTCAGGTCGGACTCAGCTCCTCATTGGTCTAGTTGAGGTGAAGTCATGCTGATGTGTATCGAGCGCATGGCTATCCGTAGATGAATGCTTTACTATCTGGTGATGACATATCTAGAACATGACATCGGCCGGCCAGCCTAGTTGATCATTATTGTAACTTTATCGCAGCAAGGGTCTTTTCGAAGTTAACGACAACTCACGGTGGGCGTGTATCTTCAAGGCTACCCGTTCGCTGACCTGCATTGTGACCATGGCTAATTTCTACTGGCCTATTGGCATGCACTCCATTTGTGCGACCGATCTACTACCTAGGTAGTATCTCAACTAACCCTGACTGCGAGCATTATGGTAACCGTTTCCATTTTACACCTATAGACAGCCCAGAAGAACAAACAGACCAATTAATCCAATCCAAACCCTTCCATTCAAAGCACCCAAAGTCATTCCGTGTCCCAAAATGCATTATTACATCACATCATAAACATTCCTTATGCCTGCCGCAGAAGGCAGAATCACAGCTTCAGAAGCTGTTTCGTATTTCCCGTCGGCTCTCCAAGGTACCACTGCCCAAAGGTTTTAACTAAGGCCTCGTCCTTCTTACGGAGATCAAACAGCGGAGTTGTTCGCATAACAAACGAGGTGCCACTAAAATATGCTTCAATGACCCGAGCATGTTGGGGCCCCATGAAGGAGAAAAGAAGAACCTATATATTCGCTTAGCTTCTGCTTCAATTTCTAGGCGGGGCTGAAATTACCGGGGCAGTCATATGTCCGAAAAAGCGACGCCGTCTCATTTGCGTATGAACCAAGCGAAGCGCAACCAAGATCTCCCCTCGCAGAAGCTCACCATCCTTGCCATCCAGATTGTTATAGAGCATGGCTTTCATGTGCGTAGATGAACGATCCTTGACTTGATGAGCCTTGACGGTCCCATACTCGGGATACTCATCTCCCCATAAGCCTCTCCAAGGCTCATCGCTAGTACTGTTGTCTACTGTCAGAAGACAAGTTCAATATATTGAGGTCGGAAGAAGTATAACTGAAGAAGGGCAACTCAGGGGGTAAGTTACCTGACACCAGCCCATAACTCGTCGAGGATGAAGTCTTTGCTATGGATTGCGCTAGCAACGATATAATAAGAGAAATAACTGATCATCCAGCGCGCACAATATATAGGACGTCTGAAATCTGGGTTGATTGAATCAAATTCGTTATATGCTGACCTTGTCTGGTCGTATGTAGCATCAGGATTGTGCAACAACAAAGAAGCATCACATGGCTTGAAAAATCTGGGCTTGATGCTGGAGCTTTCGTCCAGATCCATGGGTGAGGCGTAAATTTTGTGAGTTTTCAGTTGACTGTAATCAAATTGATATGTTTCAAGGCTCTCAACATCTTTCTTGATTGCACGGAGCGCATCCTGTAGCTCCTTATGATGCGGAGACTCGCAAGAAGACATCTTTAGTATGATCAGTATGTGCAAGTATGCAGATTTATTTCCACTCAAGAATTGCAAAGAAAGATTATATATGCTAGACCATGGTGGAATTATCCCTTTGTTGGGGGGTGGAGAGAGCTCAGTTTTTTGTTTTGGTCTTCGGAGTCGGGGGTGTTGCCGCGTCGTGTTTTGCTGCCTTGATTGCATGGCTTGCAACTGTACAATTACTCGAAAAGGGTTTATTGCCAATTTCACCAAGGCCAGTTCAAAGCTCGGACGGGTGAATATCTGGATGACGGCGAGGAGAATGCTTATGCTCTCATTGAAGTTAAGCCTGTCACCCGGAGAGCGCTCAAATGGTTTTCATGAATGACTCTGGAGAGAACAACATTGGCAAAATGTAAGTCTGCTTTTTAATCTCGATCAAAGCTCGATAACTCTGACAGTTGATTGTAGACGAGCCCTTATTTCGCAGGATCGGCACGAGATTTTTCTGACGTTTGCTGAATATGATCATAAGTACCTTGCATATCTCAAGAACAAACCATTCCAGCTTGAACCGTCCGAGACTGGAAAATCCCAGAACAAAGCGTCAGGGCACGAACTGTCTGCACATCAAACACCTGATACTGGAGCCTCATCCTTCCTGACCATGCACCAGTATGGTCCATGGGATACCCAACAGCGATCAAATATGGCAGGATTGGGTCCGATCCTTCTTGCTATATCGCTTTACGCTGAAGGTGAAATCCAAGCTAAAAAGAGATCTCAACGCAAGTGACTAGAGTGTCTGGGAAGCTCATGATCACAACTGTTTGGCCTGTTTCTACATCTAGAGGTCTTGATGTGTGGCCAACGATTTCATTATGTAATATGGTCAATGTGAATGGCGAGAAATTTTTCGAGTCCTGAGGGGTGGTGATTTAGTATGTGCCCTATGCCTCTTGATACTTTTTTTGCTTTTCCCGCTTAGTGGATTTTGAATATATTCATGTCCTGCACGTTAGACCGCATCGCCGTGGAACTCAAAAATCCCATGAAACCCATATATGTAACATCTTGTGTAAACTCTACAGCGTAGAAGAACATTCCAGAGAAGTTCGGGGAGCTCCTGAGGACGGTAGCCGCCGAAGCGGGACTAATTATGACGGAGATTGGAAGTGGGGATGTGGAGTGAAGATGTGAATGGCATCAGGGCCTTTTCCAACTGTCAGCATGATATTAGTGTAGTTAGTTAACTATGGCAACCATCACTCGCCGCTTAATCATCGGTGAGGGGATGTGGATTTGCTGACGGCCCCCACCTCTAGTCTAGATCGCGCCGGGCAAAAATGCCGATAGAGGGGCTGCATATACTCGGAGTAGATTGGTTTTCCTTGGCTCATACTGTATAAATGCGGTCTTGGTTCCCACTCTTGAGGGATGATCTGGAGAGAACACTCGTTGCAGAAGTAAATTACTCGGGTCCAATATTACTTAACTTCGGTGAATCTCAAGATGGGCCAGGTTATTTTCATTACAGGGGCCAATCGAGGTGAGTCAAGAACATATTGTAGAGATCGTGTGTCTGGGTTAACGTCGACCATACAGGCATTGGGAAAGGCCTTGCAGCGCACTACCTTGGGGAGACGGACACCACGGTCATTGCAGCCATTCGAAATGTCTCAGAGGAGAACACCAAGGAACTACGTTCTTTGCCCAAGGGCTCTGGCTCCCAATTGATTCTCGTGCCGCTCAGTCTCGACATCCCATCGAGCGCCGCCGAGGCCATTGCCGAAATCCAAACCCAGCATCACATCGAACACATTGACATTGTCCTTGCCAATGCAGGGATTTGCAACCACTGGGGCCCGGTGGTGGACATGACGGATGAGGACGTACTTTCCCACTTCGAAGTGAATACCCTCGGACCACTGAGGCTGTTCAGGGCCATAGCACCATTGTTGCTGAACGCCAGCCAGCCCAAGTTCGTCTACACCTCTACGTTACTGGCAAGCCTTGATGAGATCGAACGCATCCCGTCCATGGCCACAGCTTATGGCATGTCCAAGGTGGCGGGCAATTACCTGGTCAGGAAAATTGAGGCAGAGAACCCGAAGTTGATCGCTTTACTAGTCGACCCTGGGTAGGTTCTAGCCCTATAACTCTTCTTTTTTTTCCGTTATATTCAGGAGAGCTTTTGGACACTAACCTTGATCAGACTTGTCCAAACAGACATGGGTAGTCGCAATGCGCAATTTATTGGATTAGAAAAAGCTCCGTTGACCGTTCAGGACACCGTCCAAGGAATTATCAAGCAGGTGTGTATTGAGCATGCTTTATCTGCATCGTTCTCAGATGGAAATGCTGACTTCTCTCAAGGTCAAGGGGGCACAAAAGTCAACTTCACCGGGTCAATTTGTCAACTATCTCGGCGAGAAAGTACCATGGTAGACCAGAGGTAAAGTCGCAGAATCTAGGCTGGTAGTTGTGAAGAGGAGCTATCTTCGGATGGAAATCATGTTGAAACTAGTATTTCAAGTGTACTTTGAATGCCTTGTATACGTTGCCATAGAAGACAAAACCATAGAAGATAGAATATTCAAGTTACAAAACTCCAAATTTGTATTCTCGACTGGCAAAGCTGTATATTAGGTCTATAAAAGAGATTGAAGATACATGATAGGAGATCTAGCCCCTAGAATGACTCCCAAGCCAGGACTATCTCATAATAAATACATCAAGCATCCAGATTAAAAGACTGCGTCGTCTTAAATTCTCTGCACGCAATGCATACTTTCATTTGGGCCATACACCAACTTCGAACTCAACACGATGCCCCGAAAATGGCCAGCTTTCATGGTGAGCAATGGCTGATGATGAGGGCACCGCTTTCGAATACCATGGGCCATGTGCTCTCTGGCCTGGTCTCGCATAGAAGACAAGCCTACAAACTATGCGCATAGTTTGGCAACATAGTCTGTCCTGTTTGCTTGATAGTGTGAATGATTACGTTGGAAAATGTCTGGACAATCTCACATATGGATTATCATGATACTCAATACTTGCTTTGGCCGGTAATAACCAACTAGTCCCCTATTACGCAGGCGCCACTGAATGTGAAGTTCTCTGTCTCGCCGAGTTAGACAGAGGCTTCGAAGAAGCAGAATAGGACCCTACTTCTTGGGAAGAATATCATTCCTACAACTCTTCTATCGGTAAACCTAGCCCTCGCTGTTTTACAAATAGTTTACTGAGCATATTGGTAGTGTAAATATCTAGATTAAACGAGAAGATCTCAACCATACTAGAAGCTACAAGATCAACAATGCCTTGGATCAGATCCTCCTGGCTCAACAGCCGAATTAGACTCGCCTCATTGCTGAAACTGGTGTTGGCTAATATGAAGTTGCGACTGCAACTGCCTGTGCGAAGTTTGGAATAAAGTACACTATTTATATAGGTGCTGAGGCTGTCCGTCAGCAAGCCTTGAACATGTTCTGCATGAAACTTCTTGGTGCTGAGTTGGTAGCTATTACCAGTGACACTGGCAGTTGTACCCTATGTGATGCAGTCAATGAAGCTCTGCGGGTAAGGATCACAAACCTCGAGAATACACATTATGCCCTTGGTTCTGTTGCTGGGACCACACCCTTTCCCATCAATTGTATGCATCTTTCAATCTGCGATTGGCGAAAAAAACCAAACAACAGATGAGGGAATTATTAGCAAACTTCCCGATGCTGTTGTTCCATGGGTTGGAGGTGGTAATCCATCTGGCATGTTCTATTCTTTTGACAAGAGTCGGATGTCCAGCTTTTAGGCGTGGAAGCTGGTGGGAGATGGTTTCAATACGTCTCATCATTCAACAACCCTTTTTGCGGGCTGTAAGGGTGTGCTTCACGGAATCTATACCTATCTTCTGCAGGATGAACATGGCCAGATAGATTGTTCTCTACTAGGAGGACCCTGAGAACAGAATCAGCACTAGTGAGGAATCCTTTATCCCTAGAATTGGCTAAAACAACCCAAACTTGCAAAGGCTTGATCCGTGCGAAAAAGTATAAACTCCACACTAGAACGACTTCGTATATATTGACATAAACTAGTGTTTTCCTTTATTTCGAGTGTCTCACTTGGCCTCTTTTTAGATCTGCCGAGAATCTATTTTAATGCAACTGTATCAAGACACTCCTTGCGGGTTTTGTGATGGTATAAAAATAGAGCGTGGAGTTACAAGATCCATAGTCCAGACTCTATAGATACTATTCCGCACGTGTGGTATCACGTGGTATGATCAATGAATACTTGACCGGGAGAGAAAGATAGGCATCTCTGAAGATTCGCTACGGTGTATGCACGGGCTACTCGGTGAGCGCTTGAGAAGTGGCTGAAATAGCTTAACGCACACTCGAGCATATTTTGCCCGCACAAGCGAAAAAGAAAAGAAAAGAAAAAAAATAAAATAAAACAAGGCAAGGCAAGGAACCCGCTGAAAACAACTGGTCCCTTACTCCGTATGCACAACTACTGATCAGGTCGTCTTGGCTTGAGAATACCAGTTTTCAAGGTTTGCTATGCAGGAACGGGTGTATTCGGATGTGTATGCCTGATCGGCATCCTTCGTCTTCTTCTCGAAATGTGTATGTTCTACCCAAGAGGATGAGAGCACGGCCGGCACTCTATCAGAACCTCTCCTGAAGCTGGCTTAACGGCCACAATGTCACACTTTATTCTCACAACTGGGGTACGGAGATAACATACAACCCGCTCCGATACCACAGTAGGAGCACTATGTTGGACAGAGTTCCAGCGATGGGCCCATCGTGGAGCCACTAAAGCCAGTGCCTGACATTACGTTAGCAGCCACAAAAGAACCACAGCCACTCACCTATGTATAACAAACGCCTCTTAAGACCGTGTATAACCCGTACACAAGTCACATTAGAATCGTGGCAAAAAAAGGCAGTGGGGCGCCCAAGAGTGCGTCAGCTTGCAGTCTAGAACTTTGGTTGTGACCAAACAGCCCCGTTGTTTCAATCATCGCAGTGAATCAGATCGATCAACACCTGCAAACAAAGAGACAGATCAACTGGTTGCTATTTTTTTCGGATCCCTCTGACAAGGGGAAAGATCGCGATCCTCCTATTCACACGTTAATCAAGTTCAAGAGTTGCCTTGAGCAAGTGGATCGGCAACTGTCATGCCAAGAGAAGATTTTGAAACACCTCCGAGGCCCATTGGGATCCAAAAAAGAAGTTACCCCTGATGTGGTTCGTACAATAGTTCGGCATCTTCAAAACAAATCTACCCACCAAGAGGAATGTATGTACATACATACGCAGTACTGTGCATGTGTGGAAGTTACATCCATTCCCCATATTCTTTGTTTTCCTCTTTTCGTTCGCACCACCGCTGATCACCTTGGGGATCCAATGATGCAATGACCAGAAAATCAAGGTTCCATTTCAGGGGATCAACTGGGAATTTTTCTTTTTTGTCTCAATGTCTCCCCTCTTCAGCTCCACTTGGTGGCCCTGGAAGAAGTTCGGTCCAGCTGTAGATCGGGGCCTAGAGCAGCGCCGGCTTCCAACCAGAGCCACTCATGAGAAGACCCAAGAGCTTGGCCGTTGAAACCCCCGATTACTATTTGCTCCTGAACGGTGGACGATGGAGACTCCTCTGTGTACGACTAACTTTGGACTCCCTGTCCATGCCTCCAGCGTCCGGCTCTTTATACGTCCTTCCCCTCATGGCTATCGCTGCATAATACCATTCACTTGATGTCCATTGCTTGTCTTTTCTCTCGTCCTTCCTTTGCATGTGGCATTGTTCTTTTTCACCTATAGTTTTCTTCTTGCAGCATTCTTCTACCTCCGCAGTTTGTCTTCTGTTCGGGTTCTATTTATAACCTCTGGTCTGATCGGGTCTTATTCAATTGATTGCTCATAGAAAAAGGCGTTTTCCGAGTTTGCATTGCATAAGACTTAATTATCAGCTTTCGTTCTTTATCGATACTAGCCCAGAAATCTTCTTTCAACCTGACTACCGCTCGTCGGTCTCTTCCCTCGAATGCGCCCGTTCGCTTTACTTTTTAGTTAGAAGAATTGACATAAAGTCATGCGTTTCTTACAATGTCTTCTCGCTACAACATCTCTTTACACTAGTGTCACGGCATTTGTGCCCTACTACCTAGATCTTGGTGATCCTGTTGCCGATGTCGCCGATGCTAAGCTCCAGCGTCGTTTTTTCCCATATGAGTTGCCGTCGGAGGACGTGAAGGATGAACCGGAATCATCTACGGGGGATGATACTATCACCCTGGACATCAAAAGGGCCTCCTTTCGCCGTGACAACAATTTCAAGATTATGTTGTCAGATGATCCGACATCGCCCAACACGGCCGCGCTCAACCAAGGTGGAAACGACTATACCTATTTTGCAGAAGTCAAAGTTGGCTCTCAAGGCCAGAAGATGTGGATGATGCTAGACTCTGGGGGTGTCAATACATGGCTTTTCGGGTCGGACTGCACGACAGATTCCTGCAAACTGCACAACACGTTTGGTGAACACGTTTCGACAAGTCTCATACTAACCGACAAGAAATGGGGCGTGGGCTATGGAACTGGGCAAGTTAACGGCGTCCTCGGAAATGATACGCTCTCGATTGCTGGTATGGATGTGCGAATGTTGTTTGGACTGGCTACCAATGCGTCGGATCAGTTCCAGAATTATCCTATGGATGGTATTATCGGCCTTGGCCGCGCTGAGGAGGGGTCGTATGGTCCCTCGTTTATGGAGGTCGTCTTAGAGCAGAAGGCCCTCAAGTCAAACATTGTCAGCTTCAGTCTCTCTCGCGCTGCCGACGGAGGGAAGGATGGTGCTGTGACGTTTGGTGGCGTCGACAAGACTAAATTTACCGGGGACATTTTGTACACCGACGCTCTCAGCGGTAATAATCGCTGGACCATTCCCCTGGATGATGCCAGCGTAGATGGCAATGCCTGCAACTTCGTCAACAAAACGGCCATCATCGACACCGGCACTTCCTACGCTCTGATTCCGCCAAAGGATGCTGCCGCATTGCATAAGTTGATTCCGGGCTCCAGTGCCTCGGGGGACGAAAACTTTGTTATCCCTTGCAATTCCACTGCCAAAGTTGAACTCACTTTTTCGGGCCAGAGCTACACCATCTCCCCCAAAGATTATGTCGGCTCGAAGTACGGGTCGGGCTGTGTTTCGACGATCATCGGCCATCAGATGTTCGGTGACAACGAATGGCTCGTGGGCGATGTCTTCCTCAAGAACGTGTATACGGTGTTTGACTTCGACAAAGACCGAGTCGGGTTTGCCATACGTGGGAACTCCAGCGCAAAGGCATCTACGACAACTACCAGTGCCACTGGAACCGAGAAAGCTGATTCCGCCACTGCTGCCGCCGCAAGCTCAAGCGCGACAGAAGCCACTTCTGCTGGCGTGAAGACTAGCATACACTATCTGCCTGCCTTGATGCTCGTTCTATGCACACTCTGGCTCGCCTAGTGTGATCACGCGACTCTCAATAGGTTCGCAGCAATTTCTTGCATATATAATCCTACTATTCGATCCAGTATCGATAGCACATGGCATCACCCGCTGGACTTGCGGTCGCTTTGAAGATTTTTGTACATTTACCTGTCTGTATTTTGGTGGACACCTCTATGGGCCTGCCTCTTGGGACATGCCTCGCATATATGTGCGTTGTCCTCAGTCTATGACTGCATATTCGAACCATAACATTTCAATATTGGTAAATAGCTACTCTTCACCGGACAACTATCATTCTTTCATCCGGGCAATCTATACAAAGAAAAACATCCTCACCTCAACTGTCCAAAGTATTAATATCCCCGTAATTAACATCACAGTCTTTGGCCTCAGGGTTCCACTAGAATAAAACTTGCCCAACCGTACACCAGAAAATCTCAACTCCCAATTACAAACCGCTCAAGAACCCCAGATATATTTTGGCTCCTACGTCGGGTTGTTCAGTGTGACTTTAAGATTTAGAAGACCCCTACAAGAAAGGCCATAGTCTGTGCATTCCCTGCAGCATAATCTATACCCTAGCACAGCAGATGTAACGGTATTGTGATGATGGGGGCTAGTGTTGGCACTAGACAGGGGTCCGCGAGCCAGTTATGTCTACCCTAGGCACTAACTGTTACATATTAAGTGTCTCCAGCACAGATCATCTCCTTACTTTACGAGATCTGTCGGCCTTGCAGTCTCGAGGCTGAATTATGTGGAACTTGAGCCGGCTATATGGATTTATGGTTATCAGATCCCCTTAGACGGGCCCACCTTTGAAAAGCTTAGATAGATTACTTTGCCTTTACTGGGGATAGTGTATGTGATAGTTACTCGAAATGGGTGGGTGTGGAGACAGTATAGCAAGAGGTTTACATGACTCCAGAGGAGGGACTAAAAGGAAGATGGAGGTAGAGGTCTTATATGTATTACTCTTGCTATAGTAGACAGTGTCCCTTGTTCTATACTGCGTATCCACACTTGCAGTGCATTATATGTCGACTTCATCAGTTCACAAGACTATATCCGGAATAAGGGTATATCCTTTTGGATAAGATTCTACAGAAGTGTTAGCCCACTGGATAGAGACAGATGCGCATACTCAACATACCTAAAATCGATCGGTCAAGCTCCTCCACACTGTTGAACCCCGCAACACACATGAAAATGTCAAAGTCAGCCAGCAGCGACTTCATAACGTGGCGGACTCCTTCTTCTCCCATGATACTGAGCCCCCAGATCCAAAGCCGGCCCACAAACACGAACCGGGCTCCCAGCGCCAGTGCTTTCGCGACATCACTCGCGCCGCGAACTCCAGAATCATACATGATGTAGATTTTGTTGCCGACAGCATTGGCGATATTCTCCAGTGCATCAAGGCTTGCGATTGCTCCGTCCACCTGCCGACCGGCATGATTGCTCACCACGATGCCATCGACGCCGTACTCCACACACTTCTTTGCGTCTGCGACCGACTGGATCCCCTTGATGGCGAAAGGTCTTCCGCCGGAAATCTTCTTCCATTGCTCGATTAACCAGGGGATTTTCTCCCAGGACCATGCACGTCCGTGCCAGACGGAGTCAATCCATTTCGTCGAGGCCGCGACAATGTCCTTCTCCGGGTCAATACCTTCTTCGCGACATCGCTTCTGGAATACAGGGTCTGTCAAGCCTATGTCGGCACCAGTCCCGCGGTAGAAGGCATAGTTCGAATTGGCCACATCGTCGTGTCGCCAGCCAAGCTGCCAGGTGTCAGTGGTGAGGATAAGCGCATCAAACCCAGACTTCCAAGCCCGGTTAAGAAGAGACAGTGTTAGCTCGTCATCATGCGGCATATACAATTGATAGAACCGAGGACCTTTGCCGTTTGCCTCTGCGACTTTCTCAATTGGTGTACTTCCTGCTGTAGAGAGGCAGTACGGGAGATTGAGCTCGCCTGCAACTTTGGCGACTGCGGCTTCTGCTGATTGATGGTAGATCTTGTTGATCCCGATGGGAGCAAAGCCTATCGGAGCTGATACACGGTGTCCAAAGATCTCCGTAGTGGTGTCTCGCAGGTTGGTATCCACTAGTTGTCGGGGGATGATGCGGCGACGGAAGAAGGCTTGACGGTTCGCCAGGTGGGTGTTGGACATGCCCGCATTGGAGGATGCATAGTACCTACGGGTGTGTTAGACGATACACATCCTATAGTGACAGAAGTTGGAGCCATACCAACCACCTTGACTAAGCTTCTCATGAGCCAGCTGCTCCAGCTTAATGGGGTCTACTCCGACGCGAGTTGCGGTCAGCCCAAGGTGCTTGCTTTGCTAGTCAAGTGAAGGACAACGTCGTACCAGTATTAAAAGGAGGTGTTTGTCCTTCGTTGAGCTTCCAGAAATTCTCGCGCTGGTACAGCGCCCATTGTGGCGTCGTTCTCTTCTGGATGTTGGGATTAGTTGGGTCGCTCATTGTTCAGGTGGTCTCAGATAGTCTTTTCGTATTCGTCTAGCATTTATTCCGTAAAGAATAGAAACAACCATCATACTGGTACAAAATATTCTATTTCTCTGGATATATATAAATGGGATATGACTTCACTTTGACGCAGCTCTCGGGCGAGAGACCTGGTGGAGCTGGTCAGTGAAGCTCTTGATAAATGACAGGGATGCAGACCAATGGTTGGTTCTTAGCAGTCTGAGTACTTTTAATTGGAAGAGGCATCAACATAGTTCTTCACCAACACTGGCATCAGCATAGTACGGAGTACATAGTATGTATGTACTGGAGTGGCCGATAAGATAACTAGGATACTAGCGATGATGTCATCAAACAGATGAACTAAAATGATGATGCAGCACTACTGGGGATACTAATGATTGGACACCCCCCTCGTAGTCCATATGATAATCTAAAGATAGTCATGAACCCTCCTGACACCTTGAATACTTCCATACAACATGAAGAAGCCGTCCAGGTTCCCGAGGAAATAGTCTTTGACGGGTCCCGATATCCTCCGGAAGAAAGATCGGTAAGCGGCCAACACGCCTCGGGAACATGACCCCGATGCCGACAGTGACCATTTCGACCTCAAACTCTCCCATCAACTAACCTTCCTCCGAAGCGTCCTCTGGACTGACCGAGTTTGTACAATGTTGGGTCTAGCTACGCGACGGTCCGCCGCGACCCGCTCGAAATGCTTAACATCTGCAACTAATAGCATTCTGGGGACAAGGGCAGCAGAGCGCCCGTCACGGTTGTGTCTTGCGTCCAAGGATTTCCACACTAGTCAACCCAATGCGGAATCCCGGCCTACGTGGATGCCCATGCGTGTCAAGACACCGTGGATTGAAGCATTGACGAAGAGCAGAGAGGATGCGAAGGCCGGCAAGGGAGCTTCTACGCCGGTCGCGGAGCCCGATCTGACTCCTAAGAAGATGTCGGATAGCCACTATAGTGCTGTTAGTGAAAGTGCTTTGCATTTGTTGAATTATAGACTAATCTGGGATACAGATCCTGCCGTTGGCACAAGACAAATGGCTCCTTGATACATATCTGAATGCTTCGGGGCATATCAGGTAACCAATCTGACATATGCCTTGGAATTGGCGTTATCGCTAACGAAGCCAGGTTGGGGTCGCTACTGATGGACTTGGATGCTTTGGCCGGTATCATTGCTTACAGGCACACCGGAGGCTCGGTGACGACCGTGACCGCTGCATGTGACCGAATCACCATCGAACATCCTCTGATGGAGATCTGCGATCTTGAGCTCAGCGGCCAGGTTACCTACGCTACGGGACGCTCTAGTATGGAGATATCTTTGCAGGTCGCAAAGGCCCCTCCTGAAGGACAGAAGGCGAAGCCTGAGGATGTTCTGATCACTTGCGCCTTCACAATGGTGTCTCTTGATCCGGTTACCAAGAAGTACGTTCCTCGAGTAGCTAATTCCCAGAGTACCATACTAACGCTCCTTAGACCCGTCAATGTCGCACCCCTCTTGCTAGAAACTGATGAGGAGCGTCTTCTCTTTAAAAAAGGAGAAGAGAACTATCAAGCCAAAAAAGGACTGAGAAAACGAAGTTTGCTTCAGAAGGCCCCAGACGACGAAGAGAGTAACCTGATTCACTCCATGTGGACCAAGGAGATGTCGTATCTGAGTACGTGGCTACTCTCCAAGATTCTGCCGTGATTACAGCCACTAATATCGCACAGGTCCGGAATCTCCCGCTCAAAGACCATCAAACATGGTCTTCATGAGCGACACCAACCTGAAATCAGCCATGATCATGCAGCCACAAAACCGCAACCGGCACAACTTCATGATCTTCGGTGGTTTCCTTTTGAAGCAGACCTTCGAGCTTGCATTCTGCTGTGTGGCGTCTTTCTCCCACGCTCGACCCAACTTCATCTCCCTTGATCCTAGCACGTTCGAGAACCCCGTTCCCGTCGGCAGCGTCCTGTACCTTCGCGCCACGGTTGCCTATACAGAGCCTGTCGAAACAGACTCGGGCAGCAAGTACACCAAGGTTCAAGTCCGTGTGGACACCAAGGTCAGGGATGTGGAGCATGGCACCAAGAAGTCGACCGGCCAGTTCAACTACACTTTCTTGGTTGAGAAGGACATCCAGGTCATGCCGAAGAGTTACGGTGAGTTTATGCTCTGGACGGATGCCCGGAGACGGTCACAGAATGCTGCTGCGTTGGCCCCTGCTGGATCGAGGGAGCTTAGTGCTCTTAGGGGGCTCAAGGATAGCGTGACTGAGTAGATGCTACTATATAGAATAATATTTGTATATCGTATGGTTCTGTATGCTTTTAGAGTCCTTGGGACTCCCGAACGCATATGGATATCGTTTATACTTCCTATCAAAAACAAGGTTATAGCAACCAGTAATAGTAATATCTGTCTATGTATACCAAGCATGTCCAGAATACAAAAAAAGAAAGATCAGTAGAAACAAAGATCACGATCGATCTATATACCAGTCACATGACATGACATCTCCGCACCGATAAAGACCAAAAAAGATCTTATCTCTCAAGCTCCTTTTAACCCCTCCATACATATTTGTACAGAGCGTGTATCCGATTGTCTCCCATATATACGCTTCTATTCTTACTAGATCTATAATCTACCTTTCATTGAAAATGAGTGGGCTCTTTCAAAACATCTACCATCTCCGCCGGGTAGCAGACACCGCCGCAAAGGCGTGCTATGTCTGCCACAAGCCCTCGAGCAGCGTGATGATCACGCCCGACAACAAGGTAAATACATTCTAACCTCTTTCAAAGCATAACTGGTTGCGGGGAGGCGTTAGTAACAAAGTCGAAGGATTTCTTCTACGTTTGTCCTGTTCATCTGAAGGATCGGCATTTTTGCTCTCCTATCGTTGACACAGAGGACGAGGAAAAGAAGAAGAAAGAAGAGGCATTAGCAAAAGAAATCGAGAAAGTAAAGAAGGAGTATGAAGAGAAACAAAAGAAGAAGAAAGACAAGACGAAAGAAAAGAAATCCGACGAAGAGTCAAAGAAGGAAGAAGGATCATCCAGCGACAAAAAGGAGGGCAATGACGAAAAGGAACGAGACGATAAGGTCTATATCCTACCTCCCCTACCCCTTCTCCCTCACCCCCCAGCCGCTCAGGCCTTGGACGTGAATCAGAAACGACAAACAAAAAGCTAAAGCTGACACACTGAAGATCGAATCCCTCAAGAAGTCAGCACAACCCACGTCCACGTCGGATGACGGGCCTCGTATTTTCGCATTGCATAAGTATGTCCTAACCCGATTCAGGACCCTGACACGCTTTGCCAGCTCAGCACAATCTGACCGCATTGGCTCGCAGAAATTTCTACCAGATGCGCATCGACAGACTGCGTAATCTCGAGGCTGCCAAGAGAAATCGCCAGCGCCTGCAGGATCCCTCATTTTTCCCGTCTGTCCCGTCCGGAGGGCTCTGATGAGGTCAAATTTACGGGGGTTGCTTGCCTCATCAGGACCGATTAGGATGTTAATAGCGAGATGAAGTGCCTATTCGTCAGCTCGTTTGGACGGAGATCTCGACGTCATATGTTTAAGCGCGGCAGTACGACGATCAGAGCGTCGCTGCGAAGATGGAATAAACGACAAGCCCGCACAGCCACTGTCCACCCTCAATTGAGGTGAACCGTACTTGAACTCAGTCTTCTGCTCGAGTCGCGTTAGACAATACAACTGCGCTACAGATCAGCTCAGAATTCATCTAAATCAAACTCATGGTCTGATCTCCAAATCAGCCAACACTCACCACATGACACCGTCAGCAGCATCCAATGTCGCCATCCTGAAGTCTGCCTGGTTCACCCGGGGCTCAGTCAATATCGGAGGAGAGGCAAGGCACTCCAAGTGGAACCCAACACGATAGCTCAGCACTAAGCACGACGTGGAAGCTTCTAACCCAGCCACCTCAGCCTTATAGGCAACAGTTCGTGGTCTTATGCTCGCACTATGTATGTGAATATCTGTATATCCGGTTCGACGATGTGCTTCAATAGCTTGCGACTTGTCGGAAGACAAACCCCAACTCTACCCGGCCAATATGATAGTAGGCAATACCTACTACGTGCTATATGAAGCCAACTTAAATAACGCATCGCATATACATCTACAATATACACACAAATGCATAGAAATACTCTATTCAATCAAGATGTAAAACCCAACCTGACAAGATAAAAAAAAACAAAAGATATAGCAAGCAAGGAGCATCATATACATAACATAGCCGGCATGTCATGCACAAACACAGACCACCGATGCATCTTGCATATTCTGCCTAGACTAGGCAGGTCACTAGATTTCCAACGGAGCACATGCATACAGTGCATATTCCTATTTCGATCCCGCCATCGGGACTCGCGAGATTTGTGCAATCAGAGCTCATGCATAATAGCGCCATGATGTCAGGGAGCGGACGGTTTCATTTACTCGTTTCTAATCCATGACTCTACTTACGGTCTCTGTGGGGAATAGGGAGGTATACTGTATGCATTGCAGTGGAGAAGGAGGAGGCAGTGCACTCTGTGCTGCCTGTCGTTAGGCCCTTCGGTTAGGCGGGGAGTATCTAAGGGGTTGCGTTTTGGTTGTATGGGGTTACTTTGAAGGGGAGACTGGTGTGGATACAATGGTTTTTTTTTTATCCCGTTGTGGAATTTATACAGAACCTATGAGAGTTGAATATTGTACTGATTTTAAGATGGATCCGGTGGTGGATGTGGTGTTCTCGTAGCGCTTAGGGCTTAGAGTCGGGTTTCGTTGGACATCCGATTGATGAGGTCGATGGCTGCATTGACTGGATGAGAAGTTTGAGCGTCGTGGGCAAGTGACGTCATTTTCGATACAGGGTCGCTTCTGGAAGGAAGTTGTCGCTTTTATCCGACAAGTAAATCCATGGATAGGATACTACTATGGCTCAAGAAGCATTTCGAAGAACTCCTTCTTACCCTGTCTGGGATATAGGGGGTGCAAGTCTCGATCACCGAGGAATGGAGGGAAGGATGAAGTCCACCGCCAAGGCCAGTATCTCACTGATAACATTGATCTTTTAAGATAATCCCATGGAATCCCAAATCCACTCCTTCGGAGCGAGCGATCATCATAATTGCGATTGCAGTTGCCACTATGGAGTTATAAGTATGAAGCGGTCTGGCGGTAATGGAAATACGGTGGGTCAGGGGTTCGCTGGAATTCAAATTACGACGGCGGTACTGGGGTAACGGTCATGATACGAAAGGCGTTACGGCAGGAGTTGCATCCATGGGTCTCGCGCCCCCCAGTTGCGTAAGAGCAGTTTGCACAGCCCCCGTGCCGGAGCTAGTGAGTAGGCTAGGCCTACCCTGCTGGAGCCTGGTCTCCTCCTGGAACCAGGTCACGGACGCTCGACACGCCTGCACCGATTACTAATGCTCCTTCTCAGGAACTTGTGCACCGCTGTCCACTGGGAAGTTTGAGTTTGTCCTCCCCGATCTTCCCACGCCGCAGATCCCGGGACTTGTTCAACCCGTCCATTGGTGGGTTTCCCAGCCAGTGGGCCTTGCCTTAAAAACAGCCTCGTGGAGCTGTGGGGTTAAGCCCTGAATCCTGACAGGTTCTAGCGCTTGGACATCGCAAGACATTCAATCTGCTGGTATCTTGCTCAGAACAGTCAAGCAACGCTTCCCCGGCAGTGATGCCATAATATCAACTTGCTCAGCAGGTATAAATTATGATTGTCTATGAGCTATCAACCGTACGAATTCTGTCATCACGGAAATTAATTTCGTCGCTGCTAGCTTGGTAGATCAACGCCATTGCGGGATGATCGGCATCAGGGTCGTCTAGAAGCAGAGATGGGTCGCACCAAGACTCGACTCTGCGTGCCTAGACCCAAGTCTTGTGGTAGCCAAGTACCTGTTCATGTATGCTTTTCTTCATCCGTCATCTCCCCGTCGGTGTGGTGGATCCATGAAGATCCGAAATTCCGTATTTCTGGCAAGTTGTGGCAACGCGTCCACGCAAGACCCAACCCTATTTAACCCAAAGTTGTAGTTGCCGTTTTCTCTACACCGCGTTGGGCAAATAGTTGGATATGGCCAAGTAGACGAAGGCGCACAACATCTCGTCTTCACGGTGATCTGTAAGCCAGACCCTACCGCATCACGTGATGTGAACATTCTAACGCTGGCTGTCAGAGACGGAATTATGTGTATTCAAGCGGCAATGGTAATTATCCGCAAAGTATCCGCCATGTCAGTCGCCCCTGAGGCGCAGTCACAGTAGTAAACTTAGAGATTGCCCCGTCCATTTGTGGAATCCTCCGCAGGATTACGCCTCATACTAGGCGGCAGTCGGATGCCTAGGGCAGCTGGAGGTAATCTTCCCACATTGACACGTTGGGACATATCGATTCGAGCCTTCGCAAGGCCGATTGCAGGAACTACCCAGTCGCCGCAGCTACATTGCATACCCTGCCATGCAAACTTCCCGATATTGGAACCACACGAAGTGTTCGGGCAGGTCAAGCGACCAGACAAGGGCGCATCCCCAGACGGTGATCCATCTTCTTCACCGTTAGGGAAAAGGCACGGGCGCATCCACGTCAAAGGATGTAAGAAAATGTGGGCGCAATCGGTTGGTCCCTTTGCACCGTTCTGCGGGCCATGTGGTATGATGAATGGCGTGGTCGCCAAGTTTCGCCTACCGGATACAGTCAACATTTGGATGTTCATCTGGAGAGATCTATTGTAAAATTAGGAAACTGACCTGCATTTCCGACATTTAATTTCCGTTGTTCGATCCGTATTGTCTTGGGGTTTGTGAGGCTGTTCGTCTTCAAATAGCACGGAATTCATCTCCGGCGCGCGCCCACATGCTACACTTTCCTCAACTTCGCGGCGGTAAAGCCAACGGCTATACAGCGGATGGCTGATCACATCGTCTGGACAACCCATTTCGTGGTAGATCGACAGCTGTTTCATGAACCCATCATTTGGCTCGCAAAGTGGCCGGCTCTCCTTAATAATAGCAAGAGCGGACTGCGGCGTCAGTGTGCTTGGCTGTTGGTGGAGCATATAAGCGATACATATGGTGGCTGAACGGGATTTTCCCATCGCACTATTTATTATCAGTAACAAAATTCATCGTGCCTCTCATCTAAGAAGTCCGCTGGGGTCAGGTGAAATATCTCAATATGACAACCTTGGCCGACAAGGGAAGACCCATGCTCGTGATAGGAGCACGTGACATCGGTCAGTGCTTCGTTTTGACTATACATGGGGATGGAAGGCCAGAAGAATGAAAACGCTTGGGCCCAGAATCATAGAGTTTTTCACAGCCAGCCAGGCCACCCGAGTATATGGGGATACTGCGGGCTTGTGGGCATGAGAAGCAATGAGGAAGAGGGGTAGACTAACCAATGGACCAGGACGCCCCCACCAGCATCCAATCCAGACTGGATGAACTTAATGGCGGACGGGAAATGTTCTAGGAGGTTCTCATCCTCGACATCGTCCACATCGATGCGATGATGTTGGAAGCCTGCAAATGTCTCTTCTTGTGGTTGCAGGCGTAATACCGAAAGTACATGGGTAATGTTTGCTCTTTCCAATGCTGCCCTGTTTTTAAGGGAGAAAATACTACACGTCAAACCTGTGTGTCAGCAAGTGGTTCGATGTAAAGAATATTTCTTTCTTGTTTTTCTTGACTTGGGCTTTCAAGAGTATATTTGTTGCCCCGCGTTGTTAGGATTTCTGACCCAACGCAATGAAGGTTTAATACAGGTATTGAGGGACAAGGTAAGACCAACCCTCCAATATAGATGTTCTGGCCGGGAATACGATTCATAGCCATTGTGAATGCCGCTTTGAGTAACACTAATGCACATATGAATAATGGTATAGTATTAGGTCAGTAATGAAACGGAGGTATGTCGGTGATTGTGGAATGTAAAGCGTTGACAATGATCCTCCTAGACCAGGTTCAGATATCAAGCCAAGAACTTGATGGCGGATGTCATTGGTTGATGAGAGGAAGGCCGACGAGAGACGGCACGGGACGGCAGCTAGGGTGTAGGGCAAGGGCAAGGGCAGGCTGCGGTTGGGGCCTGAGGCAATAAGGTTGGGGGGCCCCGCATTACTAGCCTTGAACCCTGAATCTGAATGAAGGAAGGAAGGAAGGAAGGAATGTATTTGATGAGATAGGCGGACTACATTTCTTGTCCCAACTGGACGTTTGCAATATTCAATGGACAGAGATACCATACTTTCTATGGCTAACCATGCGGCAAACCTCTCGAGCCCATCCTGGTTGACTATCTACGCAACTTCTACTCTGTAGATTCAGAGATGTAAGCTCAGTCGAGTGAGGTGGAACCAAAATCTCTGAAACCGGATTCTTGGAGGTATGCACGTACGTCTGTGCTGCCAGTCGTAAGTTGAAGTCTTGGAAGGACTGGATACAATCAAAACTCCGCACTTCGGCAGCAAGGATCACCCTCATTCGTAAGTGCGGGACGGAATCGGATAACCTCAAGCCCCTTCCCAACAACGATTGGTGTCGAGTAGACGCCAAGGTCCCAAATCCTCAGATAGTTTCAGATGTGCACTGTTTCAAACCATGTCCGCTGTGGTAAAAGTCCACGTCGATCGATTGGCCACATGTGATAAAGGAGTCTGTGCGGCTTTCATTCCACAGACGACAAATATGCTTCTACGTAGTCTGAGTCCCCGTCCTAAGGCTGTCCAGACTATACATTTTGGCTTCTACGTTTTGGATGTGCGTATGTCGATTGCGTTTTCTGTCTCACTACGAGCCGTGTACGGGTGCTACTAGAAGTAAACCCTGACTCGACACTAACTTACTTACCCCCTGATATGCACATGACGCCTGATCCAGGTTCGATCAATCAAATGCAACCCCGAAGAAAACAGTTGGAATCAAAGTAGATTAAGCTTGACCTCCTCAATCCTCATGCATCATGCAGAGTGAGCACTGTGCAATTTGAAATCGATTGGGTGCTAAGTGCGACTACTAGCTGAGGTCAGTTCAGCTAGCCATGCCTGGGTAGGTCAATACTGGTTAACTAGCGCCTCGATTCCTATGTCAGCAGGCCTGTGCACGGGACTTAGCCTGCAGCCTGTTAAGGCTTAAGGCTGACGGCGCTTTTGTATGGCAAGTAGTCTAACTTTACCCGGATGCTTGCTTTTTTTACTCGCGTTTGAAACTTGACCCTTGTCCCTGCGAAGGGCTTCCGTATCACGGCGTAATTATAAGACATCATCTGCACTCATCCAGTCATGAGAGACGTGTAACTCGCACTACATCCACTGACCGACTATATATAGTGCTTACGTGCGGGACCCTTAAACTAGCATTTCATCGCGAAGACTACTACAAGACTCCCCCTCTTTTCCATCAATCGCCGACCATGCTGCTGACTTGCGCACGACTGCCCAATCGTATCGGGTCGTCGATCAAGTATGGGATGATGGCAAAAACAAGCGTCGCATCGTATATGTAGGCTTACAAGCGGCAAAGATTAGCAGGGCAAGTGAAATCCGCCGGATTGCCACAACCCAGTGGATACATGTGTGTGTGTGTGTGTGTTGTTGTTGTCCAAGTGATGGTTTTCAGTGGGCGCGTAAGACTCAACAACGAGAGGAAGACGAGGATCATATCCATTTCCATTCCTCTCAGCTGTGGATGGTAGGAGCTGAATAGACAAGATCGGAGTTGATCACCTCTTCTGATCGCCACAGTGACCGTATACTACATAGTATAGAGTGTGGTGCTGAGGGCCGCCGGTAGTGGCGAAAAAATTTTTTTCAATAGTGATAGCATTACTGAATAGAGAAGAACAATAATCTACTGGGGTCTGCAAGTTACCCTTGCCTTGAATCATTTTGCCCCCTCTGACGTTTTTTTATTTTATTTTATTTTTATTTAGTTGGAGGTTTGTTTTTTTTCTTGCTAGCAAAAAGCTGCAACGGGGATGAAAGCTTCTAAGACAATTGTTGCGGCAGCTTCCTATTGCTTAATAGAAAGACCACATAAGGCGTCGAAAAGAGACCAGTGGAACGAAACAAGAATAGTACGCCGTCGTCCGTCTTCCACATCAAGCCTTTCTTTTGTAGCTGTTTTTATTTTTATTTTATTTATGTATTTTATGTAGTATTATTTTTTTTTTTTTTTTTTTAAAAAAAAAAAAAAAAAAAAAAAATAATAATACCTTTCTAATAATTCCTATGTGATCCCGGCTATTTATTCCAGTTCTTCACCGCAGGACCCCAGTGCGTTATAGAGTTGGGATATCATATCCGTAGAAAACCTCCGATATCCCTACTTTCCCACGGCCAAGGTCTTGAGTACTACTATTCTTGTTCGACTACCCCTTTTTCTTTAGGTTTAAGGAAATTTCTCAGACCGTCAACCCCTCATTTTTCTCCCTATACTACGATAATTTAAGCGTTTTATCCATCCAATTCCAGGGACGGCGTCCTCGGGGTGCGACGGAAAATGCCAAATGACAGCACTGTGGCAGTGCATGTATCTAAGGACATAGTGGATCCCACTAGACCACATTGGCGGCGGGTCAAGCTCGACAAGGCCACTAGTTGTTGGCTGACATTCGCCGGCACACTTCACAGTGGGTCTATAGTGTATGGAGTAGTTGGGTGCATGTATGCACTCGGTACCCTGGACAGAGATGACTGTGGTCGGGGCCTTTACTATTAGGTTCTTCTGGAATTTCACAGGTAATTAATTCCTGTATTGCTTGGAACATGGTAAATTTGGAAACGGATTTGTTGAGATTCAAGACATAGTTTGTCTGTTCTTCCATTTCTCTTTCCTTTATATATATAGATGACAAGTAAAAATCATTTTGAAGGGAGGAAAGAATAGCAAGGGAATACGTAGTACACTGTATACCGGTAGAAGAATTCAAGTTGTACGGGGGAAATCCCCGTGTCGGTAGGTCAACCTGAAGGGCTATACTTTCATGTTCAAACATTTTAATATCGACGATACATTGGTCCTTCCAGAAGGGGGAAAGGTCTCAGGATGACCCGCTTTCTAGTTGTCTTCTGGTGAAGCCTTACGAGTCTCGATTGCAATGTTCATTCTTTTGTCAGATCAAACGAGTCCCCATCTGCCCAGGCACCGAACTTAACGAAAAAATTGACCCTGGGAAGGGTAACCGGGCACCCTGCAACCTTGAATATCAAACATTTTTGGTAAGCGGGTGTAGAAACCTTGTTTTTTGAATCCCCATCCCAAGGCCAAAAGCATGTTTCTAGTCCAGCGGTAGGCATCGGGAGAATCCAATGGCGTGTGAGAATCGAATGGGGACAGAACGTTCGAAGCGACATTGTCAGTGGTAACGGCGGGTATGGGTTGATTCCAATTGACCACAAACCATGAAAAGTAAAATAATAGCGAATGATAATGGCAAGAATCTGCCAGCACTGCCTCATTCCAAAGCATCCGTCCCCAGTAGTCCTTCCACGCTAGTCCGTGCTCACCGCTCTGAAATTGAAAAATAAAATAAAAAATTAAAAAATTTTAAACATTCCTCCAGCCCACGGTAATCAAAATTAATCAATCATTTCCTGACTCACTTCAAAGCCATGGGGGTTATTATTGGAACGACGTGCTGTTGTATGCCTCATGACGGGGTGAACATGGGCCAAAGAATGATATCAAAGGGCCTGACTTAGAGTTCTGCTAAGACAGACCTTAAAAAGTAAACATATGATCAACTTTGCGTTTCCTTCTTGGCCATGGCTGATGACGGTTTACTATCTTGAAAAAAAAAAAAGACAACTACAAACCCCCTTCTTCCTTGCTCCTCTCCCCCTTTTTCTCTCTCTCCCAGACAGGCAAACATGAGACAGTTTGCCTTGAGGGGACATCCTCGCTGTATTGTCTTGTGATAGTCTCGTCTCAAGGCTCTGAAGTACCAGTTAAACTTTCATGGCAGGAACAATCAATAAGATGCCTTACTGAAAGGGGAAAGTAACTACAGTCCCAGTGACATATTGAGTGATATTAAATATGATTTAGTAGTTCTTGGTCGATCCCATTAAACGTGGCCATCCACCAGCCCTGCCATCCCGCGCGTATTTTGAAACGATGTGGTTCTTGAGTCCAGCCATGAGGTTAATCTTTTTGTTCCAGGGCCGAGGACAAGTACCATACGAAGTAACCTTGCCATAAACCCGGATTCTCTATGGAAGTATTCATATCTTCCTTACATTTCTTACGGTTTTACCTTGCTGAGTACTGCCTCGGTGCTCATACGTGGTATTTTGGAGTATTTTTTACAATTTGTGGTACTGCAACAGTCTGACAAGCGACCCAAAAGTTTAACCAGCAAAGCAAATGCAAGGTGTTCCCTAAGGGGGGAGGAACGAATTTCGTGGTTTTCTTATTCTATCTTATTGGGTTTCTCTTTCCCCCCTCAAAGAAAAAAAAAGAATTCAGAATTCAAGAGAATTATACTCACGGGTCCCCTGGCTAGCCTTAAGACCATTCTTGCGCCTCGGGTCTTTTCCTTTCCAACTGTGTAAGTATATTTCCTTTTACAATATTCCCCCCTGGTTTATTACCGCAGTCATATCGAAGAAAAATGACACCATCTAGTTGGTCAGTCTAACTTCTTCGGGGCCCACTATGACCAAACTGCAGTAAAAGCGGAGACACAAATACCAACGTTTTGTATCATTGTGAATAATGGAAGTTTGGGTATTATTATCTAGGTTTCTAGGTCTTGTCCTTCTAATCTCTGCCTTCCATACATACGATCTTTTTTCTTTTTCCCTTATGAAGTTTTATTACGACGACTACCCCGTATTTCTTCTATTCATTGGCGCGAGATTTTGAAATTCGTCCATGCTCACATAGCTGACAAAGAAATCTAAAAAAAAAAAAAAAAAAAAAAAAAAAAAAAAAAAAAAAAAAAAAAAAAAAAAAAAAGAGAAAAAAAAAAAAAAAAATAAAAGATAAAAAAAGAGAAACCGTCCTAGTGAGACGGTCCGGAAGTTCAAGAGGCAAAATCCATCTTGAAATTACAGACGTTTTTTTCCCGCCCAAAAAGCCTTGTAGGGACCAATAAGACGGTGGTTAGCACCACCATCCTGTTCCAACTTTCTTACCTGTCCACCCAGACCAGGCCTTCTGCCTCACCTTATACAACTTGACTTAACCTGAGGCACTTCCTTGTCTGCCTCAGGCCCGCCGTCGCCTTGACTGGTCCTTCTGTCGCTTGACTTTACCTTCACTTTCCCTCCCTTCCCTTCCTTGTTGGATTGTACAAAAACCAACACGTGCTCTGCGACCGTTTTTGTTCTCTTCTGAGATTCTCCATCCCCTCCAAATTTACCGTTCCGTGACCCGGATTCTAGAAGAGGGTTGATCGTGGGGAAACAACCGATTCCCTGCATCTTGTCTAACATTTACCCTCCCTTTTCCCTTTTCTCGAGGGCATACATTGCATAACCGCTTGTCCTCCGCTGCAACTTTCTCCCGAATATATCAGCGGCTACTTAAAAACACCCCAAACCCCCTCCGAACAAGTCTTCACTATGTCTTGTGGTCCTTGCGCCGTCCTCCCTCACTAAATTGCCGCTCTCCGGCGAATTGATGGCACACGACTGGTTTCGCAAACTGGTGCGCGACTGTTGCGGAAAGCCGCTGGAACAGTGAACGACTGATTTGGCCACCTGGAAATTAAATTAAATCCTGTCAAACGCAACTCAACGGACTCCAAGGAGGTGGGTTACTACCTACTCAGCCCTATCCTTGCTCTCGTCAAAAGTTCCCCGACCACTTACCAGCTACCGCTTAGCAGACCCTAACGACTATTGCCACCAAGTCCGCAGTCTTCCTACTGCAGAGTGACTCTTGCACTTCTTTTGCCTTCTCCAATTTTGTTAGCACTTCTGCAGCTTTTGCGCCAGCTCTAGAAGCAGGATCTTCTTGAGGCCTTGAGCGGGGCTGTGTATCATCTATTTAGTTATTGATCTTCCGCAAAATCGCATTCAGTTGACAGTGAACGTCGTGCCCCTTATATATCACCCACGATTTGGGTGAGGGTTTGCGTTTTGTTGTCTAACTCGTCTCTCCTTTCAATCTTGAATTGATGAGCAATTGGGTCGTACGATGGACTTGCCGCGAATCTCGCCACCCTCGATAAATGTACATGATTTCACTAGTGGTTCTTATCACAGCGCTACTGAACGATCCTCATATGCTATGCCTGGACAATCATACTCTTTGCCAGGGCCTATGCCAATTCCCGCCAGCTCAATGAACACATTTGCTCCGCCGCCACTTCCACCGCCGCCGCGCATCAGAGACCTAGAAGACGGTTACGATGCTGGCTGGGTGCATGCGAATTCTAAGGGTCCCAGTGCAAAGCTCGCCCCCATCAATCCGAATTCGAGTCTATTTGGGGGGCATCGCCGTTTAGAATCCGGGCCTCAATCCGATCGGATGGCGCTAGACGATTTGGATGGCAGACACAGCGGCTTGCCTCTATCAAGAAGTCCGGAGGCTCACATACGGATTGAGCCTCCACCACCAGCGGATGACGGGTTCCGAAATTCAATTCCTATAAACACCAGCCCTATGTAAGTACGCTTCCTGATTTTGCGCTTTCTTCAACCGCCATTCTTTCATTGGGTGTTTCACTATAACTCCTTCACCTGGGCTGGCATCACTAACGTCAAAGGATAGTTTGAAAGGCGAGCAGGACTTCTCTCGACGGAGCGTGAAGGACTCGTCTGATGCATATGACCAGCATCTTCTGTCTAAAATAGGGAAGCCGCTCTCTCCCCGACAGTCTCTGAGTATGGGTTCTGAGAATAGAGGCCCTCTATCAACACTTCCCTTACCTTCGAGAAATTATGGAAGCTTGCCCTCACCTGGTGGCTCTGATGGCTCTACGCTCGACGTGAGGTGGTCCATTGGTTCTCAGTCAGGTGGGATATCACCTGGGACTAAAGTGGGCTGGAGAGACTATATCGGTTGCCGGAGCCCAAGTGTTGAGAGCAGTGCGCCTTCTTCTGCGGTAGACTACGATAATCCCAACTATATCCGCCGTCGGGGAGGTGGAGCCACGCCGCAAAACGAAGACTCGCTCAGTCTCCCGAGTCGATCGAACCGGGGAAGCTATGATCAAGGTATATTCTCAGACATCGAAGGGGATTTCTCGACGGATGAATCATTACCACCCCGTTTATTTAATGTTCGTGAAGCAACACCGCCATACCTGGACACATCCAAGTCCGGCATGAAAAGACGAGCATCTTCTCCCCCAAGAGAACCAATTAGCGATGATAGGCACACAATACATGTAACGACAAGTAATGGTGATCTTTCGCAGCGAAGGACATCTGGCCATCCGTTCACGAATACGTTATCTGTCAGTAGCGCTTATGCCCAGAGCCATGGGAGTATCTCAGCTGCGTCATCTTTGAGCCTTCGAACCTCTGGGTCCTACTCGTCAGCAGCTCTTTCAAGCAGCGTTACAAGCGCGTCAGTGTATGAGCGGTCGCCCGGGGGGCTCTCTCCAAATTCCGACCTCGAATCATTCCACGACAAGTTTCATCTCAATCCTACCTCTCCTGGCGGAGTTTCAAACCAATCGGCAATGAGAGGTGTTCCGGGGCCTCCTACGCTAGAACCACCCAACTCAAATGTCGCAAGGAAGATGTCTTTGCAGACGAGTTTGAACGTACCAAAACAAGCAGGTCCCAAGATGGGTGGTTTGTTCATTTGCGACTGCTGTCCCAAGAAACCCAAGAAGTTTGACAGTCCCGAGGAACTTCGGTAAGTCTCAATCGAGTCAATTAATTTCAACGGTGACGGGACATTTTCTAACCTATAGCCCGTCAATAGCGCACATGAGATGGAGAAACAGTATTCTTGCTTATTTTGTAACAATCGGTTCAAAAACAAAAATGAAGCTGAGCGCCACCAAAACTCGCTTCACTTGCGGCGCCATTCTTGGTCATGCGCTGCCCTACCAGGATACCAGGCTGCGTTCCATCCTTCGTCTTCTCCTTCAAGCCAAACGAATACAGGCCCCTCACACGACACCTGTGGTTATTGTGGTGAAGAATTCCCTAATTTTCCTCAACCTGACTGGGACCGCAGGTTCGAGCATTTGACGACAGTGCATAAATTTGGGGAGTGCAATAACGCAAAGAAATTCTATCGCGCGGACCACTTTAGACAACACTTGAAGCACAGTCATGCTGGAACCAGTGGAAAGTGGACTAACATTCTGGAGAATGCCTGTATGAAAGAGGAAGCGCCTCCTGAACCCAGAAACGCCACTAGCAACGGCGGACCAGGCCCTGCGATGGGAACAACTGCGACACTTACGTCAAATAAGATAAACGAGGTCCTCAGTGGCTGCTGACAACCATTGCGCCGCTGCTTACTACTGGACCAGGATTTCTGTGGAGTTACAATGCTCTGACGCGCTGTAGACGACTGCGAATTTATGTTTCCAGGGCACGTCGATGCTTTCTTCTTTGCCTTTATCTTACTTTTCTAAGGTTAAAATACCCACTTTTCCTCGTCAGGATCACATTTTACCGAATCCTGCCCGTTTACTGCTACTCAGAGTAGGCGGGGTGCAATTTCTTCTAGTGCATCTTTTTTCATGCATCATATGCACTCAGCTTCTGCATTCAACAAAAACTTTTCATCTGGGACAAATAGGTCATGGTACAGGGCGGGATTATGGTTGATTTATAAAGCATCGGAGGGCAATCTAGCATGGAAAGGGAGAACTGTCATCATGATGTGGCATGATATACTTGCTTTTCCTTCATACTATCGTTTTCATTCAGCCAACTTTTGGCGATGGCGGGACATGGAGTCTTGGAGAAATTGACTTGGGAGGTTGTGTCTGGGTCTTTTATTGCACATGGGTTGTTTTCTTTCTTCATCTCTGCTTCTCTTCATCCCTTTTTTGCCTCCTCTTCTCACCTGTTTATGGTCGTTATGATGTGGCACTTGTGGACTTTGTACCGGGTGCTTGGTACCTGTGTAAATAGAAATCTGTATATGGCTAAAAGAAAAAGGATATACAAAAACTCGACATACTACAATAGAGCGACGGTCTGAGCAGGCAATGAATAGCCAATAATAAACCAAAAAAAAAAGTCAAACCCATTGAATTTAATGCATCGCAACGCCAGAACAATGCATGGGAACTAATCTAAGTCGTAACTTTTTTCCACCGCACAAAGTAGAACCAGAACATACAACGACCAAAAGCCAATGTTCATTAATACAATGGGCGAAGTATAAATACACCGACCGTTTACACCGGGTAATTTCATAAAGCTAACCAGAATCCATCCCCGGTAGACTCTCATGACGCCTGTTCGAAGTTTAGAGTCCTTCCTCTTTTAACCCGGCTGCTTCCTTTGCCAGTCGTAGGTCCTTGCCTACGAGTCCGATGTCTTTGAGATAGAGGTTGAATGCAGATAGAAGGTCCTTGAGGGAGCTCTTGAGGGTGTCGAGTACGAGATCCACGTCTGGGACTCGACGGGCCTCTGCTTGTGCTTCGGGTTTACTTGATGGTGGGAAGTTGACGTCTGTCCAGTGGGCGTCGAGACCGCCGTGGATAAAGGGCTCCAGGGTCATGATGGTGTTCGTGAAGAGGCGTACGACGTCGGGCACATCGGTTTGGACTTTGCCGTATTGGTCCTCCTGCAGACTTGCAATGAGGAGGCGGGTGAGCGACTTGATGGCGTCGACAATGGGACATAAGTTTGCGTGTGGCGCGCCCAGGACAATACCTGACAGGCGGCGGTCGTACGTTTGTCGGAAGAGGAGGCCTACTGGAGAGCGGAGGAGTTGTGCGATGAATGGGTTAAGGTTTTCTGGCTTGCAGGTTGAAGGACCTGTGAGCATTTTGAGTTCTTGGGATGAAGCAAGAAGTTTCTGCTTGCGCTCAGGGCTCAATAGGGCAGTGGATGCACGGTCGAAAACATCGCGGGCTTTGGCTCGGGCAGTAGGGGTCCAATCTGCCGATTGTCCATAAGACTTGGCTGTTGCGCTGAAGGCTTCCCCGATCTTTTCCTGCCGCGAGCTTGCTTTGGGGGAGGGAGCGAATACGTTGTCCGCTTTGAGAGGGTCTGTTAACCGTGGTAGAGTGCGGAGAACCGGTTCGGTCGGTTCAGCTTGTGCGGGCTTGGGACCCGATTGCGGGTTCTTCTGTTCATCGATGCGAGTAGAAATGCCCTTGATAACCTCGGTGGCAGATTTCAGGATCTGCGACCACGCTGGACCACCGTCACGATCAATATCATTGAAGATCGCCTTTCGTCGGTCAGGAAATCTTTGACTGATGAAGCATAGCTCCCAGAATGCGAAAGATTGAACAGTCTCCTTCTTTGCTGTCAGCCCCGTCAATAAACTGCCATTAGGGTCTTTCGCCTCAGCCGTCAACGGCTGACCACGCTTGAGTGGCTCCTTGCTAAGGAACGCGGAAAAGAAAAGATTGGCGGTTTGCCAACAAAGAACCAGGAGGCTTCCGGAGAACACCGTGCGTAGCAGCAAGCCAGGGCCAATTGGGCCAATAAGGCCTGGAGGAGCCGCAGCAGACCGAGGGAAGTCCCAGAACAATTTCGCCCAGTACATGGTGAAGCTCCAGGCCGGGCTTCTTAGGAAGAAGGTATACACCACAGGACAGACTGCGGCGACCACAGCACTTCTTGTGAAGCCGTCTTTGATAAGCCCAGGCAATGCAATTTGTATGCGCTTAGACACCGGCTCCACTGGATGGGTTCTCTGATCAGCATTCCCGGCAGCCCGTTTAGCAACGGGAATAGGTACACGGTCGAAATCGTAATACAGGTGGACAACAGATTGCACAATTGCGAGTAATAGATGGCAAGTGTAGAGGTAGATCGGCCTTTCGTTTAAGCTTGCGCGCTCGTGGGGTCTATTTTTCTTTTAGCTCACGAGGCGCCTTAGTTTGAATACTGCGGGGGTTAACATACCGGCCTCTATTAACCCACTCCAAGTGTGCTCCACTAGGAGATGACCATTTATAGATCTCGCTAAACCACCATGCCGAGAAGATATACCATCCAAAGGTTTGGACGACATCGAGTGGGAAAATGTACTTAAGAGTGCCCAGGGGAGAGGCTGTCGTTCGCGAGCCAATGTGTATCTGTCCAACGCGCAATACGAAAACGACGAGACTGCAGATAAAGAGCAAGACAGTACGAATTCCACACGCTCCAATTGGGAACCAAGCCCATAAAACTGGCGGAAAGTAACGTTGTTAATTACCAATTCGTTCAAATGCAGCATTTCCAAGAATCGGCCACTTGTAGTAAGAAAAGGGTCCTGCTACTTACAGGAGGATTTATCTCCAATCAAGAACGCGATTAAGTAGCAGACAAGTAGCGCTAAAGCAGAAGCATGAACGAAGCGTCGGTGCAGCGCTGAGGTCAAGATGCGCCGATATGGGCGCGGCCGGATAGCAGCCATGATGCTAGTTCAATTGGGGGGGCTCCAAGATCTCTGAGGTAGAGAAGGAATGGAATTTCACAGCATGATCAGAACTGCTGCGCAGTATTATTCCTATCTGCCCGGGCTAGGAGACCAGGCGGCAATTCGACGTATGAGCTGAACGGGCAACCGAAATTCCGAACAGTGACGGCAGCATGCGACGATAAATTGAAGCTTTTTGAGAAAAGCATCAAAACACACACTAGCCACAACCCGTCGGTCAGGTGATGGACCCACCAGCCACGCATCATGTGGTTGCAGCCTGGAAATCCCGGCAGAAACGCAGGTGACCGCCCGGCGATCCGCATGTTGACGTTCCATCCGGCGGCCATCCTCCAACACTATTCCATTCATCATCATCTGCATCCCATCGCCCACCATGTCTTTCGACCGTCTTAGCTCTCTAGAATCACAGCCTACTACTTTACGTCGCTCCGATGATCCACAATATCGAGATGACCCCGAATTCTACCAACTCACCGAGAGTCTTTCAAATCAGCTATTCAACCTAACCTCCAACATCACCCGGCTATCGGACCAAATCGCACTTCTAGGGACAAGGCGAGACACGGAACGAGTCCGCGAAAGAGTTCACAATCTTCTGGAGCAGACTCGCACAGGGTTCAAGGGAGTAGGAGAAGGTATCAAGAAGGTGCAAGCATGGGAGGATGTTAATGTATGCGAATACAGCTCAGGCTCTATGTGATGCGCTACTGACAATCATTCGATAGCCTTCTCAAAAATGGACACAGCAAAAGCTATCTTCAGAGTTTAAGGCTACTCTGGAGGAGTTCCAAACTGTCCAACGCCGGGCTTTGGAGAAGCAGCGCGCATCCGCCGTCGCTGCCCGCACGGCCGTGGAAGAAGGTGAACAACCAGCGGTTGAAGGAGCTACGCAAGAACAACAACAGCTACTTCAGGAACACCCTCGACTTGCGAACCAAGATGAGGTGGATTTCCAGGAATCTCTAATCATTGAACGCGAAGCAGAGATTCGCAATATCGAGCAAAGTGTTGGCGAACTCAATGAGTTGTTCCGCGATGTCGCCCACATCGTGCACGAGCAAGGAGGCCAGCTCGATATAATTAGCGAGAATGTTGAGAATGTTACACACGACACCCGGGGAGCTAATGTTGAGCTCCGCAGTGCCAGCAGACATCAAAAGAATGCCCGCAACAAGGCTTGCTGTCTGCTTGTCATCCTTGCCGTGATCCTAACTATCATTGTGCTGGCGGCTGTTATTGGATGAGTTGTTTCAGTTACGCTCTAATGTTTCCACTTATCATTCCTAGTTTGCTTGTACTGTTCATTATGGCGACTTTTGTTCATGATATCCTCTTATATGCAGTTCTATGTATTGTTACGAACTATCTTTTTTTTCTCTCGTGACTCGACTTATGACCAGCAGGCGCATGCGGAGTGAGGGAAGTGTATCTCATTTCGTCCTTCTATCCTGATTTATTCCTTCTAGAGTATCATACATAGCTTGTGTGTTATACAAAGATTATACATCAAAGACCATCGCCCAATATGCAACCAAACTCCAAATCACCCTTATGTGCATCGCGAACGTAAATGGTGGGTCACTTTACAAGCCTGTGAAGCGGCTGAATCTCATCCTGCAGCCTTCAAAAGTGTTCAACTTCGGCCGTACGTCCAAGTAGAAGCTCAATTTGCCGGGTCCGGCATTAGCAGCCAAGCCGGCCGGTCCACCGTTGGCTCCAGACGTCTTTCCTTGATAGAAATCAATGACGTACTCGACCCTCTCACCACCGCATCTCTCTACAACCCAGTCATGGCGATCGAACGGTAGTTGGTAGCCCATTAGGTTGTTGATACGAGCACGAGGACTGAGGAACTGGGGGTCAACGCCCAGTCCGCGGAATGAATATAGCTTCGGGCCTCCACATTTCTTGCTGCCAGGATCAGAGCGAGGTGCTTGCTTCTCCCATTCTAGGATCTGTTGCCAGGCACGCTCGTTGACGGCATTATGAATTGGGATAATGGATGCCACGGAAGTTGCTAGTTCAGTGGGCGAAGTGCTAGAAGTCGGTGTGTTGCCTTTACGCATCAATGCTTCGAAGAATTGGCGCTCAGAAGGGTAAATCCAATTCCCGCTCGTCTCATCATGGCCTGTTTCAGATTCCGCATTTGAGGGCGTGCCGTGCGATACAAGTGTAGCATATGGGGATGGAGCTTCCGCGGCAGCCTGGGGAGACGGTTGTTTCGAGTCTTGGTCGAAAGCTCTGGGGATACTGCTCACTTCGCGGTCGCTCGACAGTGGTCGTTGTAATTTTGCTTTTGGCTCTCCGTCTTCTGTAGGTAAAGGATGAGGAGGACCGCCTGAGGCCTTGTGTTGCTGTAGCCAAATCTCACGGGTCTTGTGATCCACTGGACATGTTGCAGCTGGTGCTGACTCGGCGGCAGGCGCTGCCTGAGTACTCGTGCCAGATCCCATTATCGGATGTTTTCTAATTTTCTGGAATTGATTGACAGGGTGGACGAGAAATGCCGATGACAAATCGGGGTTTTTGATTACTATGGAAGAAGATTTACTTGCGGAAGGCGGAGAGAGAAATTCTGGCATAGTCACCGCCTTCCAGTGGAATTGAATTTGCTCCACATTTCTTCTCTGTCGGGAAGGCGGTCTTTCCATCCGTCATATTGATCATAGCAAATAGAACATGGCACAACATCTGAGACTCAGTGATCCATTAGAACTTCTCATATTAATTACGGGGAGAACTGTCAGAAGTACCAATTAATCAGCGACAGGGTCAAACATATTCTTGCTACACAAGAAACATAGCTGAACTGGTCGTCGGACTGTTTGCGCCTAAGATATAGATACTGTATACTTCGATCGTGTACCGGGTCCCGCCTTACCCGAACGGGGATAGCGTGCTCGTGGAGAGCTGAGATAAATGATATTTCCCAACAGGGAAATCCGTTGCCCCTCAATTCTCCAGCGCTCTCCCTCGTCTTTAGCAACCTCTTTTTCTCCCGACGTGCCTCTTCTTCCTGTATTATCCGATAATTATTACCTACTATTCTAAAAGTATGGCTGCTTCACCTGACTTTACGGTCTTTCGGGCCACTACCACAGCCCCAGTCAACATTGCTGTTATCAAGTTTGTCGTCCATACCCCTGAGGATCACGATTGTCACTAAGCTACATTGATACTTACCATGACTTTGAAGATACTGGGGTAAAAGAGACGCCACTCTGAACCTACCTACGAACTCCTCCCTCTCCGTAACACTCTCGCAGCGTTCTCTGCGCACCCTCACCACGGCCTCATGCTCTGCCAATTATCCAGATGCTGACGAGCTCACCCTCAACGGCAAACCTCAGGACATCCAGTCCTCTAAGCGCACCCTTGCTTGCCTTTCGAATCTGCGCTCTCTCCGCCAGGAACTTGAAGCTGCTGACTCTTCTCTGCCGAAACTGTCTGCTCTCCCCCTGAGGATCGTCTCCGAGAATAACTTCCCCACCGCTGCTGGTCTCGCCAGTTCCGCTGCCGGTTTCGCAGCGCTCGTCCGTGCCGTCGCGGACCTTTACCAGCTTCCTCAGTCTCCTCGTGACCTCAGCCGCATCGCTCGCCAGGGATCTGGTTCCGCCTGTCGATCTCTGATGGGTGGATATGTGGCCTGGCGCGCCGGAACTCTTGTCGATGGTAGCGACAGCTTGGCTGAGGAGGTCGCTCCTGAATCACACTGGCCTGAGATGCGGGCTCTGATCCTGGTCGTCAGCGCTGAGAAGAAGGATGTCCCCAGCACTGAGGGTATGCAAACCACCGTCGCTACGTCCAATCTCTTCGCGACTCGCGCGGAATCTGTTGTACCTGAGCGGATGGCGGCTATTGAGACCGCCATTCAGAACCGGGATTTCCCTGCCTTCGCAGAGATCACTATGCGGGACTCCAATGGCTTCCACGCCACCTGTCTCGACTCCTGGCCTCCAATCTTCTACATGAACGATGTCTCCCGCGCCGCCGTTAGGCTCGTCCACGATATTAACCGTGCCGTCGGTCGTACTGTTTGTGCTTACACTTTTGATGCTGGTCCGAATGCCGTCATCTACTACCTTGAGAAAGATTCTGAACTCGTCGCCGGTACCGTCAAGGCTATCCTGGGCGCCAGCAGCGAGGGCTGGGAGGGTCCCTTCTACGAGCCCCTCAAGAACCTCACCGCTCCGGGTGTGGCATTGGATAAAGTGGACTCTAGGGCTGTCGATGTGATCAGGGATGGTGTCAGCCGTGTGATCTTGACCGGCGTCGGTGAGGGTCCCGTCAGTGTCAACGACCATCTTGTCAGTGAGACGGGTGATATTCTCTCCAACTAGAAAGAAGATATAAAACCCAGTTACTCTAGCGTTTTTGGGCAGAGTTATGAAACATATCTAATTTAAACATAATCTTAGCGGAATCTGCTTCACAGAAGATGTCCTGTTAAACTATACACGAATTATGTCGGAAGCAGAGTACATATCATAGGTCTACAATTAATAATCGCCATAGCTTTCCTTGATAAATATTTTATTAATCGACAATTCTAATATTCCAACTTTTTCGATACCCTGTTTTAGAAAGAAAACTCGTGGTTTGTACTCGGTCATTTCCTTCGACGTCAAGGCTTCAGTTCAGCAACGCCGACTGCTTCAGCTCCTTGACCGCCGGTGCTTCTCGAACAGCTAGGGTAGCCGTAATGCTGTCCGCGAAAGCACGCTGGCCACCCTTGAGTGAAACCTCTTCAGCGGGATTCGCATTAGTCTCGGCCTCAGGGCCGTCGGTCTGTTCACCTGCTGGAGGAGCGACGGCACCGAATACTTCCACTCGAGAGTCAGTACACAACTTGAGCACCTCCTGCATAGCCTTTTCAATAGCAACGGCACGCTCCCGCATGCCCCGTCGGAGCAGTGCATTAACAAGAGTCTCGACCTCAGACACCGTGGAGTTGACTCTTTCGATAAGCCGCCGTACACTGTTCACCAGGTACTCTTCCTCGTACACGGTTCCCTTCTTACCACTAGCACGCTTACGCTCTTCCTTCCGACGGGTCTTGGAAGTCTGTCTCGACATATTCGTCTTCCCAGTCTTCCCAGTCTTTCCGGTGTATCTCGTGAACATGCTGCGACCAGCAAGAGTAGAAGCATCCGTAGGCGCAAGAGAGACGTTATCTGGGATATCGACACCCATCTCTCCTCCCATCGTGGGGTCACCTCCGAAATAGGCCAGCGGGTCGGTAGCACGGCGAACGCGCAGTTCCCCGATACGCGGTACTTGGGCGTTCAGCTGAGACCGGAAGTCGGCAAGAAGGTCGGTCATGGAGCCCATGGCGTCTGCCAGGCCTGTGTCCACGATTTCCGGGACGAGGCTTTGCTTGCCGTGCAATGCGAGGAGGCGCGTTGCGTCGGCGAAGCGAGAGCCGCGGCACAGGAGACGGGCGGCCAGCGGGATGTCGTGGAGGTGTTCTGCATGGACGTGTGCTGCGGAGACGTAGTCTTTGTTCTCGTCTGTCAGGGTCGTGGCTAATTCGAGTGCGTGCGCTTGGAGCTTTTCCTCTGATAATGGGACCATCATTGCGCAGTACAGGGATTCACGCCAGAGATGAGCCCGCTGGTAGCATTGATAGGCGTCGGAATAAAGGGAAAGGGATTCATAAGCTGGGATTGGTTAGCAGCTGATACATTGTATTGTGGGATAAGGAGATATGTGTGGAAATACGTACCGATGGCTGCTTCTTTATATTTTGACTGATCGTAGAGGTAGTCGGCGTGGAGATTGGTCATGTCGCGTAGTTGCTCTTGCTGGTATTTGTAGAGATCGATGGCATCCTTGTAGAGAATATGTTTGATAGCATACGCCCTTAGCTCGTCATGAGCGTTAAGCGCATGAAGATGTCGCAGAGCCTTGGCCCACCGTCCAAGATAATTATCAATTTCGAACTGTCGTCGAAGCTCGGGCAGCTGCTGTAGCTTGCGCAAGAATGGGAGGTATTCTCGAGGATCCTGAATGGCTTTAGAATGATATTTTAGCGGGTTTGCTAGCGTTACTTACACGCTGGGCTTGCTGGGCAACAAGCAACGTGAGCTCGAGGTCGTAAAGGCCCAACGCAGTATCGTATAAACGGTGGGCATCGGACAAGAAGCACATATGTTCGACTGCGTCTTCTGCTTGTTCGGAGCTTTGATCTATTATAAGGTGAGTGGCTGGTCAAGTATGATGGCAGGATTTAGACTCACCTCTCAGGCGTGCAACCAGTTGAAGACCAGCCTCAAGGTCTGGTGGCGATTTGACAACGTGTGCCGTGACGAGATTGTGCAGATTGGTATCGATCTTCTTTTCCAAAGCAGCCAAGAAGGCATCGCAAATCCGATTAACCTTACCATCCTTGGCTGGGGCCTTAGTGGCAGGTACGATATTGTCGTCCGCCTTAAGTGTCTTCAGCGTATCCTTGTACAGGGTCTCTGAGACATCCTCCCCACTGCATATGGTTAACAAGGAAACCCTCTACGAGAGAACCCACATATCGGACATACCTTAGACGGGACAAGAACTCGTCGATGAAGTCAACCCTTTTCACTTGGTCAATGAATAACGGGACACTTTCCATAAACTGTTCTGGGGCGTAGTCATGAATGATATTCATATCTACCATTTGGCTGCGACAGGTAAGGAAAGCCGAGCGGTAGTTCTTGCGATCAATAAATGACCTGATGCCTGCTAAGACCAGAGCACGGGGGTACGTGGTCTCAATATTTCCACGCGGCGCCTGCAACACAACGGCAAACACACTAGGTATTACCGACACCAAGCGCGAACCACGCTCGATGCTTCTGCAACGCTCATCGGTCTCTGGCGTATCAGGAGGGACCTCCATATCTGCCGAAAGTTTAGTCATGCTGCGGCAGGAAGTAGTCTTGGAAGCACTCACCTTCTGCCCTGGTCAAATGAACGAATTTCAGGAGATGCTGAGAAGTAGTGAACAAGACATGGGATGGAGTCACAAGGAACGAGGTGCAGTTCTTCGCAAGCAGAGTCTTATTCGCATACAGTGCGCCGGTCTTTGTCATGGAGATCAAAAGAAGCTTCGAAAATTAGCATGCGCGAGAAATAAGTGGTGAGCTAGGGTCCAAAAGGTATTACCTCGTCTTCTGACAACTGAGCAGCCTTGGCCCAATAGGTGTCGACAGAAGGACTCTGCGTGTACGGGACTGCTACAAATTCATCTGTAGGCGGCATAGAAATTGTCGAGTAGGTAATTGGTTGCCCATATTGGCTGATATGAGATATCCAAAGTGCTTCGTGATTGAGAGATGGGAATACCGAAACCAGTTGTTCGGATTCGGCCGCCTGGTACGCGATCTTCGTTGTTCTAGTTTCCAAAGCCGTTCGCTCGATGTTGGCATTATTTGGCCCACTGCTCTTGAGAATATAAACCTCATTCTCATTGATAAAAGCGATTTGCCGAGGTCTGCTGTCAGAAGCATCAGATAATGGATAGCTCGACTCAAGAATAGGCGCAGCCACTGGGCGAGTCTTGAGAGACCACATGAAAATAGAGAAACAATCCTTCGTCAGGACAGCAATACGAGTACCCGACTTGCTGAATGCGACGTCAATGATGTTCGAGTCCAATAACAATTCATTATGGGCCATAGGTGGCGGGACACCCGCAAGCCTCAGCGGAGTCAACTTGAGGATTTCTTTGCTTGGTTAGAGGCGCTTTACATCTGCTTTGGATGCAATTGAAACTTACTTCCATCAATCACGGCAACAGCTCCAACATCATTTGGCACAAGAGTCGAACCATGATCGACGTCAAACACAAACTCCGCGTCCAATATCGACTCTGCAATGCAGTCAGTACATATTCCTTAATCAATATCCGATGCAGAGAAAGTACCCGAGGCGCCTGCAACAAAGCGCAGTGTCTTCTCTTGGTGCCACTTGAAGGAGAAAGGGTTTGGGGAACTGGGGTTCACGACCACAGGAACCTCCTGCTTTAAGTAGTAGTGATAGTTACCCATTGTCCAGAACTGGATCCTGTCTTTGAATTGAACAGCGAGTACCGTCGAATCGATATTCCAGGTTAAGTGGATATCTGACGCCCATGAGGACTTTTCTTCCTCAGTGAGGCGAAGTGTAAACTCTCCATGACGCAAGCCGTTTCTTTCGAAGAATACAACATCGACTCGATCGTCACGTCGTTGGATACCAGCAATAAGATTGCCATAAGGCCTCCAACTCAGGGCCCCTTCTAGTCCATCCACTGGCTCACTCACACTGTCTAAGGTTCCCTCTCTGGAATACACACGGATTGCGCGACGAGTGCCCTCTTCGATGCTGTTTACCGCAACATAGGCACCATCTCCCCGCCAGGTAATGGTCGTCCTCCCGTCATCGTTGTTGCTCAGTTTTCCTTCGTCTACCTTTTCAGGGACTGTAGGGTCACGAAGAGCCTTAGCTCGCTTCCCTTGAAACTGCGTTTCCTTCTTTCCCCAGCCAACGGAGACATGTTGAGACGCCTTCAGGTCCTCTGGGGTGAAGGTGATTTCAGCCACATTCTCGAACTCCCGGGTCATGTACAAGAATGTGTTAGCTCTTGTGGTTAGAGCCAACAGTTCCTCGTCTGGAGACCAGGTAGCAGCAGTGATGCCAACGTCGACGGAGCCCAGAATCTCAATCTTGTCCTCTCCGGGGAGAGGTTCTTCACGGACAATAACAATATCACCCCCTTCAAGTACTAGACAGGCACTAAGGTTGTCCGCAAAGTAATGGAGCGAGAGAACCCGGTCACAGGGAAGGTCTGGCAGGGGGCAAGGTGCGTCCCACGAGGCGATGCACTCAAATACATCTGCGCCTACGGGCTCGGAGAAATAGGCGTCTTGACGCTTTCTCCGAAGTTCAATAACTGGATTGGTCTCTGTAGGACCGAAGGTGCAAATTACTGCATCCGACGCAGTGTCCCAAGCAGTGGCTGTTAATGGCAGCTCACTCTGAAGCTGCACCTCGGCGAGGCGAACATTTTTCAAGTTGCGCATATCTGATAAGTTTAATTGTAATCTTTTCTTTTACCCCGCGGCCATGAATCAATGAAAGCTCCGGGGTATAAGAAGAAGAAATGTAGAAGAATTTAAGACAGAATGAAAAAGAAAAAAGAAAAAAAATTAAAGCTAGATCAAGAATGAATCTTCCATGTAGCAGTTGGACAAAGAAGTATAGATTATGTTCCTATAAGTTGCGGAGCTTTGCAAACATATCGGATGCGGACCAAAAGATTTTAATTTTCTCTGCAGACAAAAAATCGACCAATGACTTCATCCATATTCTAATATGGAATCAGCCCATTTTGACCCAAATTCACTCCCACCCCAACTACGAGCTCATAAATATACTAGAATGCAGTTTATTGAATACACCGGAAATCAGAGCTTAACAATCGATTCTCTAGCTTTATACACAAATTCCGAATACTTCCAGTGTAGGGTACATTTTCGACCAATTCCCAGTGCCCAACGATCCCATGGCGCGGAGAAGGTATACATTGCGAAAACCCGCTTAGCGAGTCTTGTAGGTTTGCCAGACTGTAGAGAAGATCTTGTTAGATGTTCGACCAAAACTGTCGGCAAATCAAAGAATAACATACCAGCAATGGCAAAGGGGGCACCGAAACCGGTGACTAAACGGTAGAAGTCAGCAACGCAGAACAGATCCAACCCGTAGCGATCAATTGAGAATCACTCACTCATGAAAGCCCAGTACCTGACGAAGAAGAACTTGGTAAGAGGGTTGAAGGGGATGTTGGAGCGAGGACCCTCAGCGTAGTGGAACGGGCTGCCGAGCTGGGCGCGGGTGGTGGAAAAGCCACGACGGGCGACGAAAGAGGTGGCCATTCTGGCCCGGAGAGCGGTAGCGGCGTTCATCTTGGATTGTGTCAGATGCAATTGGGAAGATGTATATCTCAGCCAGCAGTTCACCTACCTTGAGGAAAGCGGCAGAGCACGGATGGTCAAGGCAATCTACTCTTTCTCGTAACTGGCGGGAAGAGTAGGAGTGGTGGAATGACAATCGTCGGCCCGGATCTAGGTCACGTGCTAGCTATTCCGAACGGCAAGTTTCTCCGGCGGAACGTCCAGCAGGAGTGGCTCTGGCCAATCACATGCCGCCTGCCTCAAAAGGAACATTGAAATTTCTCAGTGAATCGGCGAGTGCGACATAGTGCGACGAGCACTTCAACCATCCGGTCGTAGTCCGTCCTTGCTCCTTGCGGCCGACCTTGAACGTTCGACCGACCATGGATGAACTTTTCGATGTTTTTGAGGACCAGCCCCAGGCTGTCAAGCCCTCTGACGGAGCTCCCAAACGTTCCAAGAAAGACAAGAGCAAGAAACGTCAGGTCAATGGTGATGTGAAGGAAAGTGGTGCCACTGTAGAGGCAAAGGAACCCGTCGCCGTCGCCGATACCCCCGTTGAAGAGACTTCCGAGCCAGAGGAGGGCGACGCGCCTACGACAGACAACAATGAACAACCCGATGCGAAACGGCCGCGACTCGAGAAGGAACCGGAGCCCGTGGTAGCCGACTTGTTCGAGACAGCGCAAGAGCGTGAAGTCGCCGGGTCTGCAGGACTTCAAGCCGCCAATGATTCAGCATCAGTTGTATTGTCGCATCAAATTCGCCACCAGGTCGCGATTCCACCGAACTATCCATATGTACCCATTTCCGAGCATAAAGCTCCCGAGAACCCGGCGCGAGTATGGCCGTTCACCCTCGATCCGTTCCAGCAGGTTTCCATCGCATCGATTCAAAGAGAGGAAAGTGTACTTGTTTCAGCCCACACTAGTGCTGGAAAGACCGTCGTCGCCGAATATGCTATCGCCCAGAGCTTGAAGAACAACCAGAGAGTTATTTATACAAGTCCAATCAAGGCCCTTAGCAACCAGAAATACCGAGAATTTGCAGCGGAGTTTGGAGATGTTGGTCTAATGACGGGTGATGTTACCATCAACCCGACGGCTACTTGTTTGGTCATGACAACGGAGGTAGGTTTCCTCACCCTTGTTCTGGGCCTTGTATTTTTAACATGGTTTTAGATTTTGCGGTCTATGCTCTACCGTGGCTCCGAGATCATGCGTGAGGTCGCGTGGGTTGTCTTCGATGAAATCCATTATATGCGTGATGCGAGTAAGTCTCTTCAGGGTTGACGCTGGGATTCATCTCGTTAACTGGGGATATAGCCCGAGGTGTGGTTTGGGAGGAAACCATCATTCTGCTTCCAGATAAGGTTCGATATGTATTCTTGTCCGCCACAATCCCCAACGCCATGCAATTCGCCGAATGGATCGTCAAGATGCACAATCAACCTTGCCACGTTGTTTACACCGATTACAGACCGACACCCTTACAGCATTATTTCTTCCCTGCTGGTGCCGAAGGCATCCACCTGGTTGTCGATGAGAAAGGTGTTTTCCGTGAGGAAAACTTCCAGAAGGCTATGAGCACTATTGCGGACAAAAAGGGCGATGACCCAGCGGATGCCATGGCCAAGAGGAAAGGAAAGGGCAAAGATAAGAAGTTGAACAAAGGTGGAAATAAGGGCCCAAGCGACATCTTCAAGATCGTCAAGATGATCATGATCAAAAACTATAACCCTGTGATCGTCTTCAGTTTCAGCAAGCGTGAATGCGAGTCAGGTGCTCTGCAGATGAGCAACCTGGCTTTTAACGACGACTCTGAGAAGGAAATGGTTTCCAAGGTTTTTAACAGCGCGATTGAGATGCTCTCAGAGGAGGACAGGAACCTCCCGCAGATTCAAAACATTCTACCTCTCTTACGCAGAGGTATCGGTGTCCACCACTCTGGTCTTCTTCCCATCCTGAAGGAGACCATTGAAATTCTCTTCCAAGAAGGTCTTATCAAGGTTCTTTTCGCTACTGAAACATTTTCTATCGGTCTCAACATGCCCGCGAAAACCGTTGTTTTCACAAGCGTTCGCAAATTCGACGGATTCAGTCAGCGCTGGGTCACCCCATCAGAATTCATTCAGATGTCCGGTCGTGCTGGTCGAAGAGGTCTCGATGACCGAGGTATTGTTATTATGATGGTTGGCGAAGAGATGGATCCCGCTGTAGCGAAGGAGATCGTCCGTGGTGAACAAGACCGACTGAATTCGGCATTCCATCTGGGCTACAACATGATTCTGAACCTCATGCGTGTAGAGGGTATCTCACCTGAATTTATGCTGGAAAGATGTTTCTACCAGTTCCAAAATACTGCCGGCGTTGCCACTCTTGAAAAGGGTGCGTGTATACCCATGTGTTGATACTATTTCATCTTGCTAACTTGAGTACAGAGCTTGCTGAGTTGGAGGAGAAGAGGGCAAACATGACTATCTCTGACGAAGGAACCATTCGTGAATACTACGATCTGAGGAAACAAATCCGCCAATTCACCGATGACATGCAGGCAGTTATAAGTCATCCCAATTACTGCCTTCCCTTTATTCAGCCTGGACGCTTGATCAGCATCAAGCACAAGGATGTAGATTTCGGATGGGGTGTCGTTGTCAACTACAAACAACGCAAGCCCCCGAAGAACTCGACTGAAGAACCTACACCGTACCAGAAATATGTTGTTGACGTTTTACTGAGGATTGCCGACGGGCCGTCGGTGGGCACTAAGACCTTTGAAGAATTGCCGTCCGGCGTCAGGCCGCCGAAGGAGGGCGAAAACTCCCGCATGGAGGTGGTGCCAGTAGTCCTCAGCTGTGTCCACTCCATCTCTCACATTCGAATTTTCCTCCCGAAGGATCTACGTTCGGCAGATTCAAAGAATGGGGTAAAGAAGGCTCTGGATGAAGTGCAAAAGCGCTTCCCGGACGGCATCGCTGTACTTGATCCGATTGAAAATATGAACATCAAGGATGATAACTTCAAGAAGTTGCTCAGGGTAAGATAAGTTTCGTTGTGAATGGATGTCTAAGGTGTGCTAACGCAGACCGCAGAAAATTGAAGTGCTTGAATCTCGTCTCCTCTCTAACCCATTGCACAATTCGCCACGTCTGCCGGAACTTTATGAACAGTACTCAGACAAGGTTGAAACTGGATCCAAGATCAAGGCCACCAAAAAGAAGATCTCCGAGGCTATGTCGATCATGCAGCTTGACGAACTCAAGTGCCGCAAGCGAGTGCTTCGTCGGTTTGGGTTCATCAACGAAGCGGAGGTCGTGCAATTGAAAGCCCGTGTGGCCTGTGAAATTAGCACGGGTGATGAGTTGATGCTCAGCGAGTTGCTTTTCAATGGTTTCTTCAACAATCTTACGCCTGAACAAGTCGCTTCGGTGCTGAGTGTATTCGTTTTCGAAGAGAAGTCCAAGGAGACCCCTGCCCTAACACGGGACGAGTTGGCGAAGCCCCTCAAGGAAATCCAGGCGCAAGCCCGAATTGTTGCCAAGGTTTCTCAGGAGTCAAAGCTCGCTGTCAATGAAGAGGAGTATGTGCAGAGCTTCCATTGGGAGTTGATGGAGGTTATATATGACTGGGCAAATGGCAAGTCCTTCGCTGATATCTGGTGAGTTCCTATTTGCCACCGTTTAGTTCAGAGTGAGACAAGACGCTAATGATTCCTTTCTTTCATCACATCAGTAAAATGACGGATGTGTACGAAGGCAGTTTGATCCGCGTCTTCCGCCGATTGGAAGAATGTTTACGACAGATGGCACAGGCCGCCAAGGTCATGGGGAGCGAGGAACTTGAGAGTAAATTTGAGACCGCCTTAACCAAGGTCCGCAGGGACATTGTTGCCGCACAGTCCTTGTATCTATAGACGTACGACTCCTACTACTACAACTACTACCTTACTTCTCTTACAGCGATATTACTTTCATCCCAACCATCGTGTTTCCACTTGTGTCTGACAAATTATCATGATGAATGGTGGTGGTGGCATTTCCCTGGCGTCGGAGGGCTTGAAAAACAGGGTATCATCGTGTGGTTTGCTTTCCGTGTAATTACTTTACCATATGTTTTTATGGCGAAATGAAATAAAATTTAAAATTTATGAAAACTTTTGCGTATAGTTCCCAACCCCTCAAACTTTGTATTATTATGATGATTGATGATGGTAACGGTGATCATGGCAAGGGGGCCCAGAGCAACGGAAATAAATCTAAAACAAAACAAAGATTCGAGTCACTGTTTGAGTTTTCATAAACCTTCAAGACTGAAGTTGGAGGCCAAAAACGAAAAAAAAAGGAATCAATATAAGAAAGTGACGATAAGGAAAATAATGTCGTAGTCATCATGGACACTCGACCTGCGCAGAAGGCGTGCGTTGCCTCCCGCAACCGCCTTTTCCAGTCCACCGCTTCTCTTCTTTCTCTCTTCCCCACCAATTCCATCTTCTCTCCCTCACTCCTTCAGTCTCTCTTCCTGTATTTTTTGTCTTTCCCTTGCATTCTCTCTTCCCTCTGCACCTTCTCCTCGTGCCCTGTCGCTGACTTCTTATAATACCCCATACCACCGTCGTTCAGTCAGCGTCAGGTTTCTTCTATCTCTCCGCCCACCAACTGTCCGTGGTCATCATGAACAGCTTGGTGGCTACACCACCTGTGCCTCCACACTTTTACGAATATTCCCGTCTTTCCTCCCCTCGTCCAAGTAAGAAACCCCCTTACATTGATACCCGATGGTCGAGATAACGAATATGCTAATGAATATCTTCCAGTGTCTACACCAACCTACACCCCTAATAGCCGCAAGCGGAAAGCCGACGACGATGGTAACGATCATGATGGACGAATGTCTGCCTCCCCGACGAGCTCGCCAGCATTCACACCGAGGTCTCTTCCTAGTCGAAATCTGAAACGGGCCCGCCCGAATGTCAGCGGTCGACCCCTGTCGCTTCCTCGTTTGCTCGAGACCTTAGATACAGATGCTCTCCGAGGGGTCCTTCGATCGATGTGTGAACGCCATCCGGGACTAGTTGATGAAGTTGTCCATACTGCTCCTCGCCCGAGTGTATCCTCCGCTCTTCAGGTGCTTCGAAATTACCAATCTACTCTCCAATCCTCCTTCCCCTTGGGTGGCAACCCGGCATCCGACTACGCTTATAACCGAGTTCGACAACCTCTATCCAATCTTCTAGATGCCTTGAGCGACTTCACACCGCACTTCTTACCACCTAACGAAACCCAACCTTCTTTATCTCTAAATTACCTAGATGGCGCCACCGAAATCATTCACGCATTACCACGATGGCACACGCCCCAGAACAACATAGAGCGGGACTCTGCATACGATGAAATTTGCAAGGCCTGGATCCTTGTGATCCGGGAGGCTGCCAAACGTGGCGGAGGCATTCAGTTACAGTATGGTGGTTGGGATCAGAAGTTGGCGAAGCACAACCAAAACTCCGGTGGTAAGCTGCAGGCGGCCGTCAACGAGCTTGGAGTCAGTTTAGGATGGATGCACGGACCTGAAACCCAAACTCATGCAAGCCCAGGCGGTAATGACTTTGGGTCCATTCGGGAGCAGCTGCTGTCCGGCACCTACGGACTGGGGACTCCAGTTAAAGTTGGGCCATGGTAAACCCACCAACTTCTATGACCTATTTATACCCTACGATTATCCTAGAGACACCTATATCTTCTCGTCTTCGATATCCCCAGAACTACTGTCTAAATCCTCGACCGTGCACATCTACGTATGATACGATCACGATACCAACTGCATGAACTAGAGAGTTGAGGGTCAACTTGGCGTTTACAGTGTGCAAAGAGACATTCTTCCTTTTTTTTTTTTTTTTGTCGCCCTCTCATTTTCATCTTGTGCCAGTCAGAGTCCATCTGTATGTTGCCTTTCCTTAGAGTATCAGCCCGTGGCCCAGGTTTCATTTTATCATCACCATGTCATTGTGTCATCAAGATTAAGCATGGTTTTCTATCCTTCTTTGATTCATTTCCTTTGGTTTTCTTTTTTATTCTACTATGATCGACATTTCGGACGTTTCTTGAACTTTCTACCGAACTATATTGATTAGGTTTCTATCTTTTCTACCTTTCTACCTGACTTGTATACCCTTTCATATTTTTCTTTATTCTACTGGAATGTGACTTGTGTTTTGTTCTCTATGCATCTTGGGAGGACTCAGTTCTATACTGAAATTTTCGGTCACCGGGTCAGGTTACGTGTCAAGTAAAGGACAAGAAGAAAAAAAGAGAAAAAAAGAATTATTCTGATTTGTGTCACTGTTTTATGGGCAGTGGACGCAAGATGGATTGAACAACTCAGAGGACCCATCAGCCCCGTTACGTGGGCATCTGCGCCATTTCCTCAGGGGTAGTGGAGCGAGTGGATTGAGCCCATGGAACCAGTATCAGAATTGCTGACAGGGGTCTGTTGGGCAGAATCAACTCGGTGAGGGATGAGGCTAGTATTGTTGGAAAACTGACTTTATGTCTAGCAAAGAGGACGTATTGTTTAACAACTATGTAAAAGATGGAGTCGAGAGTTGTGAAGTGACATTTAGAACAGTGTTATATTAAATATCATATGCGTTACAGTACATAACGAGGAAATATTCGTATGGTCATCAAATCCATGTCTTAGGTTGAACAATTATATATACCAAAAAGCAATCCACAATCTGACATTCTATATGCCCCCCCCCCCACCCCCCCAATGCTTTACTCAAGCAACAGAATCATACTCATAACAGCGTACGCTTCATCACACCAAATAGCCACCATGCATCTTCCCAGCCCCCATGGTCGCCTGGTTTGTCTATCACTGTCGGGTCCTCAGGATCGCCAATGGTCGACGCACCATCAGTCCTATCAGTGCGTCCTGATATGGATACCTGGTCGTCATCTTCATCAGCGGCACTAGGCTCTGCCCACTCAACATTCTTGGGAGCCTGGTCAACAGGCCCGCTGGAATAAGAAAGTGGCCAGTCGTCAACACCAAATACTGTCCATTCCACCATGCGATCAAACCAGCTGCCCAACCCAAAACCGCGCTCTCGGGTCAAGCGCTGCAACTCCAGCTCATCGATATCATCCTCTGAGTCAGAGTACTCGTCAGAATCAGAGGTATATTCCTCTTGTTGAAGAATCGCCATCTCCGCACGGATACGCTCGTCCACAAAATCCGGGATGAAATGTCGCACATCAAGCGCAGGACTCTCTAGACTGCCGCTATCACCCGGCCTAGTAGAGGTCATCTCGAGGCCGGTCATGGCAAGGTCAGGCCGACTGCCCCTTCTACTAACAACGCGCGACCGAGAGGCCGCCGGGGTTGACCGCCCAGATCTGGATTTCCTAGTCACTTTGCTAAAGTGACCAGGGGACTCCACGTCGTAGTTACCTTCATCAACTAGACTAGTCGAGCTCTCTCGCTTCGCGAGCCAACTCTGGCCCTTCTCTTCTCGGGTCGACGAAGCTAGTGCGATCCCAGCGCGGAGCATCCACTCTGCATCGCGACGACCAGCTGAGTCTGACGGGCGAGGACGAGATGAGTGTCGCTTCGTCCTCGGCGTTTGGTGGTGAAATGGTTGGGCATCATCTTGACCTTCGAGGTTGGTGTCGCTCAGGTGTGCGCGGGTCGAGCTTTTACTCCGCTGGTGGTGTCGGGCCCTGGACCCGCTGCGGGAGTGAGACAAGAGACCTGGGGTACCGGGAACGGAGTAACTAGAGAGATACGAAGTCTTTGCGGGGATATCATGGGCGCTGTGGTAGGACTCAGCATCTTCAGCTCTGGGGGTAAAGTAATCCTGATGCTCGACATCGTCATCAATGGGGAATCGAGATGTCAAGGGAGCTAGGGAAGCATGGTTTAGTGAGGGATAAGAGCGGCGCGAGCGAAAGCCGCCCCCGGAGTGCGAAAGCTGTTGTGGAGTCATTAGAAGGTAAATTATTACTACCCGTCAGCAGGGAAGTACATACCTCCATCTAAAGTGCCTGGGGCCACGGAGGGCAATAAATATCGGAAGAGGGAACTAAGAGAGTGGCGAGCTCATTAATGGTATGATGGATGCAGCAACTCATGAGATTTTGGAGGGTTGTTGGCCTTGTTTTGTCGGCAACTCCGCCCGTGACATGTGAATGCGGGCACCAACGGCTTTGCTCCATTCTGGACCTTTTTCTTATAACCTTTAGGGTTGTTTTCTTTCTGTTGGGTAGATTGGTGGCATTTTCCTTGATCAGATGGTAGAGTCCTGTTGATATCACTACGTCAGTGCTCGAACTACGGATTCTACCAGACATTGTTCTCGGGTACTCCGCATATAGATGTGTTTTACTCCATACATATTTCTGGTGTTCTATACAAACGTTGGTATGGGAAGTCAGACCCGTCCATTAATTCACTCGAGATGGATATTCAGACTATGTTTTTCAAGATTTATTTCTTTTTCAAGGCTCACTCAATCTTTCCCTTATTGACAACAAAGCCCTCCATGGCTGAAATCGCAGCCCACAGCCGATTCTCCGCTTCATGGAAGACCAGGGATCGCGGGCTGTAGAAAACTTCATCACTGACTTCCTCAGGGTGACGAGGCAGGCAATGCATGAACTTCCAGCCTTCGTTCGCACCACCACGCTTGGCAAGTTCCGCAGTGATTTGGAAGCCCTCGAAGTCCTTAATTCGCTTGATCGACTCAGCCTCCTGTCCCATGGAAACCCAAGTGTCAGTTACCAGGATATCTGCACCCTTAACCGCCTCCTCAGGAACGTTGGTTTCAATAATCTTTCCTGGCTTCGAGACACCATTGCTGGCCTGCTTGATGAACTCCATCATCGGAGCAGGAATCTCATAGCCCTTCGGGGTCGCAACGGCGATATCAATACCCAGCTTGGTAGCAGCGATCGCCATGTCGAACAGAACGTTGTTTGCATCGCCGACCCAGGCAATCTTGAGGCCCTCGAGACCCAAACTATCCGAGCGATGGGCCTTAGGAGTAAATGTTTCGTAGATGGTCTGGAAATCGGCAATGGCCTGGAGGGGGTGGAAGGAGTCACAGAGAGCGTTGATCACAGGCACCGTTGAGTGCTTGGCAAGGTCTGCAACTTCAGCGTGCTTGCCGACTCGGGCTACAATGCAAGAGACCATGGAGGAGATTACAACTGCAGAGTCATATAAGGACTCATTGACCCCGAGTTGGATATCATCCTTGCCTAGAAACATTGGATGTCCTCCCAAGCGCACCACAGCCCCTTCAGTAGATATCCTGGTCCTGGTACTGCGTTTGCTGAACAGCATGGCGACTGTTTGCCCAGTCATAGAGCCAAGCAGATTCTGAGGGATGGACCCGGACTTGATGGTTCTTTTGTGTGAAGATGCATTGCGGACGAGGGTTGCGAACTCCGTTGAGGTAAGATCAGCGATGGAAAGGAAATGGCGAGGAGCAAACGGCGAGGTGGGGGGAGCCGTAGAAGTAGTAGTCTGAGAAGAGTATCGGCGCACCGCGTTGAGTGGGATCCTCTGGCGCAAGCTATGGTTGCCGTAACGAGCGGCGGCTAGCTTCAGACCGCAAGTCATGATGAGATAATTCAACGGTGGTGTATGCGGTGAAGCAATGGCGTACAGGAGGAATATATAGAGCAAGAATCGGGGAATTGAGATGACTCAATTTCTTACCGGACTAAAGGAAAGAGTCACCAGCAGCAACAAAAAAAAAGAAAAAAGAAAGATCGTACCTTAGCTCGCTCGTCGAGTCAGTTCAGTTAGCTTGAAAGCGTTAAGTGTGACTCCTCCAATGTGATCCGCTTTTTCCGTCTCCACACCACGCCTTCTCCAGCTCGGGTTAGCGTCGCATGATTGCCGATCATCACGCTGATTCACATTGATAGGCTATACTTCCAGGTCTGGGCCAATTCATCCTGCGTGCGTTGTCCATACACAAGTCGATTATTCTGATGCTTATTCTTAGCCTGGAATTTCCCTTCTACCGACTCATAACCCCCGGTAGCTTTCTGTTCTCAGTCTACGGACGCCATCATCTCTTTATCACCTTTCTTATCTATCCATAACGTATTGCTATCGTGTTATCTCCTCCGCATCCCTCTTCTCCATCTCCCCACTTATCCGCCCCCAGCCATCATGGCTGAAGAGGCAAGCAGGTCTTTACTGAACAAGGGGTCCAGGCCCTCTTCACGTCCGTCCTCACCGACTGACAAACGACAATCTTCCGACTCGAGTCCTGCACTTCCATTCGAATTATCTTCCGAGTCCACCCCTTTACTCCTCAGCCGGGAAGAGGACTTGGCAACATATGGAGGCGTTGCACCCAGACGATCTTCGGCAGCTTCAGAAGACTTTCTTTCCGCCAATGATCCAAAGAAGCCACGAGGCAGAGTACGATGGCCAATACTCTGCATCCTGCTATCTCTGATTGCGATTATAACAATTCTCATATTCGCCTTTCTTGCGCCTGCTGTCGTGAAACAGTATGCAGTGGATGCCGCCGTGTTCAAGCCAACTAATATTTCGGTTGAGTCGGCTACAGCAGATGGAATTCAGGCGAGGATACAGGGAGACCTCGTTCTTGATGCAGGTCGCATAAAGAAAGCGCCAGTGCGGAATCTTGGTCGCTTTGTCACATGGATTGGTAGAGAAGCCGAGACAGGCCAGTCGGAAGTCGAAGTGCATCTTCCAGAGTACGGCAACGTACTCGTTGGAACAGCATCTCTACCTTCTATCAAAGTCAACATACAGAATGGCCACATCAACCACGTTAACGTCCTGGCGGACCTAGTCGCTGGCGACATCCCTGGTATCCACGCGGTAGCAGTAGACTGGTTAGAAGGGAGACTCGGCCACTTACGACTGCAGGGGACAGCAACAGTACCACTCAGATCTGGTATTTTGAGTCTGGGCGAACAAACGATAACCCACTCTATAACCTTCCATGGTAGGTCACGCGATTCTTTTTTTGACAAATGATTTCTGACGTTATATGTAGAGGGCGATTTCCCAACCCTCCCCAAAGTCAATGTTACAAAGTTCAATGTGCACGATATAGATACGCCCGGACATGACGGGGCTATGGCAGTAGATGCCTCCGTGGCTGCTTTTGTCGATTCGCCCGTTGGCCTGAGGATCCCACCGCTCGGGTTTGAGGTGCTCGTGCCCAACTGCTCGCCAGACGACCCATATATCTCAGTAGCGGAAGTCACAACAAAAGGATTCCCGATACATTCAGGACAACCCACGTCTATCGACGTTGCGGGAATTGTCCAGGGCCTTTCTGATGATCTAACAAAGGCTTGCCCTGGAAAGAAAAAATCTCCCTTGGATTTTCTAATGAAGAGTTACATGGAAGGTCTTCAGACTACAGTTTATGTTCGTGGAGCCGACGTTCCATCTCTGGAAACGCCTGAGTGGGTGGTAGACATTCTCAAGACCGTGACAGTACCCTTGGCTTTTACCGGACATGCTCTGGACAATCTCGTCAAAAACTTCACCATGACAGATGTGCATTTCGACATGCCTAATCCTCTTGCAGATCCTGATACGCCTGAGTCTCAACCCAGGGTATCAGCCTTAGTGAAAGTCTTGATTGGGTTGCCTAAGCAGCTAAACCTTCTTCACCTGGATGTACCTCGTGTTCGTGCCAACTCTGATATCTATTATCATGGGGAGAAGCTCGGTGTTTTGAATTTACAAGAATGGCAGCCAGCTAATTCTACCCTTCTGGAAAACGTCGATGGAGCTCCAGCTCTGCTCGTTGAGTTTTCCATGAAGCATACGCCACTTCAGGTGACTGATGGGGATGTTTTGACAGATATTCTACAAGCCTTACTCTTTGAAGGGCAGCCCGTGAGACTGACTGTTGCTGCAAATGTGGATGCAGAGGTCTCTACGGGGATTGGAACATATGCTGTCCGTGGAATACCAGCTGAGGGTGCTGTGAACGTCAAGCGTAAGTCGCAATAACTTGAGGCAGGCGTATTGGTTTGTTGATACCTGAATAGCACCGTACGGTGACTCACTCGAGCGACTGAGTCCACGGGTCGAATCGATAGCACTCGGACCTACAACTGAATCGTCACTCGTGATGAAAGCCAAAATCAACATGACGAATCCGTCGCCATACTCTGCTTCGGTACCTTTCATTGATTTAGTGCTTATCTACAATAAGACCAAAGTGGCCCACGTAACTGCTCGAGACCTTTTGATTGTGCCTGGGGTAAATTCTGGTATCCATGCCGACCTACAATGGAATCCACTCGAATTAGATGGCTCGGCTGGTATTACTGCTGGCCAAGAGATGCTCTCCCGATATGTTTCCGGTGAGATTGTTTACCTGAGATCTTGCTAGGTGGGTCTGTTTGCCTAACTACTACCAGGGTACAACACGTCCGTAACAATTCGCAGTCATGAGGGGACATTCCCGGCTCTACCAGAACTTGGACAGGCGCTCTCTAGGCTAGGACTTGAAGTCCCAATCCCAAGGGTGCCTGTCCCGGGAAACCCTAGTGATGAGGATGGAAAGCCAAAGTTTATCCAGGATACAACGGTATTGTCTACTTTCATGGAAGTCGTTTCTCTACACGACAATCACTATTGATGATATGTTCTCCTGGGGAACATCTTCCAAGTAAAGACAGTTTTCTACAAGGTGCTTTTGGTCTTGCTGACTTTTGCCTGCTACTAGCTACACCTATGGTCATCAACGGCGGAGTTCACATTGTCCTCCCCATTTCCCAATACGACCATAGAGATCACGTCGGTAGAAGCCAATGCCTTCTATCAGAAGCATGAAGAGGTTGGTAGTATCAATTACTACATTCCGTTCCCGGTGCCACCGGGACTCTCCACGACCCCGCGGTTGCCCGTTGATTTAAATCTGAGTGGGATAGGATATGACGCTTTGAAGAGAGCTCTTGGCGGTACACTCAAGTTGGATGCTGTAGCAAAGGTTGGAGTGCTGATTCGACACTATCGCACTACCATAACATACTATGGTCAGGGGATCACCGCACGGGTGAAGATTTAGTGTCATGGCTTTTGCGAGTGATATTTAGAAACATTCACTCTTTATTCTTGGGCGTTTTGTTTTCGTCTTCTGAGGCTATGCGGGCTGGCGTTTGGGTATAGAGGGCACAGTATTAGCTGTAAGACAGTTGTGCGGGGTTGGATTTAGGGACTGAGCAATTGGCTACCAACTCCATTTTTTCCTCTCCTACTAATACAACTTGAAGTTACCTTACCACTACCACGATTAAGAAATACATGCCTGTGAAGGCCGATGAAGCTAAACTGAACCAAATTTCACGTCGACGACATGGAAACATAGATGATGTACTCATGAGAAGTGCGTGACTAAAAGGAAAAACAAAAAAGAACTGCTAAAATTTACACTAAATATTATACCCTCCGAGGAAAACAAGTTTGCTTCTTAATTGCGAATCTTTTTCATTTCGGATATCCAATTTAACCAGGAGGAAGGGTGCTTGCGTCGACAACGTCGGCAGCCTCCTTCTCAATCTCCTCCACCTGCTCGTGAAGAGGAGAACGAGGCAGGGCCATCAGACCGGTACGGGTAGACTCCAATACACCGAAAGGAGCGATGAGCTTCATGAAGGAGTCGATACGAGATGGCTTGGCGGAGCTATTAACAATGTCAGTGAATGCACCAATGCGTACGCGGTAAATGACCACTCACACTTCGACAATGCAGTTGTTGTTGCTAATATCGAGAACCTTGCCGCCGAACTGGTGGGTCAAGCGGGTGATGGCATCAAGATGCTCGTGTTTGTGTCTCAATGCCTGACTGGGAGGCAGATTGCGGGGGTGGAATTCAGTGATCTGCTTGTGGCCCTCGGCCTTATCCTTCTGGCCCTCGAGGGTCTCGCCGGAAGTGGTAATCTCGCGGTGGTGCTGAAGCAGTTCCTCGAAGAACTCGGGGCCCAGGATGCTGACCTTCGCAAGAAGCAACTCGCGCTGCACGAGAGCAGAGTCTGTGTAGTCGAGGACGGCCCAAACGGGAACGAGATCGTCCAGCTGGCGACGGGCCTGCTCGACGACACCATCCTGACCCTGCAGCACGATGGTCATGCGGGACAGATCTTCGACTTCGGTGTTACACACGACCAGACTGTCAATGTTGAAGCCACGAGCGGCCAGAATTCCCGAAACCCGAGACAGAACACCAGGCTCGTTCTGCACCAGACAGTTCAGGATATGGCGCTTCGGGGGATTGGTCGGCGCAACGGGAGTCTCGTACAGAATCGACGAGACGGCAGTAGGGGCATCCCATTGTGGAGAAGAGTCCGACACAGGAAGAGGAAGGGGAGAGCGACGATGGAGCGCCTTGTAGGCGAGGGCGGAGGTCGAGCTGGAAGAGGCTCTAGCTGTGGTGAATCGGGGCAGAGTCGCAGCCACTCGGGCAGTTCTGCCAGCAACGGAGGAAAAGGGCGCTGATGCTGTCCAAGACAGCATCAAAGGACGCCGGAAAGCCATGGTCTCCCGAATTGGCCTGCAAGAGAAAGCAGGCAATACGAAGGAAACGATGGAGGCAGTGACTTCACACTCAACGGATGGGGATTGTAGTCATAAATCGCATTTTATAGTCGAAGACTTCCGAGGTCGGGGTGCTGACTCAGGCTCTGGGACGGAGTCGGTCACTGACTCCGGAGCATTACCGCTATACCACTTTGGTCACAGTGCAACATTGACTTGCTTTTTTTTGGGGCCCAGATTCATTCGTGACTCTTGCTTTTGGTTGGTGCCAGTGTGTGTATGTGTGTATCTCACGGTGTATCTCAGATTACTTCCAGATCATCTTTTGTTTTCCTAAAGATCTGTTCTCGTTGAG